TCCATCCCGGTGTTAAAGTGGGTTTCTTTAAGGATACGAAGGTCACTGTGGTTCATGTGCGCGCCTGTAGAAATGTGACTAGCTGGAACGCTCCCCAGGGAGTGGAAAATGTGAAATATATTCTGCAGAATAGAACATGTAGTAAATAAATCCAATAAAACTATGAGTCAGTTAATGGTAAAGCGCCATATAAGAAATTAACCGATTTCATAATTATTACTACAGAAGATGTGTATCATTATCATTATCATTATAATTATTATTATTTCAGACAAACGGTGCTTGCTGCACTGCTGTGGCCATCACAAGTTTATGCTATCCTTCTTTGTCTGCTGTTGCTCTCGTTGCCTCTGACAGCTTTTTTCCTGTCCATATGTGGATGTCTTTCAACCAAGAAGTAGCAAGTCTGCATCTTTTTTTGTCTGGATTCTACTGTTCCTGTTATAAGTGATAATCATTATTATCATCAATGTTGTGATTTAACCTTGAATCTATTTAATAGATAGATAGATAGATAGATAAATAGTTTATTGGTTTCCACAATATCTCATTTTACAAAGAGTGTAAAACACATTGGAAAATGATTATAATATACTATACATGCACACACAACACCGGTACACACTATTCAGACAATTGTCCTTCAGTTGAACTTAACATATATAATGGCGGAGCCTATGGAAAAGCAGAGCTTGTTGTGGATAGGCTCCTTAAACTACAAATGACATAATTAACTACAGTTGGGTTTTTAAAATACAAATACACGCTAAAACAGGGAAAGGGAGATTACTAGGATACATGAACCGATACTCAGAATTAACTACAAAAGACAAGCGAAAGGGAATTAGGGAATATATCTGCAGCTTATTGAAACAATAATACAATGTAGGTTGTTCTTGATATGTTTTCGATACGGGTTGGATAGTCTTGAACTTGATTTATTCTTTAAAACAAATATGATAGTACCTGAGGCAATTTCGTTGTTATTCAGTTGAACATGAGGCAGCCTTATTGTAAATTAAAAATATCATGAACTCTCAGTTTTTTTAGTATCAAAGAAGAGAGGGCTCGAGTGAGAACGAATAGGTACATTGCAAATTGTACGTATAGCTCTTTTTTTTAACAACCAGGATTGTGTCCAGTTGGAGTTTCAACGAATTACCCGAGGCAATACTACCATAGTTCAAGTAGGGCAACATTAAAGTGGAGTATAACATTTGCAATACATAATAATGAGAACATAGATTTCAGTTTGTATGTCACACCAGCATTTCTTGATAATAAAGAACACAAATAATATGTATGTATTTTCCAGGTCATTCCATCATCAATAAACAGGCAAAGAAACTTGGTCGATTGTACTTTCTTAATTTTGACATTGTTGAAATATGTCATTCCAGGTAAAGCGGATATTGAATTGCAAATGTTGCAAAACATGAAATTAGTTTTGTCCAAGTTCAGTGACAGTCTATTCGCAAATGTGCAAAATTCTCAAGTTCTGAATTTACAGTTTTTAAAATGTGTTCGTTTCTCGGCGATTATCAACTGCAGGCAAAGGGGAAGTATTTCTTCTTATTTTATAGAAAAGGCTGAGCTCTGGAAAGAGGTGAACAATAATTTGTGAGCGTTACCATTGTTATTATGCAAGTGTGGAAGAATTTTAGAGAAAAAAAATGTTCCCTGAAAAGCATGGCTCTTCAAATGACTTCATATTCTAAATATGACATCTAGCAGCTTAAAAATGTGGGTCTCATTTTTCTGCCGCATGTTTGTGTAGTCGCATATACATCTTTCTGTGTACAGGGCTTGTTACTTTACCAAGACTGCGTCACATTGGTTATCATGTTGATTATTCCAGAACCTTGTACTACACCCCAGTACTTATATGCTACAAGATCAATCGCTTGACCAGAACTCAACTTTTTCTTTAAACAGTTCTTACATCCAGAGAGAGAGAGAGAGAGAGAGAGAGAGAGAGAGAGAGACAGAGAGAGATACAGGCAGAGACAGAGAGGGAGAGAGAGAGAGAGAGAGGAAATAAAAATATAAAACAATTGATGGTTATGTGATTTAACTTTTAAGTGCAGTGTTTTAACGACACAATATTGTTGAGTGTATGATAACAAGCTACAGTTATTACGGGCTTATTGAAAAGCGGCTGTGCGCCCATCCCAGTGCCCCCCTGTGCCAACTATCACGGCTTATTTAATAATTTGAATGAAGGCAAAATAAAGCTGCCTAAAGACATGTTCGCTGATGATATTTTACGTCCGGCCTTTCGAGAAAGGGGGAAATGCATTCTATAAATCCAGCTAAGATTAATGCCTTGTAAAGAGGCTCACGGGCATAATACCATTCAACGGATATTGTGTCCGAGCGACAGAGCGTAGAAAAACAATAGTGATTCATATTTTTGCAATGCAACCGCGAAGAGAAAATTATATTGTTCAATGCCAAGCCCTCTTCTAGAGGTAAATTTGTTTGTGTCGTTCTGGAGATGATGAAAGAATTCAAGCCGAAGGAGTGTAAAAAATGGCATTATGATAGCTGATATATGACACCTTTGTATACTAATGTGGTGATGTACGTTTCTCTCAACATGTAATATGGAAACCGTGCAATATGAAGTATTAATACTACTAATAAAGCTACTACTATATCAGTTTGTCAACTACACTTCCTCTGTACATCTCCTCACTAAGTCAGCAACAGAGAACATCATATTCACTCCTTCTTTTCTCATTCCCAAATTCAGGAAATGGGCTGATTTACTAACAGGCTACTCCTACGACTACTTCTACTTCTAATGCTGCTACTACTACTACTACTACTACTACTACTTCTACTACAGTACTACACTTGTGATCATTATCATTAACATTTTCATTATTTGTATTATTATTATTTGAATTATTATCATTCTTCTCAGTATTATTATCATTATTTTTACTATTATTACTACCACTACTAATGTTACTACTTGTATTGCTACTGCTACTTCAAATCGACAAACATTTGGCCAATTGCTGGAACTCTGTCTCTTATAACTTATTAACTTGTTTACTTGTTGATTAATGAAGGACGATATTTGTATTTTACTCTTCGACATGGTTCATTACTTCTGTTCAACGTGGAAATGACCTGTACCTTTAGTTACCTTTCCGCACACATTCACTCTTTGGGCCAAACCCCATATTATAGATATAAAACATGTATTTTCTCCTTGAGAGTTACAAGCTCAGTAATAGTAGTAGTTGTTGTTGTTGTTGTTGTTGTACGGTAGGAGGAGGAGGCGATGAAGTGTAGTCGTCGTTGTATTAAAGAAATATTAGTCATTGTAATAGCAGTAGTAGGAGGAGGAATAATCGCCGTCGTCGACGTCCTCGTCGTCGTCGTCGTAGTAGCAGTAGTAGTAGTAGTAGTAGTGGTCGTAGCACAAGTTGGAGTATGTCTATGCAATATGTATAACAGTAGTAGCGATATATTTGTCAAAGAAGAGGCTTCCTTCATTATATGAGAGCAAAAAAGTAGGACCCGAAACTTAAGAGAAACTTAAGATCAATTTAGATATTTTGTTTGGTTCGTGTGGGTCCGTGTGTTTGTTGGTTGTTGTTCTTTTGATCCTAGAGGGGCGTTAACTCATATATTAGGGACTTTTAAATTTGCGTGGACTGATACGTGTGACGCCCATTCAAGGCAGTGCATTAAAAGGACGTCGATCGTAGCATAGACCTATTGTCTTCGTGCGAATCTAAAAGTCCCTAGTGTTACAAAGTTAGCACACCTCTGGCTCTGCATGCATAAACATGACAAATCTCAAGTCTCGTACTTAACATTGATCATAGTCCAAATTTGTGGAATGTTTCTCCTTTTGTATGCTTGGGAAGGATTTTCAACTATTTATTTTTTGTTTTGAAACTTCTTGTGTAACTACTTGTATTTTAATGAAAACCCAAACTTGGCGATTTTTATAACTTGATTTGATTTACATCATTTGAGGAGGCGGGTTGGCTCAGTCGGTAAAGCGTCTGTCTGTCGAACCAAAGATCTTGGGTTGGAGTCCAACCCAGGCGGATGACTGAAGCCTTAGTTATGAGTTGACGTGCTCCGTATCTGTTTCATAGACGCAGGCTTGGTTACAGTGGAAACACACTTTTCCCTCGGATAGGATGATAAATGGGGGACATGTGTAGAGAAGACTCACCACATTTGCATGTTAAGAACCCACTGAACTATTCGTTGAAGAGCAGGGGAATACCCCGGTGTACTGGTCCACCTAGCCTCCCCCCCCCCCCCTCCCCACGGGAAGAGACACCCTTCCAGATACAGGAAACGCCAAATATTTATGATATTTATTGTTTTGTAAAAGAGACTGAATCAACTGATATTTGCTGAAACCCACAATCTTTCTGACAACAAGTCACCTTGAAAATTGTTGATCAGACAATCATTTGGACATATTATATATTGTATCTACATGTATCTTCTAGCCCACATAATGGCAAAATACCCTAGCAATTTTATCACCAAAAAGACCTTCCTTGGAGCAAGTAGGGTTTTCTTTTCATGGTACATAACGATCAACATAAATTCCTTTTGATTACCTATTTTGCTGCCTCCGCACTGTTCACTAAGTTCAAATATTTCACCTTTTTTGTTCAATTTTACACGAACCGAAAAATATTTGACCCCAATGAATAATATTCAATACCCCTCTCTCTATCAAACATCAAATCCCTCAACCCTTACACAGAAGATAATATTAGATAGGATCTTAACAATAGCTTCACGCCGAATTGCCTTGATTCAGTGAAAGAAGAACAAAAAAATGGTATTGAATAAACGTCGACCGCAGCTGACGATGGAGCTTTTGCAAGTATCTAGGAGTTGAGCTATGATTGGTGTAATATTCAGTCGCGACGGAGACTCGACCAATCAAAGACCGTTGCGCGGAACGTATAGGGAGAAACTAGAAGAGGGTGCGGCAGAAGGGTAGCAATACAGGTGTGTCTCAATACATGTACTCCGCGGTCTGCCCTGCATTCGGTGATTAGTCGTACGCCAAGTACAATTGCCTGTTTTTCGGTATATTTTCCTCTGATCTGTGGAGAAGGCATCAAAGAGAAGGCATAAAAATGCAGTATTTGAAGATTGCCCTGGCAGTTGTGGCCTGTCTGTTAGGCGGAGTTTCAGCCCAACTTGATGGTAAGTGTCAATTTAAACATCACTTAGCTTCCTAGCATATCATGATCTCCCTTTCCTTTAATAGACAGGAGATGGGAGAAGGTTTTGGTAAACTGTAAGTGAACCTAGATCATCAAGGCTGCTGTGTCCGACCGTTTGGGAGGGAGGGGGGGGGGGAACAAAATATTGACAATCTTACAAAATACAACAAGAAAAGGACTATGAAGTTAAAGGTGTGTATAAGCAAATAGAAGGAACGAATACAGATTGTAGTAGATTCCACGCAGTTAGGCTTGAAGCACATGTCATCCATTTACTTGACTCCCGATTTAGGGTTTAGGGCTCTAATCTACAAGTTAAACCGTGTCTATACTTGATCGTGATTATTGGCAGTTGTCTCTCTCGACCCAGGAATTAAATGAATGTCCTACATATATCTTGTCATAATATAAAAACTTGTTGAGCTTTACTAAAACGAATGATGATGATGATGATGATGATGACGACGACGATGATGATGATGATGAAGATGATGATGATGATGATGATGAAGATGATGTCGATGATGACGAGTGATGACGATTACTACAAAAGGACTATCATTGATTTTAACAGTAGTAGTAGGCCTAATAGTACTACATGTAGTTGAAGGAGGAGGAGGAGGAGGAGTAGTAAAGGAAGTGTGGTGGTAATTGTGCATTATTTATGTAAGTATAGGCCTAGTTAGTACAATACAAAATAATCGCGATTTGCATATAATATTTTTAAGTATTGATAAATTATTCTGGAATCAGAAGATAATCCCAAATGAGTGTACATCAATGTTCAAAGCTTAACGTTCGAAGACAGATTTACCCACTCTTCGTCTTAACAAAGATCTATTTCATCAACGTATTTGAAAGAGGGCAAGGGGGCAATTTCCCTCCTGACAGACTTCCAAACATGCAACAAAAGGCAGGAAAAAATGCGTTTTTAGGTAATCATTTGTTAGGATCTGACTCTTTCCATCCATCATATTCAGATTTCCTTCTTAAAAGCAGAAAAAGGTCTATATAATGGGGGATGTAATATAACCCAGCCCCCCCCCCCCCCCCCCTCACCTCCGTAACGCAAACCATAGCCCTTGAACAAGTTGTTTCATTGAATGTTCAGATATTTTGCCCGTCCTGAGCAGGGTTGGCTATTCCGCGGGAAATACATGTACGGAGGGGGAGGGGGTACTGGGACATGCTCGTACGTGTACAATTGAAACTGTATAATGTGAAAATAAAACACAGCAATTCTGATTATATTCCATGTAATATATTTTACTGTTTCGTGCTTGTTTGAAGTTTGTGGGTTTCCTACAGCTTAGATTTAAAAAAAAAAACATCTTATTCATGATATAAAGACATAGATTAAAGACATGCTGGATCACCTTCTGTTGCTTGCTTCCCCATGTGCTGTCAATCCCATGGCAGCACATGAGTGACAAACTATATAATACAAAACAAATATTAATCGAAGTATTCTAAGTCAGCTGACATTTGGATATGAATTCTGGTGAAGTACAAACATGTGAATGGCCAGGCTTCTTTGACAATATTGGGAAAAACAGGTGACCATACATGTATGACCTAATTGATCAGGCAATGCTTGATAAATTATATTAATCTGTATTGCATGTATATAACTTAACCTATAAAAAACATATTTTCATAGACATTGGCAATGTGAAAAAAAGTTTTTTTTAATGAATTCTATTTTGTGGAATCTTACAATCCTACAAGTGATGCAGACAATTGTGATAAAAGACAATTCCTGTACTTAAAAGATAGTACTGTTTAGTTCAAAATAGTACTTGAATATTTATAGAGTGTGTACACTATATAATTTTATTATAAGAATTTCGGTTAAGTCAAACATTTGTTGAGATTTTAATGTAATTTGCTTGAATTGAAAAATAAAAATTGTTTTTCCCACTGCCCTTTTCAACTGTGGTACTTGCCAATACATAGCCTGAAGGCCATACCGTGTCCATTCATCATTTCAAGCTGTGGTATAACCCTTAAATCAAATCACCTTTTCATTGCGTTTTGGGTTTTTTAAATGATTCTAGCTCAATAATGTAAACATCCTAAGGTTTTTTATTAATTAAAATACAATTTTTTGAGTATTTCTCGTTTTGCCAAAAATTTGCTAGGCGGTATTTGGCGCCTGGTATTAACCGGCCAACCCTGCTTCTCAGGTCAAGGTCTGGATTCGTCAGTTGTCACTGAACAAACTGTTAATGAGTCAATGAGACGATCAAGTGAGAATCCGCCATTGATTGTGTGGTAATCTGCTCTTTAAAGCGAAACCACTATCTAGAAAATCATTCATTAGAATTGGAAAATAATAGTCTGCATAAAAAAAAAAATCATATCAATCCGACCATGAAAAGTAAACAGAGGGTGACATAAAAGAGCAAACCAACGAAACGTTTCAGTTGAGCAAAGAACAACCAACCAAAATGGAAGGCAGAGAAAGAATCCATTTGGCGAAAACAAGCGGAATGCCATGATGACGAATTGGAACTCTAAAACAATAAGCCTATCCAATTCTAAATAAATGAAATAACATGGTCGCTTTAGAATAATCAGGAAGGCACAATTTTAGAGGAAAAAAAAGGTTCTCGAAATCGCACGTTTGAACCTTTAATAAGTGTTTTCAAGTGTCAGTAAATAACTATAATGGGGCTTCTTGAATAGCGTACGTGCCAATCACGCCGCGCCGACATGTGACAGGCTCCTAGCGCTCCAACTTATAATACCTTGGGGGTGTTTCACTAGTTCCTGGTATTGGTTTCTCAAGGGACATATAAATTATGGTCACAAATCTACAGAATTTACTCGTTTTTTGATAGTTCATTATTGAAAGGAAAAATATTATCTAAAGATCATAATTGAGAGACCAATAATGAGAGCAACCAATGGCATGAACGGCCTGCCAAATTCAAGTCCAAATTAAAGTCGATCTTAGTCTTTGAGAAACACTCCCCTGGGTCAAAGCTGGAGGCCAAATATGTTGCACCCTGGCATATCGGGTACCCAATTATACCTGGGTAAAGAAAGTCTTACGTGCCGGGCTGGGATTCGAACCCTCAACCCTTGGATTGAAAGTCAAGTGAATGAACCACTATACCTTGACACTTTTAAACAAATGCAAAATGGTTCTCCGTTCGATAATGTTTTTTTAAGAACCTCAATATTCATAACCCACCCCCGGCTTGTTAGGTGATACGTACGTAGACGTATCACCTTTTGATTTCGTCAAGATTTTTATTTATTTATTTATTTATTTATTTATTTATTATTATTCTTCCTCGAATTTGTTCGCAGGATATCTCAAGACTGAATGAAGCCATCGTTATGAATCTTTCAATGATGATAGATCTTAGTCTAACTTAGAACTGCGTGAATTTTCAAAGACTCAAAGTTATCGTGACGTCATCCAGGCGCCATTTTGTGAAAATCAACTAATGATCATATCTTTATAACGAATAGTAATTTTTCATTCATATTTATCATGATTAAGATCAATATCCGTCCGGTCAAGTTGAGGTCAATAAACGTGCGTAAATGCGCGCGTGCGCGCTCGTCCGCGCGTTTACGCCCGCGCAAAAATTAAAAATACTCTAAATCATCCCAAATTTTTTTTGCATACGTTTCAGGCCATATAAAGCATTTGGTAAAAAAAATACGCACACGCGCATGCGCGCGCGTTTTCGCGCGTACTGGCATTTTGCAACATAGAATCGCCGATTTTTTTCTGTCATCATATTTGGTACATTTTTCCAAGCATTTTGATAATTTGTTCACCTTTTATTAACGCAAGGAGCGTCCGTCAAAGTTGACAGCACGCGCGGATTTGCGTTATCTTTATCCACAATACATGGGCAAAAACATGCCTATATAAAATTCATTGTAACTCTTTAGAATAGATAGAAACTCCTAATATTTTGTCATATTTGGATAGATTATGAGTCGGAGATATGATTTCATGTCTCATTTGATCCTCAATTAACTCATGACGTCATCATAACGGCCTCCAAACTGAAAATTTTAATTTGCATATTATGACGTCAGCATATTTTTTGAAAATTTATTGTATCTCTGTAAATATGGATCAATTTTCTTTTTAATTTTGATATGTTCTAGCTGAGACAATTTTCTACAAATGTAATATTCACAATTTTTATTTTTGACAAAAGTATCATGGTGTATTTTTGCGATTTAAGGAGGCATGTCAATTTTTCGCATTTTGCGTGTATTCTCTATGGGACATGACTTTTTCTCAAAACTGGATTCTACACTCCTGTCTTTCGCGAGCAAAATCTCCGTTGTTTTAGCTTTGTTTTCGCTGAGCTTCGGATATGTTGTAGCTGAGACAATGAGCTATCAAAAGTGTTGCCTTTATTTTTCGATTAGATGCCGGGATCATGCTCATATTTCACTTGCAAAGTAGGATTTCTGAATTCCATTCCTGTTTACGTGTAATCGCTATGGGAGATGTTTTGGTATATCGGTAACGCACTTGACTTCCAACCTCGAGATCCCTGGTTCGAGTCCGGGTGTCTCCAACACTTTTTTTTTCACTTTTTTTTCCTTTTGACCTTCACTGTACCATCTCCTTTGATTATTTAAACACGTAGATTTGCAAATAATGTCATAAATAACCCTTTTTACTTTATTATTACCCTATTTTCACTTAATCCATTACTTTTTGCGTGTAATCCCTATGGGAGATGACTTTTTCTCAAATCTGGAGTCTACATTCCTGTCTTTTGCGAGCAATATCGCCGTTATTTCTGCTTGGATTTTGTTGATTTTTGAGTATGTTATAGCTGAGACTATATGCTATCTAAATCAACCCTCATTTTTTCAATAAGATGTCATGATCGCGCTCATGATCATGATCATGATCATCACGATCATCATTATCATAATGATGCTAATCATTTATCAATTACATTTTCATTTCTTTGAATAAGATAAAATCGTCAAAAGGTGTTCTTCATGATGTAAATTAGAGTCAAATGTGTAACTGGTTACTGCACAGGGTCAAAGGTCATATATTGTTTCAATCTATCTTCCCTAGATCTATGATGATCAAGGAGACACAATTTAATCTTGACATATGAATAGATCATAATGGGAGAAGCATATGAATGGGAGAAGCAAAATAATATATCGTGTAATGCATTATTCGTTATGTAAACCATTATCATACGTATCACCTAATTCGTCTAAGTGACGAATTAAAGTCTAGTTTTCTATTTATTCTCTTGAAAGCATGCAAAATTTAGTTCTAAATTAGGAGCAATGTTTTTTTTTCAAGATGAATTCTTCACGTTAAAATAGCATTGTCACAAAACAGATTTAGAATTTTGTTAGCACAAAAATGAAGACTTATCTAATTCTGATAATGTGACCACAGTGGTGGTTAACAGAAAATCCAAATATTTTAAGCTTCTAATGCCAATATAATCGGACACTGGCATGTTCAAATATTGGTACATAAATACGAGTTCAAGGTGAATTCAATATGTCATATTTATTTTTGTCAATATTTGATTGACTGGGCTGGACTTGCTGACGTTGTTCACCCAACGGTTTGAGTAGGTATGAATTGATTACTGAAACGGTTGCGTTATTTTCTTCAGTGACTTATACAAAAGCAGGGACACAAACGGTATGCCTACAAAACCTCCAGTGGCCTTTGACCCAAAGGAAATCTGCTATAGTTTAGTACGCACATGAATACTCAAAAATAAAATTCTTAAACTGTTTTTCCCCCGCAGAATAAAAGAAAACAGAGGAAGAAACATCATGTGACCCTGACCGATTGAGAAAATTATAGCCATGTTGTTTAGTAGATCGAATAGCGACGTTCCAAATCACTATGATTATCATATCATTGTAGGACCTTAAATTGTTAAAATATGGATGCCAGATGGTATGCTGACTTTATAGAAGTGTTGTTTTGTCATAGAAATATTCCTAATATTAATGCCTAAAGCAATTTCTAAATAGTGATTGAGGCCTTTAAGTGTCAGTTGAAAAAGGAAGAGATTGTAAGAAAGCTATTTAAATATGGCTCTATTGCATAAGAAGTTGCGTTTAAACTAACCTGCGACCTGTTTCTTTAAAGCATATCTGCACTAGTTTGGCCAGGAGGGATTAGACCTCCCTGCGTGGTCACTGACAGGTGGTTGTTTGTTATAACTATAGAGGGCATAAGTAGCTACAAGTAGTCCAGTCCCGCTTTGAACTTTGTTATCAATAACATCTGCTCTAGATCTATGACAAATCTGCTCGTATCCAACGAAATGTAAGAATTTCAGTAGCTCATAATAAAAATGTTATCCCCGACTTTAGCGTCATAAGAATATTGTAAATGGTATGGTGGGGATGTCAGACACCATTCCCCCCAAAGAGCAAATCCTGTCTAAAAGAATCATCGCCATTTGTGTTCAGTTCAAAGTAGCATTTTTTCTTCCATATACTATTTTTTCATATGAAACTAAAATAATAAGGATAAGGACATACACAATATTAAGAGTATGTTGACAGTTTAAACTGAAGGAGGAAGTAGTATCAGTATTTTTTTCCCGTTTCATAAAAAGACAATATGAATGTATAAAAACCCAAAGAAAGCGGGTGGATTGTCCGTATTCAGCCGCATCAGGCATAACTCGGCTGGTCTTCCTGCCGTGGTTCAGGAAGAAGGTGTAAATGGATAGGCTTGTGTTGGGTACGCCTTATATAGCTACATCAAAGAAGAGCTCCATTTCATGAGCTGACAACCACTGATAGAAGAAGTCCTTACCATTTCAGATTTGCAACCAGCCATCATAAATGTGTCGACAGCAATATTACGGGTATTAAGCTTCCTTCAGACATGAAGCGGTAAAACCGCGGCGGTTATTTATGGTGGCGCAAAGTGTAATACGTGCCACCTTCAAACGTCGTCTGTTTCTAATGCCTAGGTCACATTTGCCGCGGCGGCCGTGCGGTCTAAAATATCTACGGCCAATAGCAATTAAAGAACCGCCGCAGCATTCCCACGGTCACATACGGTAGCGGTCACTTATGTTAGGGTAGCCGCACTGCGTATTTTGAATTTGAATTTGCCGTTGAAGTAATGACGCACGGTCGCCTTAGGGCTTCCCTGTGGCGGCCGTAGCTTTTTGACAAAAATACTAAGGCAGACGCAAGGTAGCCACTAGGTGCCCGCAAGGCGGCTGAAGGGGGACCATACGGCGACCATGCGGCCAGACTGATGCTACCGCTTCACCCCTCGAGTATATAAAACGCAAGGCTACCGCACGCCCGACGTACGGTTGCCGTAAAACCGTTCTACGGCATGGCTACGACGTGTTTAATCGCTAAGGCGAACATAGAAATGAAAAGAGTTATAACTCCGCGTTATAATCCCACGGCGACCCGTACGGCCTGTAAAGATAAGGGATACGCCTTAAGGTGATCCTGAGGCCACCGCAAGTATCTCTCGATTTCGGGGCCGTACGGCCGCATATCCTAGCCGTAGAGCAAATGTGACATAGGCATTATAAACACAGAGCTCAGTAATACGCACAGGACTTTTGTTGCGTGCAGTTGCCATTCATTTACATGTTAAAAAGACATACAACTGCGGCGGCTTGCGGCGGTTTACTGCGTCATAATGTAAACGTGCGTTTAGACATATACTAGTGATTAGTTTAGTGATTACTTAGCTTTCAAATTACACGAATATATTCTTTTTTTTCTGTTCACTACATTACTCGTAAAGACTTCATTGTGTTTACGGCTCAATAATTTCAAATCCTAATAGGACTTTGCTGGCAGTAGGTACTATGAACTGCCTTTGGCACAGCAACTTCGTCAAAAGATCCTTTCATAATTCAGGCTTAAATAATGTAAGCGACACAGCCTCCTGTTATCCATTGCGGAATCATCATATTGATGAGAAATTGACCCAATCTGGATGAACGAATGAAAATTGCATGCACTGCACACAGAAAAACTTGTATTGGCTCGACTGTTTCTTCCATCCAAACGCCTCAGTTTTAGTGTGTCATAGTTTGAATACGTACGATGGCATTTGAAGAGCAGTTCTTTTCAGGGGGGGGGGGGTTCTAATACGACTTTCCTTCAAAATGACATTACAAAAAAGAGAAAGCTCACAATTTAAAAAAAAAATCGTTACCACAGTTCATCATCAACTAGGTCTTTGAGTCATAGCTGAGCGTTTGTGACCCTGTTGATGATGGTTCTCCAGAGTATTTTGTCTTGAGCTATACGATGGCCTGATAGAGACGAATGATAGCCCTGTTAACTCTCTGATTTCATCAGTCCATCTATCTAAACTTCTGTGTTCCTTGCCTCCTTTGGCTTTCAGTACACCCTTGTTTAATGATTATTTCAATACTGTCATCATTCTCTACATAATAAGGCCAAAGTACCACAATTCTTCCGTCTCTTTAACCTTATTCTCGTGATCTACTAAATTTTCTCTTACTTCTTTGTATGACAGGATGCAATCCCGATCCATGTGAGAGGGGGACGTGTGAAGCTTCGATTGACCAATACATATGCCAGTGCCCAGAAACGAGTGCGCCATTTTATTACGGCCCTGACTGCAACATACTGACGGGAGGTAAGTACCCAGTGGTCAAAACCAATTTTAAGTTCCTGGACTTCCCATCCTCTCTCTCTCTTTTTTTTTTCTCTCTTTCTCCATCTTTCTATATTTCCTGCTCTTTCCCTTTCTTCACTATATCTCTCTGTCTCTTATCCTTTCTTTCTCTTTTTCTTACTTTCCTTCCATCTCCCCTCCTCTCCCTCTTTCCTCTATCTCTCTCTCTCTCTCTCCCTTTCCCTCTTTAACCTCTTTTCTCTACATATTTTCCTTCGTATTTTTGCTTTTGGTTTACATTTGGTACAAAATTTAGGATAAACATGTGACATAATACGTGTACTTATACTTATGTAAATGTTACTGTTTTACATTGTACTCTCGTTTGTAAAATGCAATGTATATCCATGTGCAATTCAGTATATGTAACTGCGATGCATGATTCAATAAACACCATACCATACCATAGTAACGCGTAAATACATACATGTTTCAATGGGATGTCCAAGAAGTTAGACTTATGACGGTTTCTAGAAACGGCCCTTATCCTTTGTACTACTGTACTGCACTTGAGTAGAACAAACACGTTTAGTGCCAAATATTACAACCCACAGATATGAATACTCACTACATGATCACGAAAATTATATAATAATAATGAATCTGCGCAAAAAGGGTGCATTCTATCTCATACCGAAGAGGAACTGTTCTTTTTCAAAAGGGGGAACAAAAGCTGTTCATGAAGCATTTCTATTACTTTGGGTTATTATTTTCACTGTTTAATTTCTTTATTGCCCACATTTAGCTGTTTTGGCTCCTTAACTTTTGATTTAAAGCCCTCGGGATAATTATACCAGATTCATGCGTAAAATGAGAAAAAAATATGTATCTACTTTGATTAATATCTACTTTGTATTTGTTTTAATCATTCAGTTCTCTCGAGATCTATGAAATTTAATGATGAAGGTGATTTATCAAATGACAAGGATCCTCGTTACCATTTTATAGAACAAGTAATACATGAAATATGTTCGGGTGTTCATATAATAAGGGAGTTTACAGATACAATCTGCGCATGGGCAGATAAAGGTCATTTGTACCAAAAAGGTAAAACTCACAGAGATGAATATTGGATATGCGCGCATGAAAGTTATGTAATATTATTCAAGAATGCACCAACGGTACATTCTATGATACGCAGGTGGAAGTATTCTTTTCAAGAGGGCAAACAAAAGGTATTCATGAAGCACATCTAGGACTTTGGCAGTTATTATTCTAATATACTCAAAGTGGAACTTCTCCATGTGTAAAAGATCTGTGGATATTTGGGGTCATTTGTACCATGTGCTATCTGTAAACTCCCTTATACTTGTACCTTCGAAACAGTCGAAATCCCCCTCCCTGCCATTGCCTCGGGTGTCGAACTGTTTGTATTACTAGCACCCTCACGGGTTTTTTTTTAATTTTTATATCATGCTATTTTATCATCGAGGTAGTAGTAAAAACATTTTTCTATCATTCTACAGCTGTTATTTGTCCCGGTGGCCACATCTACGAGACAAACCAGGTACGGACATATAACAACCTCCCCCATCGGGCTAACTGTTTTTACCTCGTCGCTATCCCCAACGCTGCTTACATCGAAATCGAGTTCCTCAGCTTCGACGTCGAAACAGCCAAAGACGAGGTGGTTATCGGTTCTGGTCCGACGGTTGATGAATCCAGGACAAACATCGCCGACATCGAAATCCTTGACAATAGCAGATCCCCGATCAACAATCCGGATTTTCCCAATAACATCGTAACCATCAGCGGATCACGAGCATGGATAAGTGTCAATACTGACAAAAATGTTATGAGCCCTGGTTACTCGTTCAGAGTTTTGGCAGGTTAGTTGGTCTTTTTTTCCTTCCAATCAGTCATTTGATCTGGGCCCTATTTTATAAAACGTTTTGTCAATAGAAAGTGTCATATTTCAATATCAGATTTTCTCACAGCCAATCAATTACAATGATTTTAGTAGCTAATAATTATATTATAATTTTCGTTATATCAGGTTTTATGATACGGGGTTCCCAGGCTGCTAACCACCACCACTATTACTACTACTACTACTACTACTACTACTACTACTACTACTGCTGCTGCTGCTGCTACTACTGCTACTATTACTACTACTACTATTACTCCTATTACTCCTATTAATCCCACTACTACTTCTACTTCTACTACTTCTACTACAGCTACTATTACTGCTACAACTACTACTATACTACTACTACTAATACTATATTTCTACTACTACTACTACTACTACGACTACTACTACTCTTCGAATAATAATAATGATAATAATATTACTACTACTACTACTACTACTACTATCGATACGATATTGATACGATTGATCATGATAATAATGATAATAATATTAATTGATACGGCTGCCATTATCTCCATTTTTTCTCATAGAAACCTTGGATTGCGTGTTGGAACCCTGTCAAAATGGTGGCACTTGTATTGACTTGACGAACGCCTTTGAATGCAATTGCCCTGCCGGATATACTGGCGATCTTTGTGAAATTAGTATGTACCGCTAACACAACACATTAGTGTTTATTAACACCGTACGAACAATCCTCTCAATAGGGACTTTTAGATTTGTGTGGACTAATATGTGTGACGTCCATTCAAGGCAGTGCATTACAAGGACGTCGATCGTAGCAATCCACGTTGTCGTTCGACAAATCTAAAAGTCTCTAATACCTCAGTCACATCAACGAGACCGAAACCAAAGCGAAACCAGACTGAGTCAAAACTGAACAGAAGTTTTCATTACCCACATGCATTCAGTTCGGTCGGTTTCGTTCCTCTTTGGTAGTGTGACTGACGTATTGGGAAAGTTCAATAGCCTTGTCCAGTACATTTTGAATTGTGCGAACCTTACAATGACGCAGTAACAATTTAAAACAGCCTGTTAGGTTTTTGATCAGTATACTTAATCACATTTGAATACTTTTTTTATTAATACCACAGAAAGGATGGATGCTAGCATTCTGACATAGTGCTAGCCTCCGCCGCATGTACATATAATGCACATTCTCTATGGAAATTTATGGCACGAAAAATTATAGTATTTTCTTTACAAAGCGAATGGGTAAGGTGATTAAAACTATATGTATAGGTCACAGACTTTCCAATTTGCGTTCGGCCGATTACACCTTTGAAATTCGATAACCAAGTTATTTGTTATCGGATTTTTATCAGACTTTCACTAATCCGTATCTTTTAGTTTCTACTCGTAACAAACCAACTCAATATCAGGTACGAATTCCCGTTTTAAGCCCCTTTTTTCTAGTTTCGATTGATTTATCATTCTTTCTCAATAGTTATTCATGATCTCATATCCCACAGAGCTTGATTTCTGCAACAGCAACCCGTGTGTGAATGGAGGCACTTGTACGGCAGACAACTTCGGGTACACGTGTGACTGTGTGGCCGGATGGACCGACGTGAACTGCCAAACTAGTAGGTCCTTCTTGTCCGTCGGTGTCCAGGCATTTCCTGCGGCAACCATTGCTCTGGGGTTCTGGCTTTTTATATTTCGTCATAACTATACTCTAGAAACTAAAATGTCAGATCACCATTTAAAGCCTATCTGCTCTAGTTTGGCCAGGAAGGATTAGAGCTCCCTGCATGGTCACTGACAGGTGGTTATCTAATCAAATCAGCTCTCAATTAACATAAGGAAAAAAGGGGACCATGGGAGACCAATGGTCACGGATTAGGCATTGTTTGCTATATAGAGGGCGCAATTAGCTACAAGTAGTGCAATGGGGCTTTAAAAGAGCCGGAAAGTGACAACTTTTTCAAAATGTCAGATTAATAATTTTAACATGCTAGATTCAATCTTAATAGTAATGGATCCAGAATGTTCAAAGTGTTAATCATCAATTCCGAAAAGGTGGGCACTCCATGGCCCCTATTAATGGTAATTTATCATTTGAGTTTATAGAGTGATTTTTTCAGAGGCTGGCCCGACATAGTAACAACTGATATTTATTTATAAAACGTGAAGTCCTTCCATACATATGCCATTGTGCTTACCAGATTTATGGGTTTGGCAGAGAAACATTAATACGTTGAATGCATGGATAAACTAGTTTATTCTGTTTATTTTAACATGGTTAATGTAACAGTTAAGGCTAGGTATCGTGGTGAAAAAAACTCACTATAACCATTGCCTCATCATTTATCAAGAAAGTCAGTCTGTTTAATTCCCGATCCTTGTTTAATTTTTATATGACTAATTTTAATCTTTTTTTTTGTTCAGATATCAACGAGTGTCTGAGTATGCCCTGCCTTAATGGAGCCACCTGTATTGACGGAATTAATCAATGGTCGTGTCAGTGTGCATCACAGTATACCGGAGAAACTTGCCAGATCTGTAAGTATTCAAACTTGTACATGATGAAGCTCCTGTAAACACTGACATTAGAAAGTCTAATTCAGGAAAATAGAAACAGAAAAGAAGTAACATATTTACAAATGTCCAAGGAGCAATACAATTCATTGTAAAGAAAGAAAGAGAAGAAGAAGAAGAAGAAAATGAAGAAGAAAGAGAAGAAGAAGAAGAAGAAGAAGAAGAAAGAGAAGAAGAAGAAGAAAATGAAGAAGAAAGAGAAGAAGAAGAAGAAGAAAATGAAGAAGAAAGAGAAGAAGAAGAAGAAGAAGAAGGAGAAGGAGAAGTAGGAGAAGAAGAAGAAGAAGAAGAAGAAGAAGGAGAAGGAGAAGAAGAAGGAGAAGGAGAAGAAAAAGAAGGAGAAGAAGAAGAGGTAGAAGAAGGACATCAATGAAAAACAAGATAATGGCATGACATTGTACAACATGAAGAGTCTACAGGACCAGTTGAGCGCTCTATCATGACATCGATGTTAATACATACTTACTTGATATTGAAATGGGCAAGATATTAGTGAAAAGAGTGGCAACAAAAGTGAGTTAACCCCCATGTACCCTTTCGCGTCGTCTGAGAAGACCGTCAGCCCACGAGACCGACATTTACAAAATAGTAACGAAACGACAACCTAAGAGGCCGACAATGTCGACGATGTCTAGGAGTAGTTTTCCTCGAAGTAGTTGTCGGGGAGGTAGTGTCCGTAGTGTGGATTTTGGTTGTTTTTATCATAGATTTGCTTTCAATTTTATGTTTGCATGAGGGCTTTTTGTCTTTCCATTTTAGCCCTGGACCCATGTGGAAGTTCGCCATGTTATAACGGAGCAACGTGTACCAACGCTGGGTTGGATTACGTATGTGAATGCGCCCCAGGTTTCGCCGGAGTGAATTGCGAAATAGGTACGTACAAGAATAAACCAGTTACGCTTGGATTCCCATCATCGGCATCAGTAGAATTCTTTTTTTTTCATTAAAAATAACACAAATATGTGACTTAGGGGATTCATACGTGTTGTTGTCATTGTATAATGTTGATCCTTCATAAATTTTGTGATGATTGGAAAACTCTGCTAAAAAGTATAACATTATTTGAACATCTTAAAATATTCTGTCTTTGTGTCTTTCTGTTTCTTTCCTTTTTGTCTCTGCCTCTCTCTCTCTCTCTCCCTCTCTCTCTCATTATTTCTATACTTCTACCCTCTCTGCATGTATCTCTTCCTCGTTCACTTCCCCTCTCTATTCCCTCTCACTCTCTCTATTTCTCTCTATCTCTCTCTATCTCTCTCTCTCTCTCTCTATCCCTCTCTTTCTTTCCCATTTCTCTCTCTCTCTCTCTCTCTCTCTGTCCCATCTTCTCTTTCTCCCCTCTCTCGCTCTCCCTCTCTTTCTCACAATCTTTCTGCAGATATTAACGAGTGTACCAGTCTTCCTTGTCAGAATGGAGCTACTTGTATCAATGGAATTGCCCTGTATACCTGTCAATGCCGACAAGGTTTCTCTGGAATCAACTGCGAAGAAGGTTTGTTCTTTATATCTATGTCAACTACATTTCTTATGTACACCCCTTCAATCTTTGAGCAGCAGAGCATGTCACATTCAATTCGATCCAGCTCCTTCTCGTCTTACTCCCAAATCCCGAAAACAGACTGGCTTAAAATCATTCAAATCCGTTGCCCCACGCCCTGCATTTATAAGAAATAGTACGGACTTGGATTCTTCAAAAACATCTAAAAACATTCCGCTACAATTCTTCTTAACTAGTTTATAGACCAAGGGACAGCTTCTCGTATCATTATTTCGCAAAATGTAACTCTCAACTGAAATAGGGTCCATAATTTCGAAAGTGAATTGGTTCATCATTCTGAAAGTTCGTAATTCCGAGAAAAAAAATACAGGGTTCTGTTACAATAATGGAATTATGAACTTTTAATTTTGGGGGAATTACGCGCCCATTTCATTCTCAGGACTAAGTACTCAATTTCATTTTCAATATTACCAATCTTTGGTATGGTCGGAATAACAAAATTACGTAGTAATGCTCTTTCAAAATGACAGACCTCTAGAAATATGAACCTTCGGAATCAATTTTTTTAAAGTATCCTTTCGACTGATTTCAATTCTCTTAAATGATTTCAAACAGTTGGATTCTGTGATCTTGAGGGTGAATGGTACAACGAATGCAACGACCGTGTAACTGTCACTCTTACCTCAACGGGTATGATACTCGGTCACTACTCCAGCAACATTGGCCTTCTTACTGGCTATATGGGTAAGTTAGAAGGATTTGGGAATATTCTAGATTGAATACTACCTAATACCCAGTTGATTTGTTTGGTTGATTTGACTGATTGATTGATTGATTGATTGACAATCAGTCCCGTTTCGTTTGGTTTGATACTCAGTGAATACATTGGTCTCTATACTGGTACGTTAGCAAAATTTTAGAATATTCAAGGTTGAATGCAATGTGAGAGGTCCCTATCACTTTTGTATATTGGATCTGATGAAGAATATGTATACGATAGCCCTAAATATCATGGTTATTTATTATTCAATATAACTCACATATCCCTGGTGCAACATAAGTTTTAAAACATTTGTGAAATATTGCATGTAAATTTCTTCAAAATTTCTGTTTGAAACAAGATGTCTGAAAAACCAATTGTTTTTTTTTAGTATTAGGAGTGCCAATATAAGTACTTCTTTTTCTCGCAACATTATTTACTTATCCAGAGTAATGAAACCCTTATGAAAAACAAACAATGCTATGAGAGGCCTTAAACCGGAATGTACATTTATTTTGGGCAGTCCCCAGGCATTGGTTGTTTTTGTTGTTGTTGTTGTTTCTTATCATTAGTAGTAGTTGTAGTATTCATCTGTGTATGCTCCCATTGTCTATTTATGTTATCGTTTGAAGTTGTGTTCCTGGAAATGAAATTACTATGAAATGAGTTGAAAATATCAATTTCATCGTTAAGAAGACAGAGATCGATAAAAACAAAAAATTATGCTTTCATATTCCAGCCCCGAATGTGATGGTGGGATATGCCGACCAGGCCTGTGACTTTCCTTCCTTCGGGTTCGTCGTGACTACTGACAACGGCAAGTCTACGAGCAGTTGGTCTGGACAGTGTCACCTATGTGGTGGAGAAGAGGTTCTCTACACTACCTGGACCAACACTCAACGGGTCTCAACCTGCGTCGATATCAAGAAGGCTACAAGGTAAGAAAAGTTCATATTGAAAAATACAGATTGTAAACACTTTCGAGAAATCAATTTAATAATATAATTCATGGCTGTTTATAAACGGCTCATATCGTAACAAAGTAACTAGCATTCAAAGCATATTGGGTCTCCATTTTCTACCTGGGCGGAGAGTAGCATGACTTGTCTAGAAAAACACAACATACAGTTCTTATACCTCATTATATTGCCCGTAGAAATCACATTTAGATTTCGACTGTACTACATTTTTCGCATGTTTCAATTACTGATGTGCAAACTATTTGAATGTATGAGTTGATTCTTCGAAAATCTTTTCGATCGCGTCACCAAGTAATTTGTGACTAGCCACCGTCACCATTGGCGTATCCCGGGCTATGCCGTATGATAAAATCCCTACTGCATTTTTCATTAAAATACGATTCAATTTAATACGATTTTGAATAAATTTCAATTTTATCTTGCAATAATATAAATTTCAAATCGCTCTTTCTACAAAAAGTCTTTATCTCAAATAGAAAAGCATATTTATTCGATAAATCAATTGGCAAAGGTCTTAGGAATTTTCGGTAACAATTTTTTTGTCTGCAAGTTGAACCACAAAATTGGCTAAGTACGCAGAGTGATTCCAATGTGATGTTGATGTTTTAGATTTTCGTGCGCAAGAAACGATATTCTAAAATATTTTCATGTTACAGCAGGCGTATGATCTGATCCTATAATGGTTGTATTCATCAGAAAAAACGTAAAATACCTTGTAACACTAAATAAATCTTGGTAAAATCGTTTCCCCATAAGTTTCTGTTTATCATTTCTTTATCTTAAAAAACGTGAAATAGCTATGAAGGATCGAATTACATAGTCTCCCACCATAGTGGTGTCGGTAGTAAGAAGTTAGATATTTTTGCAGAGGGAAATTGTATTTGCTTTCTTACTTCATTTGTATGTATTCAATTCTGAATTGAAGTACATGTATACTTACATGTAGTATATTATGTGCTTTTTCAGGATCGCTTGCGTATACGCAAGCGATCCTGAAAAAGCACATAATATATATATATTATATCACTAGTATGTTAACTTGATATATACATATCTAGAAATTAAGTGTACATGTATAAAAAGGAGAAACTTATTTCAAACAGAACTGGAGCGCTACGATGAGCAAAACTTTTACGCCTCGTGAGCGCTCCCATTTAAATACAAGGAAAATCACTTGTTACGATTATCGCATTTTATAATTCCATGAATGTGATTTCAAGACTTCTCCATATCCGTGCTTTTTCACCATCACATCCACATATTTGCTTTGTATAACCTTGTTGTGTGTGTTTGTTTACTTGTTTGTTTTGTTTACACAGTATCGGGCAAGACCGATGGACTCGCTACAAACAGAGCCAGGCTCCTCGTGAGGGCATCTAGTCCAGGAACAGGACCAATTATTAATTCACAGTTTTTGTTAGCCCACGTATAAACAACCTTTAAGCAAGGTCCTCTTGGTTAATTACCCTCGAACTTTCATCAAAGGTTCAAAACATTCCCGCTATCTTCCTACAAAAGATACATCGTAAAATGCACGTTCTTCATTTGTCCGTACGTCTGATATATATTGGTCTGCTAAACATTTCTTTTATCAAAGAAAAACAATATTACTCGATGCCTGTATACGATTCCTCAAGGGCGAAAATTCTGAATTTTTCGCAATTGTATAGATGTTTCACAGAATCATTTACATACATTTATATGTATGTTATTTGTTGGATGTGGACTTTTGATAGGCAAATAAGAGGGATAAGCAACCAAGAGGACATCACTCAAAGTTTTTTTCTTTATATGTATGCCTCTGTGGTGCTCGGTAAGGAAGAGAAGGATGTATGGTGACCCGGTCGGGGAAAGGGTGGTTATCAATTGTCATCCATGTCATCCATCTTGTAAATAAAACTCTTTCCAAACAAATTGCAGCTCTCACGTTACTTTTTAGACATTAAACATTTCCCTGCAAACATTGATGGCATTCATTCGCCTTAGAGCAATTGGTTAAATATTTAAATTCTGGTGCTGCCCTAAAATCTCAGAAACCTATTTTCAATTATGATGACCCTTTCTACATGGCGTCATTTATGCACTGCTTTTTAAGAGTGCGACCATTCTCGTTGGTTCAAATAATCCAGAGTATTGTGTTTCTGTAAACACTTAATAAAACATTTTTTTTTACTCAGTCTGTTCGCTATTTGTATTTACTTTTAAAGGGGAAATGGGTATCTTGAACAGAAATCAATTCTAATAAACTAAAGTAGAATCCTGTCTTTTATTAATGCCTTTCGTAGATCTTGATGAGAAAATGGTTATATATTTTTTGTGGTATGTGGTGATTATTAATATTTGAAATTTAATTCGGAGAATCAAAAAAGAATATTTCAGAGAACTTTTCATAATAATTTCATTGCAACTCTTAGAAATAATTATTGCACCTGAAAAGCTTTACTGGATATAATTCTAAAAGATTTGATGAGTTTAAAGTTATTTTTTTAATACTTTTTGGTTTCATCGGGTATACATGTACATGATTCATGAAGCGTATCTTTACAATCAGTGTTTGTCTTCGTCCATCTTTTCATCTTTCTTCTTTCTCTCTCTCTCTCTCTCTCTCTCCCTGTATGTGTGTGTGTGTCTCTCTCTGTCTCTCTGCCCCCTCTATTTCTCTCTCTCTCTTACTGTGCATATCAGGCTTATGTCAATTTCCTTTAAGTAAGTCTTTTATTATCAAGTATACAGTATATGTCTTCTAAATGTCTTCTTTAGAAACAAAATATATACATGTTTTCTATTCCAGGTTTGTGCAGGGTCTGTTAGGTCATATGACCTTATAGAAAGGAAACAGTACTATTTTACATGAACGTCTAGAAAATAAACGTCTTTCATAGCTACGGGAAATATTCGAAATAAAGAAATTTAATTTTCTCATTTTCAAGACTATGTTAAGTTATGAATTTATTGTATTTTAATCGTTTCTGATGTCGGGAAATGCACCTGATCTAATGTGTTATGCGGAGGGGGGGGGGGGGGGGATAGGGTCATGTGTCTCCCTATCAATTGAGGAGAGAGAAAAAGAAAGAGAGAGAGAGAGTGTGTGTGTGTGTGTGTGTGAGAGAGAGAGTGTAAGTGTGTGTGTGAGAGAGAGAGAGTGAGAGAGAGAGTGAGAGAGAGAGAGAGTATGTGTGAGGAAGTTAATATGTCGAGAAGAAGACACGATTCCGTTTTATATTGCAAGCTGTCTCAAATAATAATATTTATGGCAAGCAAATTGCCCCCACCCCCCCCCCCCCGTGGCGACACTCGTTTGCAGTTTAACCTATCAAACTAAACTTTAAAACTTTATTGCAATCGAATTTTGCCGCTAAAAGCCTGTAGCCCCGTGTTCTACTAATTCAATTTAATCCTATAGTATGGTGGCCCTGAAGGGACATCGCGAATAGACTAAATCGTGAAAAATATGCGATAAAATTCACGATATCGTCAATTTTATCGCTTATTTTTCACGAAGAAATTCACGAAATTGACGATATCGTGAACTTTATCGTGAACTTTTCACGATGAAATTGACGATATCGTGAATTTTATCGTGAAAAGTTCACGATATAAAGTTCACGATATCGTCAATTTTATCGTGTACTCTATCGTGTACTCTATCGTGTACTCTCCTGACGGGCGCTTCGTAAACAAAACCAGCCCTAGCTGGGGGAGACAGAGAGAAGGAAAAAAGGGAAAGGGAAAGAGAAGATAAAAGGAAAGAAAGAATAATAAGAAGAAAAGAGGGAAACGGGGGGGGGGGGCGAAGGGCTCTTGCCTCCTCCTCACCCCCCCCCCTCCCCGCCAAAAAATAAATCAGAGAGAGAGAGAGAGAAGGGAAAGGGAAAGGGAAAGAGAAGATAAAAGGAAAGAAAGAAGAGGAAGAAGAAGAAAAGAGGAAAACGGGGAAAAGGCGAAGGACTCTTGCCCCCCCCCCGCCAAAAAATAAATCAGAGAGAGAGAGAGAAGGGAAAGGGAAAGGGAAAGAGAAGATAAAAGGAAAGAAAGAAGAGGAAGAAGAAGAAAAGAGGGAAACGGGGGCAAAGGGCTTTGCCTCGTCCCCCCGCCCCCCGCCAAAAAATAAATAAGAGAGAGAGAGAGAAGGAAAGGGAAAGAGAAGAAAGAAAGAGAAAAACGAAAAAGAGGGAGAAAAGAAAGGAAAAGAAAGAAAAGGAAGGAGGCAAGAGCCCTTCGCCCCTGTTTCCCTCTTTTCTTATTCTTTTTCCTCTTCTTTCTTTCCTTTTATATTTTCTTTCCCTCTCCCTTCTCTTTCCCTTTATGGCGGGAGGGGGGAGGGGGAGGTAAGAGCCTTTCGCCCTTCCCCCGTTTCCCTCTTTCCGTCTTCTTCTTCTTTCTTTCCTTTTATATTTTCTTTCCCTTTCCCTTTCCCTTCTCTCTATCTCTCTCTCTCTCTCTCTCCTATTTATTTGTTGGCGCGGGAGGGGGGGGGGGAGGAGGCAAGAGCCCCTCTTTTCTTCTTATTCTTCTTCCTTTCCTTTTTTATTCTCTTTCCCTTTCCCTTCTCTCTCTCTCTCTCTCTTATTTATTTTTTGGGCGGGGGGATGCAAGAGCCCTTCGCCCCCGTTTCCCTCTTTTCTTCTTCTTCTTCCTCTTCTTTCTTTCCTTTTATCTTCTCTTTCCCTTTCCCTTTCCCTTCTCTCTCTATCTCTTATTTATTTTTTTGGCGGGGGGTGGGGAGGGAGGAGGCAAGAGCCCTTCGCCCTTCCCCCGTTTCCCTCTTTCCTTCTTATTCCTCTTCTTTCTTTCCTTTTATATTTTCTTTCCCTTTCCCTTCTCTCTCTTATTTATTTTTGGCGGGGGGGGGGGGGGGGAGGCAAGAGCCCTTCGCCCTTCCCCTGTTTCCCTCTTATTCCTCTTCTTTCTTTCCCTTTCCCTCTCTCTCTCTCTCTCTCTCTCTCTCTCTTATTTATTTTTTTGGCGGGGGGGGGGGGGGGGGAGGTAAGAGCCTTTCGCCCTTCCCCCGTTTCCCTCTTTCCTTCTTCCTCTTCTTTATTTCCTTTTATATTTTCTTTCCCTTTCCCTTTCCCTTCTCTCTCTCCTTATTTATTTTTTGACGGGGGGGGGGGTGAGGAGGAGGCAAGAGCCATTCGCCCCCCCCGTTTCCCTCTTTTCTTCTTCTTATTCTTTCTTTCCTTTTATCTTCTCTTTCCCTTTCCCTTTTTTCCTTCTCTCTGTCTCCCCCAGCTAGGGCTGGTTTTGTTTACGTAGCGCCCGTCAGGAGAGTACACGATAGAGTACACGATAGAGTACACGATAAAATTGACGATATCGTGAACTTTATATCATGAACTTTTCACGATAAAATTCACGATATCGTCAATTTCATCGTGAAAAGTTCACGATAAAGTTCACGATATCGTCAAGTTCGTGAATTTCTTCGTGAAAAATATGCGATAAAATTGACGATATCGTGAATTTTATCGCATATTTTTCACGATTTTAGTCTATTCGCGATGTCCCTTCAGGGCCACCATACTATAGGACTTACTTCGCTATTGAAAATTCAACTTCAAATTTGAAAGAATACAACCACATTACTTACACTTGAAGGTTAATTCTTGGAAAAATTAATGTAAATAAATATCTTGACTTGTCATAGTGGCCACCTCTCTTTTATGATACACAGGTAAAAGTAGGCCTATTCTGTTCAAGAGGGGATACGAAAGGTATTCATGAACCAGCGCAATCACTTTGTCAGTGATTATTCTAAATTGTCCAATGTGGGACATCTGAGTGTTTTTTTTTATTATTTTTTTATTTCTGCATTTTTCAACATATAATAATAGAAAGTAATATACAAACTAGGTGCATATATATATTAACAACAAAAGTTCAAAGACATATATAACCGTATAATATATATCAATTTAATAACTTTTTAGATTTGAGGAGGCGCAATAGCTCAGTTGATAGAGCATTGGACTCGTAATTCGCCGACATGGGTTCGATGGATAGATATTTACATATTAAAGATTAGAATTTTACTGAATACATTTTTTAATCAACATAATCACTTCGTATTTTCGTCATTTTCTTTTTCTTTTTCCCATAGGGAGGGGGAGGGATAATATTCTTTATTCATCCTTATTATTCATAGAGAATATATAGATATAGAAGAAATAAAGAGTAAGAAAAAGAATGATGTGAGGAAATGAGAAAGGGTTTGAGGGAGGAGCCAATTTGCCTGGATATATTTATTTATTTATTTACCATTTTTAACTGTAGTCGTCCAAAGCATTAATACCAAAAAATATATTTCTGATAAAAATATGTTTTACGTAGATCCCCTTGAACATTAAAAAAAAACGTTAACAACTTGATTTTCTTTTTGAAATAGTATATAAACGAGAATACGGATACTTTAGAAAATTCATATATTTCCATTGCCATGCGTAATCGATAACGGAGAAAGTCAAAAGCCGTTGTCAACTCGATAAAGCAGCAATCAACACTTGTAAATATCATTAATGATGTTCATTGGGAGGTTCAATTTAAGAGAGAAAGAGAAAGAGAGAGAGGGAGATATTTTTATAGAGAGAGAGAGATGAGAGAGGGGCAAAGAGCGGGACAGAAGAAAAAATGTATGTCATGTATTTCACTATAATAATTGTATTTACACTAGGGCTTCAGGCAGAGTCGTCTCCGATATCAAATGACAATATTTAATACTTATACAGTCGCCTATGGCCTTTGTGATTAGAAATCTGTACACAAAAGTTATAACGGGGGATAGTTCTTATACATGTGATTTTTTCAACGCTACCACATTTGACAAATTGACACAATTGCTGGTTTGTCAGGAGTGCTGATTAGTACAAACATTCCGCAAAATTTTCCCAATAGGTCTAACCTCTTCATTGTGAAAGGCGACGAGAAAGTAACATGAATACAAAAAAACACACAGAAGAGATGGACAAGAAAGACGTAGAAAGAGAGAATAAGTGAGATTAAAGTTGAATCTACTTTGGGATAATAAGCATATCGTGCGACTGGAGCGACCTGCTGTTGACTTAAGCATTTTAACAAGAGAGTTTTAAGGCGCTATGTAGATCCGCGAAAGATTATCTTTCAAACTATATATTGGTAACACACTCTAAATTGTCAGTGACACCTGTTTGTGCGCACGTGAGTGGGTGTACACGGGCATGCAAATGAAGGGGGGGGGAAGGGGGTTGCCGTATTTGATAAACATGATGATACCTCAGTGATGAATGCACACAAGCCTGAATATTGTAAAATATACCCCTCCCATCCTTACTTCTATCAATGAAGATATTTATTATGTAATAAAAAACAATGCAAAGATGTTAAAATAATTTCACGATTATCTCGCATTGGATATAGATATATCTATCACCCGAGGTGTTAGGAAATGTAAAATTATGAGAATAAAAGGAAAACAATAAAGAGTGCGTGCCCCCTAATCGACATTCAGTAAATAAAAAAGGAAAGACGGAGAGGGAGAGTCAAGCATCATCCTCTACTCAATTGGTAGCCGCCAAATAAGATCGGTGCCATCCGCTGGTGTCAGCACCACTCCCCCATTTCTTGGCATGCAACGCCCACACAGCGCCATTGCATTTGAAGACCTCTTGAAAGTTTATTGTTGAATCTAAAAATGAAACTTATACATTCGTTTGCTCGTAATCAAATACACCACTCCAATATAAATGAAATAAAATCCATCAGACCATACAGTAAAACTGGACACGGACAGATGGACAAAGAGCAGAAGCATCGATTACTGAGCCAAAGTTATAAGGGACGGTAGCGTAAACGTGTCATGCTCTAAAAGAAGTACATAAGAACACCTGTGGTTTGTTAAACACTGCACCTTGAAATCAAACGCGTATGTCAATTCCGGATTGTATACCTTTTCGGACCTACCTTGAAGAATTCAAATGTAGAAAATGTATAAAATGAGAGCTGTTGGAACCATAAAAGCCATAGTCAGTGTCCTTTCAGATACTGATCACAAGCAACCAAAGACCACTCCAAGCTGATATCATCAATATCATAATGACAGGCCGAATCATTCTCAGCGGACTCTTGGTCATCCTGGTCCTTGCTACTGTTTGTGCCGCACAGGCTCGTGAGTATGAACATGTTTTAATCATCAGTGTGGGGAACTTTAGAAGCTTTATCATGCACTATATTTAAAATTGCATTTCAAAAGATATCACTGCCACTGATTACTGTGGGAACATAGCAGACGAGTTAAATGCGTAAACTTTACGACATTTCATAAAGGACTGTATTGAAATTTGTTTTTAATTTGGTCCGTATTTTTTCTGTTAAACTCGTATTTTAGCAAACGGCAATCGACCAGCGAGACCAGGACCAAGACCAAGACCAGGAAACGGTACAGGCCCACCTCCACCAACACCAGGTAATGGCACCGGTAACCACTCACACCCAAGCAACGGAACCGCTCCTCCTCCACCAAGACCAGGCAATGGAACCGGTAACCACTCACTCCCAAGCAACGGAACCGCTCCTCCTCCACCAAGACCTGGTAATGGCACCGGTAACCACTCACTCCCAAGCAACGGAACCGCTCCTCCTCCACCAAGACCTGGTAATGGCACCGGTAACCACTCACTCCCAAGCAACGGAACCGCTCCTCCTCCACCAAGACCTGGTAATGGCACCGGTAACCACTCACTCCCTAGTAACGGAACCGCTCCTCCTCCACCAAGACCTGGTAATGGCACCGGTAACCATTCACTCCCAAGCAACGGAACCGCTCCTCCTCCACCAAGACCTGGTAATGGCACCGGTAACCACTCACTCCCAAGCAACGGAACCGCTCCTCCTCCACCAAGACCTGGTAATGGCACCGGTAACCACTCACTCCCAAGCAACGGAACCGCTCCTCCTCCACCAAGACCTGGTAATGGCACCGGTAACCACTCACTCCCAAGCAACGGAACCGCTCCTCCTCCACCAAGACCAGGCAATGGAACCGGTAACCACTCACGTGTCGGTCGAATTGTTAAGCGCGGGCTTTTTTCCTCTAACTTTTCAACCCCACCCCCAGGAAATGGATCCGGTAACCACTCACACCCAAACAACGGTTCTTCCCCTCCTCCTCCTCCTCCTCCACCAAATAACGGTTCTTCCCCTCCTCCTCCTCCACCAAACAACGGTTCTTCCCCTCCTCCTCCTCCACCAAACAACGGTTCTTCCCCTCCTCCTCCTCCACCAAACAACGGTTCTTCCCCTCCTCCTCCTCCTCCACCAAACAACGGTTCTTCCCCTCCTCCTCCTCCACCAAACAACGGCTCTTCTACACCTCCTTCACCGCCAAGCAACAGCTCTGCCCCTCTGCCGCCTCCTAGTGGACCCCCTCCAACAGGTAAGTAGATTATTTACCTTTTAAAAAATGTATTTGGTAATGCAGCAGGGTTATACCCTATTTAAGTAGGAGTGTCGAAGATAATCAGACCTATTTCCAGCAAAACCTGAAAAGGGGAACGATGTTAGAGTGGATACAAATCGTGTAAAGTATATCACCCCTCCACACACGCGCACACACCTTACATCGTAGTCGAATAGTTTACATTTGACTGGAGATGCGATAGTCGTGTGTTTTATCCCCGGCACGGACATATGTCATTAAGCAAGGGATTTTTAATATATTGATTTTGTCCTCCCAGGTGGTACATTGATAGCCGCTGGGATGCGAAAGACATTGCAGTTTGCTCAGCATTGTGAATTATTGTAAAATGGCGCTTGGCTTGAGTTCCCTGGGCAGTGAAGAATGTGCACACATTGCTTGTGGGCAAGCCTGAATCTAGTAACCAGAGTAATAACATTACGTTTACATTTGTATTACATGAGAGCTTAGAGACATCGTAAATGTATTAGACGCTAAAAAAAACCATGAATAGTATCCTTATTAATATAATGTTGTTGTTGTTTCTGCAGGAGAACGCCATTCATGTGAGGGGGCATGCGGTGGCATCAGTCCCACTGGAGCCTGCTTTTGTGATGAAGCTTGCAGAGATTATGGTGATTGCTGCCGGGATTACCAGAAAGTGTGTCAGGTAAGACTGAACTTATTGATATTTGGGAATACATTCTAGGTGGTACATTGTTGGTTTAATCGTCAAAGTTTTGACAAGTGAAATCATTTATATTTATAACAGATAGTGAATGTTATGAATAACATTATGGTTATGTGTTCTTTATAGAACATAAAACTGTTTTGAAAGAGAGCAAAACCTAAGTGAAACTTGGAATGTTCTAATCCTCAATGTGAGATTAGGTTGAATTGTAGTTAACAAGGCTAAGCAACAAAAATGATTAAAAAACACGACACATGTACATTTATTATCATTTTGAGGAGAGAATAAGATTATGAAATACATGTATGTATATGAAATATAAAATGGATCATATTTACTTGGAAATTTTAGTCAATGAGGCACAGTTAACACTAAAATTATTATGACATATCAATAAATTATTCATACCCCTTATAAATTACTTGTTTTTGTGTTTCTCGCAACTTTAGAATAAAAGGCACACTTAAACTGGTTGAATCAGGGCCTCTGTTCAATAATGTAAGCTTTAATAATTTTGTCGCATCCTCCAAAGACGTAAATCGCGACAAAATCAATTTTTACATACTTTAAACATGATAAAAGGTGGTAAGGGTATGAATAATAAAGATGTTAACGGAACATACAATATGTTTTCCCATTAAAAGTATGCATTTAGAAATATTACCGTGGAAACTTGTTGGTCAACAATCGATGTTTCTCAAAAAAACTTCAATAATAATTAAATACTTATATGAGGGTTAAACGTTTGGTAAAACGTAAGTTTCTCGATTGTTAAAAGAAAGTTTGTTTCAATGTATATTGCCCTCGTACTACCGTCTGCTGTATTTTGACAATCACACAGATTACTAAGATGTAATATTATCTTAAGAGTCCAATATGCGTATATAGCAGCATAATAAATCTTTTCATTATTCTGTCTGAAGCTAGAACGGTCGTTTATAAAGAGACTAGTAACTATGCTATTAAATTGTTTCTTTCTTTTTAGAGCGGGCCTTCTCCTCCGAACCCAAACCAAGTGTAGTCGAACGAGAAAGCTGATTCCACTCAGGACTAGAAGACTGCTGCTTATCAAATGACATTGACTTTAGACTTTTACCATTTACGACAACGAATGGCAACCTATCTTAACAATGAATTTCCTTACAATGATACAGGGCTTCTATGTATTTTTTCTTCTTCTATATGATTATCAAATGATAGGAGATGATTGGGTAAAACGCAACGGAATACATGATAATCAAGTGCACGTTAACATCACTCGGTTTTAAGTTCAAAAGTCTTTGATCTGTTGATAACGGCTGGATGTTTTTTAAACTTTGATTCAGAAATAAAGAACTGTGTACTTACATAATTTTATTCAAATCGTTGACCTCATACAATTACCTCAATCCCAAGAACTACCTGTCTCCGTTTGATAATAGGTTAATACTCACTTTCGATTATGTGATGTAGTTTATTTGCTTGACACTGTAACAAAAATCTTTTTTGCAAAATATTCAGTATTCCAGGTTAAATCTAGGATGATTCAAAAATTATCATTACTTTAATATTCATGACAGGTTTACTTTCTTTTAAGGACATATCACATCTTTTTCTTTCGGGAAGGGGTTAAGGATAAAATTGCTAGTAGAGATGATTAATATGTATATGATCATGAAAATAAATATTTACCAAAAAAGAAAAAAAAAACTCAAGTGACTCATCTATGTTTCTTTCTTAAATATCACATTATTATTTATTATACGTTTAACATTCTTCATGCTCTTCTCGGGAGGATATGAAATTGATTCGTGTGGATATAAACCTACATGACGATGGGGTCGTGTATGGACGTGGGTGTGTACAGTGTTATATCATACACCCGCAGATATCCACACACACACTCACCCACCATGCATGTATGCATGCATACACAGAGAGTGGAGAGAGAAAGAGAGAGCAAGAGAGAGGTTTGGGGTTGATTGATAGAAAAAGAAGAGTGGAACAGAACGGGAGGGAGAGAAAGAAAAGCGAGAGAGTAGGAAATTTCATGACATTTAATTTTCAGAGTAAAACCAGGGGTAGAGGTAGGGTGGGGTGGTAGAGGTAGGGTAGATGGGTGGTAGAGGTAGGATGGAGGGGTGGAAGAGGTAGGGTGGAGAGAGTAGAGGTAGGGTGGAGGGGTGGTAGAGGTAGGTTGGAGTGGTGGAAGAGGTAAGGTGGATGAGTGGTAGAGGTAGGGTTGATGGGGTGGTAGAGGTAGGTTGGAGTGGGGGTAGAGGTAGGGTGGAGGGGTGGTACAGGTAGGTTGGAGTGGTGGTAGAGGGAGGGTGGAAGGGTGGTAGAGGTAGGGTTGATGGAGGGGTGGTAGAGGTAGGGTGGAAGGGTGGTAGAGGTAGGGTGGAGGGGTGGTAGAGGTAGGCTGGAGGGCGGTAGAGATAGGGTGGAGGGTGGTAGAGGTATGGAATTATTAGGCGTGTTCACTGATCACACAACATAACTCTCTTTTTAATTTAACTACGAGGAAACAAGGTTGCACTGGCAATAAAATACATGATAAAAAGTATTCCCTTTTCGTTATTTTATTGGGTACTGATTTGCAGACACAACACTTGCAAAGTGTAGTCATGCAAGCAAATAAATGATTCCGAATGAGAATCACATGAATGAGGATCGTGGATATTGCACGGAGTTTAAATGGTCATGTAATGAGATGGACATGAATAAATGCAGTGAATGAATAGAGCTTACGACAATGGTAGAAATGACGTCGAAAGTCCATGAAGATGATGACGGATGAAACGAAGAAAGGGGCTCACGCGATGATTGTGCGGAGGCTTGATGATGGAAACGCGACTTCATTGACGTGGCTGAAGAGCCGAGAAGAACGCGATGTCGATGCCGACGCTCGTGATGATGATGAATGTAGCGCTCGGGCGAGAAGAGAAGAAATGTGGCGCTCGACGACGAGGCAGTGAGTGGCTCGATGTCGGAGGCCCAGGTTGAAATGTAGACATCAAAGCCGGTATAGTGGTGATCGTGAAGAGCAGTGAGTCGCTCGATGCTGAATCGATGAGCCGGACTTTGAAGTGAAATCATCAGAGTTACAGTGAGATGGACTCGTTGATGAAAGTTCAGGCGAGCTACAGTGAATCGAGCTCGTGTGTGAAAAGAGCTACCGAAGCGAAGAAGCTAGCAGCTCCCAGCGGAGAATCAGGAGCCATGTCGGTTCCTGATTTAGACGTTCCACTGCAAGACTGCCAGTCCTTTAAAGACGGCAGGATAAAGAGTTGATGTGCCATACAATAGGTGATATAGGCACGTAAGAGAATTCTCCAAATTATATGAAGGAGGTTAGAATTGAAGATGGATTTGCTCCTGGTGTATGCATGAAGCAAATTGTGGTAGAGGTGACATTCTCAAAATGACGTGTTGCTTCGATGAAGAACTTTGAGAAGTGTGTAGTGAAGAAAGTTAGAGAGAAGATGTTGTTTTCATCCTTCTTGGGAGGCAGGATAAAACAAAGAGAGTTCTGTACCAAATTCTGGGAAGTTAGGGCTGGTCACTGGTGATAACTGCAGTGTCCAGGGCCATTACGCCATTAAGCTGACACTTGTTGATAAATATATGGGGTTAGCAGTGCCTGGCTTATGTCAGAGGGCAATGTCCTCCCAAATTGGGTTTGTAAAGTAACAAATAAAATTGAGAAATGAAGAGGGATGAAATGAGGAAAATACTACAGAGGTATAGCTGGGGTGGTAGTGGTAGGGTGGAGGGATATGGTAGAGCCAGTACGATTGCATGTTGTTGGAGCGCTTATTAAATTGTGACTTGTTGCTGATAATCTACGCATCATGGCAGCGTTGTAGTACATGATTAAACAATGGTCAGAGCCATGGTATCGGGTAGATTTATACGCGATTAGCAATTTGGGGTGTATCAAATGAAAGTTGTGAGAGAGTTTTGTGTCGGATAAGAATGATTGTTGTTGTTGTTTATAACAAACAGGTTAAAGAATGCCGGAGGAAGAAGGTTATTAGAGTATTTAAACATTAAGATTACAAAGTATTGCAAAGTATTGATATAAAACAAACTGTTAATATTTTCATCTTCTGAAATAAGGGTTCTGATTTTGCAAGAAAGGATGATATTTAGGAGTCGTTACTTGAACATGTACTATATATCTCTGAAGTGGTCTAGTGGATATCGACCGATCACGCGTTCTTCACTTAAAAGTTCGCGTTGTACATTAAAATCTGCACAGCCATTGAGACGTTGACGACGAGACCAACCAAGAAACCCAGGCCACGACTCGGCTGCGGCAGGGCACCGATGTACGCGATGGTATGGAAAAGGCGAGCGACGACGAAGAAACGGTAATGCCAGACGATGGTGGTGGTTGAAGCTCCAGAGGTGAGTGCGTAGAGGAGGCCGAGCGCGAAGAACGGTACGATGTTTTCCAGGTCGTTCAAGTGACATCTACAACAACAAAAAACATTTATTTACAGCTCTGTTTAAGGCCTCTAAAACTGTCGCATTCTAAAACTGAATTCATTATGATTTCATTTGCTCACCACGTTTTTGACCGCAAATCATTACAGACGATTTTTTAAAGATAAAAATGACAATCACACTAAAACAAATATCTTCGCAAGTTTACATTAAATATGATTATCTTGTCGCTCAGATAGAAAATCATGAATTTGATACGTTAAAGGTACTATGTCCCATTTGCAGGCCAAACAAAATGAAAAGGTTAAATTCCAACGGCATTTGAAAGACAATACTAATGTAGAACTTCCCTAAAAAGGGGGGCTTGAAAAGGTCTTTAAGTGGGAAAATAATGACTATCAGTTGTCGAATCGACTTAGGAGCTATCTTCTTCTTCTTCTTGATTTGATTTTGTTTGGTAATCAGTCACAGTCACAGTATCGAGCTAGTAAGTAATAGTCTGATTTTTAGACCATTGTACCGAATGGTCGTACGATTTATGCTACGCAAAGATTCAATCAGTTTAATTTTGGCCATTACAAGAAGTGGGTTATTGATGTAGATAAATGCTCATGTACCCTTTACAGCTCATGTCATGTATGTTATTACCAAAGATGAGAAAAGCCAGTCAATCACTCAATAGTGTCTGACAGTGAAGTCTAGCAAGTAAACAGGTTTCCTTGCATAATTTGAACATTAGGACACTGCTAGTGTTTAAATTTCACAGATAGGACATATATGACATATTCATAGTTCCTGCAAAGCTCTACAGAATTTGATGTTGGCTGCAAAAGGGACATAGTATCTTTAAAGGGATAGTTGAGTTCTGTTGCAGAGGGCGCCAAACAAAATTAAAAAAATTTGTGAGATAATAAAAATATCAAAAGTATCAAATTTGAAGGAACATATAATTCAAATGACCAAATCATCTTTGTGTGATCAAAATCGGTTCAGAGACGGCTGAAATATCCATAAATATAACCATTTTTAAAGGCACACTGTCCTACTTGTAGCTACTTGCTCCCTCTATATAGAAAACTTCCCAAATCGGTGCCTGTTGGTCCCCCATGATCCTCTTTTTCTTATGTTAAATGAGAGCTGAGTTAATGAGATAGCCACCTGTCACAGTGACCTCGATGTCTCGCTGTGTGGTCTAATCCCTTCTAGCTGCAGTAGTAACGCCTACCTTTAATATTTGTATACCAACACATATATTCGAAAATTTGAATCAGCCGTTCAAAATAAAAACGAAATAGCGCCTCATACGTTTTATTCCAGCCAATGCCAATGTTGGTTTTATGTTGGCTTTTTCGTGTTAGCTATAATGCTCACAACCAGCCGGCCCATGTTTTTGTTAATATTAATTAATTAATCAATTAACGTTCACCATATATTTTAAAAGTGGAGCTGAATTGGTATGATCGTATTCGCTAAATTTCACACATTTTGGGGTCTAAAATGACCTTTATAGCAATTTCAGGTCCTAAAAGAGCACTAGAAATGTCATAAATAAGAATAAGAGCAATAACCATGCACTTTGAAGACATTTGCGATCTGAAACAAGAACTAATCTCCCTTTAATGCTGACGCCTACCGTCTCCCACGTACTGTGCTCTCTCTCTCTCTCTCGCTTTATTTTTTCTTTTCTCCTTTTTTCCTTATATTTCTCGCTCTATTCTTTCTCTTCTCACAATATCTCTCTCACAAATTCACACACGTACACACACACACCATTACTAACACACACATCTCCCCGTTTCTCTCTCCGTCTCTCTCTCTCTCTTTCTCTCTCTCTCCCTCTCTTATACCGTCGATAAAATCATGCTCTTGAACTTTGTCTTAGCCTCTTTACTGGTTATATATAGTTATTTAAGTTTATTTACATAGAAAATCTTTGAATCAGAGTTTAGCAAATATCCAGACACTTCAGGAGCTATCCAAATGATTGAGTTTAGATATAATCCCTTGTATATTCTACCTATGCAATGACTAATCAGAAAATATATCAGACACATACACATCAGATCACATCTGATCATGCACATCAAAAGTTATGTTCATTTCCGTCTATCTGTCTGTCTGTCTCTCTCAGTTTCTATCTGTCTTTCTCTGTCTCGCTCTTCCTCTATTCATCACTTATACACAACGCAAACACACACACACACACACGCACACTCACACACGCACACACACACCTCTCTCTCTCTCTCTCTCTCTCTTTCTGTTCTCCTGTCATTTTCCTGACGCTCTCGTTCTCTTTCTCTTTCTCTCTCTCTCTCTCTCTCTTTCTCTCTCTCTCTCTCTTTCTCTCTCTGTCTCATCTCTTCTCTCCTCTTCCCTTCTCTTCTTTTCTCTTCTCCTTTTCTCTCTTACCTTCTGACCCTCTCCACCATAGGATCGTTGAAGATTGGTTTCCTATCCTTCTCCTTCAGTGATACCATATCCTCCGGGTTGGAAAATGCCTGTAAAGTAATCATTCAGAGGAACAGTAGTATTGCGGCAAGGGAACTCATTCATTTTGATCGAAACGTAAAAGGCGTCCCCTAGAACTGGAATCAGACCTCCTGAATAAGCCATTGCGCACCCGTGAACAGGTGGAACGCTGGTATGTAGATCTAGTGGCGTAGCTACGAGGGGGGGGGGGGGCGAATGGAAAAAAGTAAGAGCGAGAAAGATGAAGGAAAGGGAAAAATAATGTATCCGGGAACCTCGCAGAGAAATATGCATTGCAAAAAAGAATTACCTCAACCAAGGACCCCAAAATTTTGTCAGAATTTTGTGAGAATATTCATTTTCATTATACAATATTCATTAAGATTATGTATAGAAGATCAAGGAAACCTGTACGCATGTAAGCATTATCATATAGTATCACAGTATCACAGTGTCATATATGATAATCTTTATGTCTGTTATACTTATACAATTTAACACTAATTACTCAAAGAAAAAGAATAATCGAGTGTACTTTCTTCTTTATATCGATACTGAGGTTTTACCTTGTTAAGATAATATGAATATGGTAAAGCTCACGATATTATATAGCCACTGTAATAGAGATATTTACGAACAAAAAACATGAAGAGTCGGTTTCTGATACTCTGATAGGTTTCTGATAGTTTTGATACTCAATACAAATATAGTATTTCACGTTCTTTTTCATTTTCCTTCATCCCCCCCCCCGCCCTCGATCCCACTTTTGTTTGCCATTCAATTGGGGGAGGGGAGGGGGCACATGCTCTCCGGTGCCACCTCCTCCTTCGTCCCTACGCCAATGCCTGTAGATATACAGCTGGGAAATAGCGTTGGGTATTGTGTTAATAGCAGATGTTTCAAGGTTGAAGTCCCAGATAATGAATATATACATTTATCTCACAGCATATGGCATATTCTAAATCAATATGTACGAAAATGTGTCAAGCTCTATACATGCTCTATAGTTCTGCTTGAGGGGCGCCATTGAATATATATTCGTCCATTGCATATATATATATATATATATATATATATATATATATATATATATATATATCCTGCAATGAGTACTGGATAAGTATTTTTTGTTAATAGTTTCAATCAACAGACTGGGTAAATGTGGTCTCGACATAAAGTTCAAATCCAGTTTATTCAATAAAGGCATGTTTTATGTAATGGTTCGTAATGTTCAGTCAATGCACAATGTAGGGCCTACCCAATCAATACTAACATAAATAGTTCACAAGGTTTCAATCGTTACAGTAATAACAGGTAGATATTAGCTGAAAAACTCACATCTCCCTTTTATACCTATTTTTGGTCAAATTATCAAAAAATAAGGAGGGTCATCAGGATATAGGAGCGAAAGAGGTTTTTTTTTTAATGAATTAGCAGATTACGGAACCATTGCGTTCCATCATCATAATACTTAAATCACTTTTTATTTTGTCTCAGAAATATGACAAACAAATGGGCGTTCAGCTTACGTTTCCCTGATGACGAAAATATCCCGTCAGAGGGGATAGTACCACCATCTTCAGAATGACGATTGAAACATAAGTCGCAAAATAGGACAACTCTTCACTCTCTATCACGGCCATGTTGTTTCCTTTTCCCGGTATTTACCTGCGTCACCATCAAACATCTGAGACAAGCGAATTCAGACGGATAAACTAAGTTTGTATGCCCTTACCAAACGTAAAGTGGACTTTAGACGCATGTTTAAGTTTGCAGTATAAACAAATAATAGCTTATTGTTTGCCTATTATCAAAATATAAAAAGATATGCTTGATTGCGTGTATTAAATTCGTTTTCACAGAGTCTGCAACCGACCTTTGATACCCCGTTCACACACGACGCCGTTTCTACTACGATGGAAAAGTGGCCGAGAGCGTGGCCACTCGGGACCAATCGTGGGCCAAACGTGGGCCAAACGTGGGCCAAACGTGGGAGGATCTCCATAAGCGTGCTTTGGTCGGGGTGGGTACTCCTAGGTCGGGAAGCTGCACACTCTCCCCACGCTTATTTTGAACGTGCACAAACTAAGCAGGGGTTTACACCATCTTCCTTGTACATTTAAAACATACTTAAAATAAAATCAAGTCAAAGGCAATTCAAAAGCCTATATTGCCTAAAGATATTACGTTCAAATTTTGTGATATGTCAGTGGATGCTTCGCATATGGTATCTGGTAAGGTCGCCCCCATGCGGTCACCTATACACAGTCGCCCCTCTCTGTGAATATAATGCATTTAAACGCAACGAATTTTCTTTCGGACCAATAACATTGAATTGAATTGAATTGAATTGAATTAAAGAGTTCAATATTGTACCCCCAACAAATTTAAAACAAATATAGATATGTGACTCAGAGTGATATACCGGTTTTTTTACCGATATACCTGATAACAATATAATATGTAAAACATGGGAAAAGAACTTTATTTAGGGTTAGGGTTAGAGTTAGGGTAATACGGACCTTGGTGTCCTAGGATAACGCGGGGCGCGTCCTAGGGTTTGGGTTAGAGTTAGAGTTAGAGTTACGGTAATGCGAACCCTAGTGCTAGGAACTAATAATGGCTCGACTTTGTAAAAGGCATCAAATTAAAACAACAAATTAGGGGGCGAAATGACCAAAAAAGTTGGGGCGAGCTGACCAAGAATCCCAAAATCGCCAACAAAAAATCGGGGGGGGGGGGGGGGGGGACATGACCAATTGAGGGCGAATTTGTAAGGGGTGGCTGACATTGGGCGACCTGACATGGACCCGCCTGTAAAGCCTACCAGGCTCACCTAAAATCCTTGCGATCGCATTGTTTCCTTCTTCCTCTCTACGCCTTTGATTTCATACACTCATTATGATACCAGCAACAGTTTAAGAAATAAAGCGACAATCAAGTTCAAGTGAAAAGATTGAAGCTTTGCGTCGCGTGATTCTTTTCTTTTGTTTTGATTGGCGTGTTGAGGTCAAGAGATATCTCGACCCTTTATGGGGGCGCCAATTCGAGCTCAAGGCTAAGAGTGTGTAATCGTAGACACCTCTTAGTATAGAAAGTTTTAAAAAATTAATACAATCTACTTGTTAACATGTAGTTCAAGTGAACTTATCCTCCGAAGCCTGACTTTCTTTTCAGTCTTTCTACATCTTCTTGGCTATAATCAATTTCGTTTTTAGACACGAGAAATATATTAATGCTCTCCTGGATTTCGCCTCCTTACTATATTCTTAATTATTTCATGTACTGATCTCTCTGTTTACCATTATTTACCATTATTACCGAAAATGAGAAGGATGTATTTTGTAAATATCAATTTTATGTTATTTACTTATTTAATCATAGTAACTCAAAACAATATTTCAGTTACCCATTAGTATTGTCTATAATCATGTTTGGATTACATAATTTGTCATTTTCATGTTCACGCATTTCATATTGTGACAAGATTACTGAAATTGCCTAATACGTTTTTTTTTTTTTTTGAAATAAATCTTTATTCAGGTAAAATCATGGATAACATCGTAGTACATAAATATTCATAACAAATCACGGAATCACATGTCTAAATGAGTTCAAATCTAATTATATTTCTATTTACTTAATAGCAGATTTTAAATTAGTTATAGTTTCCTTCCACTTAATAATATTCAGATTCGTTGTTTTAGTTCTGTTTTCCTCAACTTCTATTTTGTATTCTAACATAAACAAAAAATATTTGCTTATTATTCTCGTCACTACATTTTTATTAAATTGATTTCTAACACTCGCTTTATAGATTGCAAATAAAGCATAATGAAGTATTAGGTCAATATCTATAACATTTTCTTTTGCGTCATGAAAACCATATACAACACAAATGGGTGAGAATTTAAAATCTTTACAGAAGGAGTTACATAATAATATTTCGATAACGTTCCAAAATCGGTAAATATTTTCGCATTCAAAAAATACATGTATAATAGTACCAGGTTTATTACAGTAGTAGCAAAAATTGTTTTCTTTGATTTTCCATTTGAATAAATTAACAGGTGTTGGTAAAATATTATACATAAATTTAAAGTTGAATTGTATCAAATAATTATCACGAGCATATTTCAATTTAAATAAGCATAAAGAGTCCCACTTTATAGTAACATTTGTTTGTAAGGTTTTGTTCCAGAAGTCTACCGCCCTAGATGGTTTTTGGATTAATTTTATGAGTTCCGTATATACTTTTTTCACAGTAATAGAGTGTATTGAAAATTCAAAACAATTTAAATTCAAATTTGAGTATATAACTGATTTACGTTTGTAATCGTTGAAATCATAAACTTGTTCGCCATATTTTATGATTCGCCTCCATCTTTGTTGTATTGCGGTTCTTATTGTTGCATATTCACTCAACCATCTACCATCATAATAGATAAGTTTATATTTCAATTCTTTGACTGTCAAAAATTTATTTCCTATCACTATATCCCCTAAAAATAATATACCCGATTTTATCCAATTTTTATACAACAATGCTTTTCCTTTAAATTTGATATCACAATTTAACCAAATCATTTCTTTTGTAACACTTCCATAGGTGTGGTGTATATCTTTTACATAATTAACTTGCTTTACAGTAAACCATGTACAAAGTAAGTCACAATAAAAATCAGGTATTTTCCCTCTATAAGACGTCACATATTTTGGTAAACATTTACAGTTCATAATAATATCAATCCCTCCCAGTTTTTCAATCCAATACTCAAAAAAAATTATCCACTTCCCTTTCTTTTCTTGGATTTCTTTAAAACTTAAGAAGCTAAACAACCATTTTATTTGTAAAGACATAAATTGCGTACACATGTCGACCATATTCATGCCTCCATTTTGAAGAGTATTTATCATGTTTTCTTTTTTCACTTTTGCTCTATTACCCCATAAAAAGTTATAAAATAACTTTTCATACGCTTTTATCCATTCCATAGGGCATGATAAAACTTGAGCTGTATAAATCAATTTTGAAATAACAAGGCTTTTTAAGATAATTACTTTCCCTTTAAATGTCAAGTTCCTCCGTTTCCAAGAATTTAAAAGTTGTTGTATTTTAATGAATCTTTCTTGAGACCAATTCATATTCACACTCAAAGATTTATTCTTACTGAAGTATATACCCAGAGATTTAACAAAAGTATCACACCAACTTATATTCTTTATTGTCTCTGAAGGAGGAGTTCTGCCCAACCATATAGCTTTAGTTTTATTCGTATTTAGATGTATTCCTGATACCCTTTCAAAATTTTCAATCACATTTATTACCTTCCTTCCAGATTCAACGTCTTGTACAAAAATTGTCATATCATCAGCCAGTTGGGCTACCTTAATTTCTGTTTTGTGTCTTCCGATAGTAATACCTTTAATATTTACATTCTGTCTTATTTTGTTACTTAAAACTTCGACACTCAGGATAAAAAGTAGGGCAGACAGGGGACAACCTTGCCTTATGCCTCTAGATGGTTTAATATTACCAGTAAACCATCCATTTACTGTAACTGATAAGCTTGGATTTGAATATAACAATCCAATCCATTGCCGAAAGGATTGCCTAAAACCATATAACTGCAAACACTTGTCAATGTATATCCATTCCAACGAGTCGAAAGCTTTTCTAAAATCTGTGAAAATAATTGCCCCATCTTTAGCCGTTAAATGATGGTAGTCAACCACGTCTTGAACTAGTCTAGCATTATAAATACCGCTTCTACCCTTTAAATAGCCTACTTGATCTTCATTAATAATGTCTGCTAACACATTTTGTAACCTTTTGGTCAAAACCATCGCTAATATCTTGTAGTCTATATTTAAAAGAGTTATTGGTCTCCAATTGTCAAGTTCCTGTTTATCTCCACCTTTAAACAATAAAGTAATAACGCCTTTCCTTTGTGAATAACTTAAGTGTCCTTTCTCAAAAGACTCGTTCAAACTATGAAGAACCAGATCGTTTACTTCTGACCAAAATTCTTTATAAAATTCTACGCTTAAACCGTCGAGCCCTGGTGCTTTATTAGGTTTCATACTTGTTATCGCTTCAGTAATCTCTTCCATTGTAACGAGCCCTTCGCATGCATCTGCTTCGTGTCTATTTAGACGTGGTATTTCTACTTCTGTCATGTATGAATCTATTAATTCTTCATTACACTCATTTGACCTATAGAGTCTTGAGTAAAACTTCTCAATAAACTTTAAGATTTTGTCCTTGTCGTACTCCAACTTTCCCCCAATCCTTAAACAAGAGATTGATCGTTTTGCACCGTTTCTTGTTTCTAAGCCTAAAAAGTATTTGGAATTACTTTCCCCTTCTTCAAACAGAGTTACCCTTGCTCTAACTCTAGCACCATCACATAAATATTTGTAATACGCATTTAATTCCATTTTTACACTAGTCAACTCTTCTTCTCGTTCTTTTCTTCCGTTGCATACTTGATCGTGCAATCTTTCAAATTTCTTTTCTAACTCAAATAAGACTTTCCTTTCGTTAAATTTCATTTTTTTGGAAAACATAATAGTATAATCACGAATCTTTAATTTACACATGTCCCACACAAACTGCGAACTAGTGTCAGACTCTGTCCTATGTTCAAATGTCACGTTCCGGATAACATTTCTAACACCAATCTTATATTCCTCATTCTTTAACAAGGAGTTGTTAAACTTCCAATACGATGATCCTCTTGAGACGCCAGATATCATAATCTCTATGGTAATAGCACAATGATCTGGACACCTGGATTTCGCCTCCTTACTATATTCTTAATTATTTCATGTACTGATCTCTCTGTTTACCATTATTTACCATTATTACCGAAAATGAGAAGGATGTATTTTGTAAATATCAATTTTATGTTATTTACTTATTTAATCATAGTAACTCAAAACAATATTTCAGTTACCCATTAGTATTGTCTATAATCATGTTTGGATTACATAATTTGTCATTTTCATGTTCACGCATTTCATATTGTGACAAGATTACTGAAATTGCCTAATACGTTGATTTCTTCTTTTTTTTAGAATGCCTTTGTGATCAAGTTCGAGGCAAGTACTCGTAAAACTGGAATAGAGATTATTGAGTTGAAGACCAAATGTAATTGAAGAAGTTTTTTCTGAGAGTGTAGACGTTCTCATTATTTAGAGGTCATATGGTTAATTTTTCTTCCGGTCTAGGAAGTACACAATGAAAAATAATGAAAAATCGAAGACACCCGCAAAAAGCAAAGAGAATAGAAGAAAAAAGTCCGTCATGGTTGACTTGAAAAGTTGAAGTGTTCGTGAGCGCTATACCGTTCGCCTCTTATCGCGTCAATTCAATCCCCTATCTAGTAACTTTGCTGGTATTCAATTTGATGGATAAATACGAGTGTTCTGAATGCTAACTTTAATCAAACTTTGGAGTGAGTTTCAGAGGGTTGTCAAAAGGTGAGTCGCATGTAAACTTTAAGAGTCAATAATAAGCTACTGAGTTTAAGAACCTGCAATAACCCGTGCTTCATGTTAGGTATCACTAAATAAGTTCCAGTTTTTCTATTTAATAATCAATATTTGATACTACGTAGCACTCGTATATCCACTACGCAGGGTGCTCAAGGCGCTCAAACATTACGAGAAAGCAGCTAGAAACCCCCATTTCAACACTAAATTTTAGTTTTATCTTTTTTTTGCAGATTTCATATATTTACTAATTTATTTATATTTAATTGATACAGAAAACTTTCATCGGTTTGGGGATAATCATGTAATGTAATTTTGAAGTTTCTACCAACCTTGAATTTTCTGGGCGCCGTACGATAAACTGGTCTACGATTTTTCGTGCGATTTGGGGGACATTGTAGGAGGCTACGGGCTGCAATGTTTGTGTTTACATTATCTACGAGCATCATGCCATTTCTTGTGTTGGCCCCCGGTGGCAAGCCGGGACAAATCGATACAGAGGCTGCTTGGAGATTGTACGGAAATCGTTGCAATTTCAGTGCAGCTTCCGTGCAGAGGTTGCGCGGAGAAGGCGCGGTGACCGTGCAGCCGCCGTGCCGTTATTGAGCGTTTTTTGCCACCATGTTTACCGAAAAACGATTGTGCAATGCCATCTACGACATGTCTACAGGCTAGGGCATACAATTTTTCAAATCTGTGTAACTCTCGCGAAACAAAAAAAGACCGTGAAGCCCGTTAATCCGTACGAATATCTCAGGGTCACCATAGGGCGTATTCCTTTCTTCACAGGCCGTACGGGTCGCCGTGATATTATAACGCGGAGTTATAACTGTTTTCATTTCTAGGTTCGCTGTAGCGATTATACACACCGTATGTCGTAGAGCGGTTCCTCGGCGATCGTATGTCGGGCGTACGGTAGCCTTACGTTTTATATACTGCAGGGGTGAAGCGATAGCCTCAGTCTGGCCGCAGGGTCGCCGTATGGCCCCCCTTCGGCCGCCTTGTGGGCACATTGCGGCTACCTTGCGTCTGCCTTAGTAGTTGACAAAAAGCTACGGCCCCGCAGGGACGCACTAAGGCGACCGTGCGTCATCACTTCGAAGGCCGTACGGCAGTCGCAGATTTTCTGTTTACACAAAGTCAAAATACGCCGTGCGGCTACCCTAACATATGTGACCGCTACCGTGTGTGACCGTGGGAATGCTGCGGCGGTCCTAGAATTGCTATTGGCCATATATATATATATATTAGACCGCACGGTCGCAGCTGCAAATATGATCTAGTTATAATCGCAGGCCAAATGTAATCCAGGCATTACCAGAGAGCCTAAGAGGCCGAGGTCTAGCATAGGGGTACGCCCACATGTCTCGCCCGAATACACAAGGGTAGCTTATGCGATTTGTTCCTGTGGCAGGTGGATTAAGGGTAGTGCAATGTTTTGGTATGGGGTCATGAATTTGGTTCAGATGTGCTATTCTCGTTTGGAAATTATGTAACAGAACTGCATATTCTGGGATTTTCAGGGTCGCAGCTACCATGGAATGGCCTTAGGCGCTATTTGAAATTTACCGGTATCACCGGTAAATTTTTGATTATTCAATTTCTCGAAAGCAGAAGTGTTTTAGGGGCAAGATTTTCTAGTGCTTATAATACATCCACAGGGACATCCAAATATATCAAAATTGTAAAGATTTACTATCGATCCATTTTTCAAAATTTCCCAAAACTGTGCATCACCTTTAACCAATGCACTTCTACAAGGCATGAAGTATAACCGTGTACCTTGTGCCTTGTACCTTGTACCTTGTGGTCGACTCTTCCGAAAGATCCGCTAAGAACTATAACTGGGAGTGTAACTTGGCGTGACGAGAGTATAAATTTGTGTATTTCAGGGGTTATGCTATTTGGTTTAATTTTTGGAGTTGCAGATTTGAAGACTGTGTTGTTTAATAGTTTAACTTCCTTGGAACTATACAGAGTCATCATGAAGCTTTTCCTGCTTGTTCTTGGTACGATGACACTCTGTCGTGCCAACGGAAATTCTATACCTTGCTATGACGATCTATCCAGGCCTCAAAGATGCGTTCCCGAGTTCGAAAATGCAGCTTTCAACTTGAGCGTAGAGGCGACGAATACCTGCGGAGAATACCGCGACACCCAGTACTGTAGTGGGCAGTGCTATAACTGCCAGAGCGGCTCGCATCCCGCTCGATACCTTACAGATTTTCACAGTGAGGAAGGGATGACTAGATGGCAGAGTGAAACGATGTATGAAGATATTCAGTATCCAAACTCAGTCAATCTCACCATACATCTAGGTATGTACCAGTATTTTCTGCCTTTAACATTTAAAAAAGAGAAGAAAAAAGAGGGTGAAAAAAGAGAGGGGAAAAAAGCACAAGATCTCAGAATATGCAGATGTGATATATGTATTCCAAACGGTAATAGCAAATCGGTCGACTTTAGTCAAATAACATTGTTTTATAGCTTAATTATATATATTGACCTTGAGAGGGCGCTATACAACATATAGAGTTTATTATTTACAATTTCATCACTTTAGGACTCGATTTCAACCGCGACAACGATCACTGAATATTGTAGGATTGCATATGCTTCCCTTATGTTCATTTGAACCAAATTCATGACCCCATACCAAAACTTTGTATTACCTTTAATGTAAGCAATAAAGTAATTTGTTATAGTGGGTAGATGCAAAGTATTTTAGCCTCGTGAATAATCAACAAAACAAAAAAACAGTATACGCCATAGCTTCAACGTAGTTTACAGGCTCACATCTTGACCTTCATCGGCAATATCTGTGCATCCCCCTTAAACAAATATTTGCCCATTATGCAACCCGGAGGTGATGCAGATTATTTAGTACGCTAGATTATTTCTCTTTCATGGGGCGGGGTATATATACATGATTAAAAACATTAGAGAATAGAGAAGTGAGAACCATTTTCTGCTACAAAATTGACATTACTGTCAGAGAAGAGGTCTTGATAATCTTTGTTTTGTATATATTTGTTTTCCCATTAATGTTGTTTTTTGTTGATTTCTCTAATTTCTCGATGTTATAAATGTCATGGTTGGTGCCCCAACCCCAATGTTGTATTCAAACTTCTTTAGGGACTCCTATCCCGATGTTTTTATATTTCCATGAATTAAATTGTAAATGTATTTTTATGGATGAAATAAATTGTATTGAATTGAATTGAAATCGAATTGAATTCTATGCATGTTGGTCAAGCCAAAGTTGGATATTCCTGGAGAAAAAGTAACTTTGATAGGAAAAACTAAATTTCTCTCACCCACAATGCGCAATATCCTCATAAACCGGTGAAGCAAAAGTCTGTTCAAAACCTAAAACGACAACTGAATGTGTTTCAGTTTTCACTTCTACGCATACTTTACATGATTATGTAATGCGTATTTATTGATACTAATATATAATGGTTCAATCATGATTGTCTTCTTTTATCTTTCCAGGTAAATCCTTCGAGATCACTTACATTCGGCTGCAATTTTACTCCCCACGGCCGGAGAGTTTTGCCATCTTTAAGCGTACGTGTCAGGACTGTCCTTGGATACCCTACCAGTATTACAGCGGCTCATGTGACTCCACCTACAACCTCCCAGATAGCGAATACGTCAGCTACAATGACCCAACGATGGCGCTTTGCACCAGCAGATTCAGCGACCTGTCGCCACTCACGGGAGGAACTATTGCTTTCAGTACGCTGCAAAATAGACCAGGTGCATGGAGTTTTGATAACAATGCCGTTTTACAGGTAAATTTGAGGTTCATTGGCTTCACCGTAACTGCTTGAATTTATCAAAACCATTTTTTATATTCACTGAAAAACTTGTATTGAATCCAGATTACTTCCGGACCAATAGATCTGTACCCTCTAATTCTGCTCGCGTTCATAATCACAACGGCGAGACGCTTTTTGTGGGTCATTACACATACATTAACAACCATCTTGATGATAGCCTCCTTTGTTGTTCAGATGGATTTCAAGATCTCTTTGTATCTCAAAAGCAAAGATATGTACACTTTCTCTGCTCAAACTCCACACATTGATATATGCTCTGTGCATAAATCCTCGTTGGTATTGTGAACTGATGTATCTTCAGGGCTGAACTCTATGCATACATATATGTGATATCAGTCAGCAACATTAGTCACCATCCTCGTGATCATATTTAGACATTGTAAAAGACCGGTTTAGTAATATAGATTCAAATGTATGGATGTTTCTTTCCTGGGGACCTATTGATGAGTTATATCATTAACCTGATATTAATGATTGAACTACAATGCTTTAAATCCAGTCCGCATTCATTACTTAGTGTTACGTCAGGCAAGTCCCGACATACTTTCAGGTTTTCAAGAATAAACTTTGTTTTAAAAAGTATGCATACAATTTGAATATGTTTGTAAACCGTCTAATACCCACGGCCATTTTTTTCCTCCAAGGCAATTAATTGTTGTCATTTTTCATACATCTGTTCTTTTTTTCTTTACAGGATTGGGTGACAGCTACGGATATTCTGGTTATGCTGACGAGATTAAACACTTTTGGAGATGAAGTTTTTGAGGAACGAAAGGTTTTACGATCATACTTCTATGCCATCACAGATTTCTCTATTGGTGGAAGGTAAAAGTTTCTTCATTGCGTTGTACTAAAATGAAGAAATGAACTTAGAAACCAAGGTATCATTTCATGAAAATCTTCATACGAACAAGTTTGCTGACAACTTGTGTGCAGGCATGCTTGTGTGTATTCGGTTTTTACAGACGTGTATCAATCAGATATGATTATTTACGTCTGGGGTCTGACCTTTAAACGTCACCATCCGACAGACGTGACTCAGATTCGAACCTGCGTCCTCGTCTGAATCAGTTTGTATCTTCCATTGTTAGCTGGATTACAGGCGCACGCCACAACGCCTAGTCAACCCAATTAAGTTCTTGTATTAAATCTAACACGTTACAATGGGGTTTCGGTGAACTTATACTTATGACTGTTTTGTGAAGCGGTTCCCACATGTTTTTAGATTAATCTGTATTATAACAGCGTAGTGATCTGCACGGTTCACATGCATATAGTGATAATGTACAATGATACTATATATTATAAAGAATAGAAAAAAAAAGGAACTAATATTAGATTCATTATGCATATACATGTATTTCTTTTAAGACACCAACCGGCACATAAAAACCAATTTGCATTTGCATTTTCAATTGTTGTCTCGCCTGCATAGCAAAACGAGACATATGCGCCGCTTTTCCGGTGGCAGCGGCGATGACGGTGGCGGCGTAAACATAAAAAACTTAACCTAAGAATTTGTAATATCATTTTGGAAGTATAAGTTCTTATTCAATGAAACTTGGACTAAAAGGTTATCAAGTATCCCAATCATGTGAGTAGAATTTCAGGTCACAAAGTCGAGTTCAATATATTCTCTCTTTGCAAAGCATATTCTTACAGACTAGTAGCCCCATTGCTACAGGGATAACATGTAGTCAACAAGCTTTTTGTAAAGAATAATAAGAGAAAGTAATAATTATTGCAAAGAGGTGACTCCGTCGTTCAGGGAATACATAAACATGAACAACACATGCCTTTAAAAATAGAAGGTTCTTTTTAGAGAATGATGAGAAACAGGAATTACTTGGTTGACATTTGTTTGATATTCACTCCATGCAAAAGTATACTCTGGCAAACAGGTGTCTTGATAGTTACACGGAATAGTTCCTGTGTTTGATTCCACTATATCTGCATCATCATGATGTAAACACAGGGAACTTATAGATCATTGTACAGGATAACATATACAGTTAAATATGAAATGATTCGAACCCTTACAAAGTCTTGTCATTTTCTAAGTAGATGAAAAACTAATTTGGCCCGATTTATATTTCTTGAGAAGGTGACATATCAAAGCTTACATCTACAAGTATTCAACAAACTTCTTAATTAAACCAATTCACCTTTCATTCTTGAGTTACAAATACAGAAAAAACATCAAATGTACAAGAGATATGAATGATTTTGTTGTTGACTGTATATTGTATTTGTGAAATTCATGATAAAAATTTCTGTACAATATACCAACCTTGCAGGCTTACAGCTACTCCACTGTGTTTGAAATTGAGTATTTTTTTTAATTTTTAGTAGTGTCCGATCATTTACAAATATATTAGGGCAGGTTCGTGGTATAGGTTTGATAAAAGAGAAATGATATGATAAATGTAGGTCTGTTGTGATATGATTCAATAAAATATTCGGTATCATTTCACTTACTTGTAACACTTTACTTTGCCAACTAGTGTGTGTAGCATGAAAAATGACTCTTTTGCTGTACTTTTTATTCTTATTTCATCTACTGGTTAAACACAAATGTATTATCTTAGGGATAAGCACTGTTTTAACTAGTGTGGACTTTGCTTTAGTATTACGTTTGATTAATGCATAAAAGTGGGAATACACAATACATGTAATTTCATGTACATTTTATATTGTCAGGTCGGGTGTACATTCAATCGTAACACTAGACAGTGCATTGAAGCACCTAATAATACCTTTAGCCATCTTGTACATTTATGTCAGTGTGAATGCAACAATTGATGATTTTATGTTTATTTCATGTTCTCAGGTGTAAATGCAACGGTCACGCCAGCCAATGCGTGGAAGCACCCAACGATCCTTACAACCGTCTTGTATGTCAGTGCGAACACAACACAGCAGGGCCAGACTGTGGCGAATGTCTCCCTCTGTACAATGACAGGAAGTGGACGAGAGCCACTGCTGGGAACGCAAATGAATGCATGAGTATGTACAGAGTAACTTCATCAGTCCTCCACTCAAATTAAATTGGCATCATTTTGGGCCGTATTCGAATGATACAGAGAGCGCGATAATCACTTTGCATAAGTAAGGGTGAGCATGTTATTTGTACTTAAAGATAAAAGTTGAGTCCTGGTCATGCGATTGCATTGTGAAAGAAATGATGTGGAATCGAAGAGAAAAAAAGTTGATCATGTAGCATAAAAGTAATGGTGTGTAGGGCAAGAAGACTGGTCCTGTCTTTGTAAGAGTAACAAGCTCTGTACACACAAATGTGGTATAAAAATGAGGCCCACATTTCTAGGCTGTTGCATGTCATATTTTGAATAGAAAGGCATTTAAAGAGCCATGCTTTTCAGGGAGCATTTTTCTCTGATGTTTTTCCACACTTGCATAAAATTAATGAAAACGCTCACAAATCATTTTTTACCTCTCCCTAGCCTTTAAACAAGGCCACATGTCTGATAGACGCCGAACGACGAAAAAGAGACTAATCGCGAAAACCTGAGTGAACGCCAGTGCAAGAATCACAGCCAAGTAGCCTTTATCAATGCAGGTTGGATTTCTTATGTTAACCTTTGTTTCCGACTGGAATTCTCTACCGAAATGGTAGCGTCCAATCAGCGAACGTTTCCTCGCACGACGTCAGCATATAGTATCCATCACACACACACACACACACACACACACACAGAGAGTAAACTCTACGTAGTACGGACCTTTTCAGGGACCTACTATGAACTATTACGTACGTGCTAAGACCACTGACCTCTACATGGAATGAATCACGAACGAAACTAACTGGGAGATCGCCGTTCTGATTGGTCAATAAATCCAAAGTTGGCGTATTGGCATGCTAATATGTATCTATGAATAATTCATGCGGAGCAGTGATATCTACATTGCAAAAGGTCTCGTGACTGTCGTCACTCGGTCGCGCGTTCACCCCAAGTATCTAGACTCATCTCAGCCGCTTAGCCAGAGTCACGAGGCCTTGTCAAAAGGCTAACCTCTCCCCAGAACTCAACTTTCTCTTTAAATGTAAAGGTAATAAAGCTTGATGTAAGGTTGAATGTTTTTCTAGCTTGCTGTCTTCTTCAGTCTTGCAACATTACAAATAAAACAAAATACAATTTAAAACAAATCAAGGCAAACACATCAGGGTATAGATAATGTAAGAGACTGCCACGCAAGCCTTTGGTGTGATCTCACGCTGAATGGCACAGGCTCTGGTGAAAACTCCTTGGTTAACTTCTAATCCTAATAAGATTCATAAATTTAGGAGGTGCGATGGCTCAGTGGTTTTGTAACCGGGATGTCCCTGGTTAAAAACCATGTTGATGTACTTGTGTCATTGGTAAGGCATTAATCCTCATTACCAAGTCTCTCGAAGGACTAAAAGCCGTCAGTCCCCTGGTCGCTTTAATTAGCATTATCAAAATATCATAATTGTACATAAAAAATATTCCATATTGGATCAATGTTTAACCTTGTTTTTCTTCTTTCACAGGATGTAACTGCAACTCACACGCTGACCGTTGCTTCTTTGATGAAGAGCTTTACAACCGAACAGGATCCGGTGGTCACTGCATGGAGTGCCGCAATGACACTTCTGGCGTCAGCTGTGAGCATTGCCGTGACAACTACTTCAGGACTTCTCCAGATGCTCGATGCCAGCCTTGTAACTGTGACCAAACAGGTAAGGATTAGTTATCAATGTGAAAGGGGTTAAACATGTAAGTTACTTCAAGAACTATCTCAAAATGAAGCTAATCTATAAGAAATATAATTTCATAAGTAAAATTGTTTTGTTTTACTAAGAAAAGGGATACGTATCTGGACATCATTTTGATTTGAATTAAATCCGATATATTTCAGAGAATGGGTCAGTGAAATTTTTTAGAATATTAAAGTTATGTATGTCAATTTTTTAAGATCATAAGTCCTAACACAAATTGATAACTGCATAATTTCCTTTGCAGGCTACTTTCAACTTATTTTGGGGTAAAAAAAAAGATTAAACAGCCTACTTCTTGAGTTTCCATGAAGTGATATATTTATTTCATATAGGAGAGTCTGTATTACATGCTTTAATGGCATATTTTTAATTTTGAAATGGGAGAAAATAGCAAATTTAAAGTACATGTATGTGTTGTTCATTTTTACTCTGATTATGAAATGGTAAAGTCTATTTTGACACAAATCAAGAGTGAAACTATGGACTCGTGAATGCACAGAAGTAAGCCGATAAAGCATTGGACAGACGAATTTATATTAAATTGATAAGTTATATATGGAGAAACTAAAATTGAAGCTATTTCCCTTCCATGTCTTCCCTCCCCATGTAGGATCATTGAACCAGCAGTGTGATAGCTCAGGACGATGCCAGTGTAAGGTAGGAGTCGGAGGAGAGGGATGTAACCAGTGTCTTCCTAACTACTATGACTTCGGTGAAGATGGATGCAGGTAAGTCCTTCGGATATGAAGCAGAGTGCTATGTACCAAAGTCATTTAGAGCACATCGACAATTCAAAAATTATTCACACCATTGTTTTTAATGGTTAGTAGCACGTTTATAGTTTTGGCAAGGCCCGCTTAGATTTTTGTTGATGATTTTAGTTGATACATAATGAGATATTGACAACTTCCTCTACCTTTTAAAAGCAGTATTAAGCAAATGAGAGGTGAAAAATAATTCTCTATGTAGCCGAGGATGTTAATTCTTTTGTAATCTAAATAGTTTAATCCTGTACCATCGCTTTTTGTGCGTGAGTGTGAATTATATGAATCGCTGTGGTAACACTGTGATGTGAGTGAGTTGTTGGCACATATGTGGTGGAGTAAAAAGACAAAGTATCATATTCAAAATACTGTATTTTTCACCGACATGTAAAGAATATGAGATAGTACCATTTGGATAGTACTCTCTAGATCAAGAGAATTTAAGATTAACCTTGTTTGTGATGAAAAAATGCTCTCCATAGTTGCCAGTAGGAAGGTGACCGAGTACATAAAGGGGCGGGGCAAGCTGTATTTTACCTGAAAATGTGTGTACGTGGGTTTGTTATTTGTATACATTTTAGGAAGCTCCATGGAAGAAAATTCTCTAGAGACAAGTTACTGCGATATTCTTGATGTAACTCTTTACTTGCTTTGATCAAGTAATAGGACAAACAGTAGATAGCCACGACTGACTGGATAGGTATCATACACTCCAACCAAAATGGCAGTCTGGGCTTCTGATCCATTAGAGTAAAATGTTAATGAACTAGTACTGCACGTTATTGTAGGACTTTAAATTGCATGTATTTTTGACATTCTGCGTTAGGCAGCTTTCTCAGCCATGAAGACTGTTATAAGGAATATTTTCTCAATTAAATTCACAGGCCTTAGTCTTGTCAGCGGACTGATAATTGCGCTTCACAGCATCACCCTTTGCAGTCCTGTCGCTACCAATCTTCTCCTGGAGTCTTTAACCTAGCTGCTAGCAACCACCCTGGAGAAAGAGAAAATAATAATGCATCTCTCCACAGAAAAAAGATTATAATAACAATATCAATATTTAAAACGCTATCTAAGATTTTTGTCATTTATTATAAACTTTCTTCTATTCATGTTGGAGATAGAGAAACTGATATATAAGATCATTTCCCTATCTTTGTTGCATTTGAGCATCTTACGAAGGCAAGTAAAACAAACAACAACAAGTCTGTGTTTCGTACTTTCAGAAATTATGATATTAATGAATTTCATGATGATCTAGGTAAAATTGATGGGAAGAATTTAATGATATCAATTAAATATCCGTTGCATCATTTGTAATGTTCCCAAGAATATACTTGTTTTATTATATAAGGCTTTCATACAGCCTCACCTCTTGTATGGAGTATAAGTATGAGGGGGCACTTACAAAATAAATTTAAATTGTATATATTTAAGTCAAAATATGATAATGCGAGCAATTACATTCTGTCCATTTAGATCAGACTCCAAACCTCATTTTCAAAGTCTACAAATATTAAACATTTTTAAGCTTCATGAACTTCTATCAACATTTATGCATGATTTGGTAAAAGGTGTATTACCAAACTCTTTAGTCGACTATTGTCAGATGATACACCACATATATGCAACAAGAAGAAAAGAAAGTGGATTACTCTATCAACCCAAATGTAAAACAACGCAAGGACAATTTTGTATTTCGTTTGTAGGAATTCTCTTTTCAGAGACACCTTTCCCCTACCTTAAATGACGTGGACTCAACCCCACATCCCCCTTCGTTTTACTTTATAGATTATAGCTGCCCTTAAGCTTTTACAGGATTTATGCATGTACGAACATGTGCATGATTTTATTCTTTTAATGCTTCCTTTTCATTTCATGAACAGAGTGATGATTGTATTTGCTCAAATATTTGTTATCTTTCATTATATTGCTTTAGCACTTAAACTTTGTAAACTTAAATGTAAAATGGTGGCAGGATACTGTATTATTATTTGTGCATATAATAGAAGTTTATTCCAAAATGCACTACATGTACATCCATAAATCCAAGTTCTCACTGAGAAAAACATGATTTTTTAATTACCATAGTTAGCAATGTCAGTTTGGAATGATACTTTGGCTGATTATACTATTGTATGATACAAGTACCAACGCCAATCCTTAAAAAAAATCAAAGACTGCACAAATATTTTTCATGAATTTATGTTTTTTAATTTTTGTGGATCTAGTACCTTTTAGAACCAAATTGGATGTAGTACTTTTTTGGAACCGAAAATCATGCATATTGTATGCAAGTTATAATGCATGACTTGAATAGATATAGTACATTTTGGAACCGAACCACGTTTAAATGCCAGTTTTAAAACTTTTTGTGGAAATTCAGCTTTTCGAAAGTGTCAGTTTATAAGGCCTCGGAAATTGTGTTCATTAATGCAACAAAACAAAAATCTAACAAAAATCTATTTTAATTTAAAAAAATGGATGTAGTTCCTTTTAGAACCGAGCTATTCAATATGTAAATAAAAAACAAACAAATTTTACATTCATATTCTTTTTTTAATTAGAAAACCTTGTCAAAGAATGGAACTATGCTCGACTATTACTTGGGCCAGCTTCTAGTTCTCATAAACTACTTCACGGTTCACCTATGTATTAGTAATACACGTTGTTACGTGTATATCTGTTGTACATTTAATATAATGCCGATCTATGTCTAAATATTGGTCTAAAACCATTACTGTTCAATCAAAATTACTCTGTTGTTATGTATACATGTATCCTTATCATGCTTTGCAGGGTATGATTGTTTATATACTGTCATTATTGCGATCTGTTGTTGTTGATAATAAATTCAAAATTCAAATTCAATATGTTAAAAGAATTCTTGGTTTCGTTGCCATGCATGAATGATTTCAGAAAAAAAGGATAGATTCTCTGCAACAATGGTACTGACTGTATTATATCAGCAAACTTGCACATCTAACCCCCCCCCCCCCCCTCCCCACAAGACTATATTTCAGTCCATTGACGAGATGTACATCACTTGCTGAAGCGACAATTGCTCCTCTGTAAATAACTACTTTAACCCAAGTCCTAAATTCAACCTGGACTGTGACGTAATACTATACCTAACTCTAACCCTAATCCTAAACCTAATCTAAAACCCAAATGTGACCTAAGCCTTATACTTTTGATGAAATAAAGCTGGGAGCAATGTTTACCGTAGCAAATGTCGGATAACCTCATAGACCAAAAAAGGAAACAAAGTCCTGCCAGGAAGTATGTATCTTCAGGTTTCTACAGAACTTCCAATTTAGTGTTAACTTCCAAACTTTTCAAGGTAATAATTATAACGCTATTAAACATTAACGTAATAGTCTATCCATTTACAGAGGTGGATTTTTTTCTCACTTCTGCAGAAACAGATGCGCACTTAAGCATTGAATAGGTCATGTGACGCCAGTGGCGTACGCAGGAAATTTTCAAGGAGGAAGGAGGGTGTGTGAAAATTTGAAAATTTGAAAATCCGACCAAAATTGGGTGTAGGGGGCAGGGGAAGGGATAGGGGGTAGTGAGCAATATATATATTTTTATGCCCCCCCCCCCCGAAATTTAAAAATTGCGCCGATCGATATTTCGCTCAGTGGGGGGGGGGGGGGGAGCATTAATTTTTTTAAACTCCACACCCCCCCCCCCTTTGCGCCCCCCCCCAAAAAAAAAATTGAGGGAGGGGTTAAACCCCAAAACGCCCCCTCCCCCTGTGTGACGCAATGCATTGCAACCCGTTTCCCAACGTGAACAATGGCTTTGATGAAAACATTTTCATTCCAGTTGTTACAGCATGACGATTTTACTAATTAATCCTTTTAATTGCAGCCCAGGTCTGTTGTAGGCCACGATCAACACCCGTTGGTGACCAAACACCTGAATACCATTATTACATTGATCCAAATGACACTCACTATAACATCAGCATCCAAATATTTCACTATAATACATTTTCTAGAATTGACCAAATACCGTGAAGGTAGAGGTACAAGAAAACAGATTGTCAACATTCTAAACATAATAGAGAAATGCAGAGAACACAAAAATCCCTTTTTATAGATTATAGCAAAGCATTTGACTGTGTGGGCCACTCTCAATTGTGGAATACAATGGCAGAGATGGGGTTCCCAAGTCGCATCATCGAACTGATCAAAAACCTCTATCATGACCAAGAAGCAACAGTGAGAACCAGTAACGGCAATACTGAGTGGTTTGGAATTGGCAGTGGAGTCCACGGAGCTGCCCCGACTTACATGTTATCACATTAATACAAACTATTCCGCTTAACACAGATAAAAAGTCGCTCTGTCAAGATTTTTTTCGACGCCATATCCTCACTCTCTTCATTCCTCTCATCAACGAACACACAAGAATATCAAACACCTCCACTACACTCATCGATAACATTTTCTCTAACTATGAAGCCCAATTTTCACAAGGAATACTTTGTTCGGACATCGGGGATCCCTTCCTAGTGTTTTCACACCTCCCCAGTGGCGTACCTGGGGTACTCCGTCAGGGGGGGCAAGCGACCGAAACAAACAAAAAAGGCGATGCTAATTTTCACTTCTGGCGAGCGAGCGAGCAAAAAAAAATCTTTAAGTAACGTTTGGTATATAAACTGGTATTGTTGCAAGTTGGGGTGGGAACATTCACTTGTTAGCGACGTTAATTTCATTTTTTTGCAAACGAGTGTAGCGAGCAAGAAAAAAAATCACTTCTTTTTTAATAATTGCCACTTAAACTTGGTTCGATTGTCCCATGCAGGGCGCGGGAACAATATTGTGTTTAGGGTGATTTTATACCCATTTTAGCTAGCGAGCGAAAATATATCTTTCTCTCAATGAATTGCTATATAAAATTTGTTTCATTGTTGCAGGTAGGGGCGGGCACAATCGTGTTTAAGGCAATGTCAATCCCATTTTGGCGGGCAGGCAACCCCCTACATTTCTCTTTTTAATGATATTGTAGCAGGTTAGTGGTGGGCACATAATTCCACGAGCTATAGCGAGCGTAGCGAGCGAAAAAAAAAATCACTTTTCTTTTATAGGGAAAATATGGTACATAAAACTTGGGTTCATTGTTCCATGTCAGGGACGTGATTATTAAAAGCGGTGTTATTTCTATTTTGGCGAGCGAGCGTAGCGAGCGAGCAAAAAAAATCACTTCTCTAATTTTACAGGGAAAATATGGTATATAAACTTGGGTCATTGTTCCAGGTCAGGGACATGATTATTAAAAGCGGTGTTATTTCTATTTTGGCGAGCGAGCGTAGCGAGCGAGCAAAATTTTTGTAATGATAATTGGTTCATAAATTTCAGATTTTTTTGTTGCAGGGCAGGGCTTACACAATCATGTCTAAGGTGATGTTAATTCCGTTTTGGCGAGCACGAGCACACCAAAACTTCTTTGAATAACGTTTGGTACATATGGTTGTTGCAGGTTGGGGCGGGCACGTTAGTGGTGTCAATTCCATTTTGGCGAGCGAGCGTAGCGAGCAAGCAAAAAAAAAATTCTCTTTTAATAGAAATTAATAAATAAACTTGTTTTTATTGGTGCAGGTCAGGATGGACGCAATCGTTTAACGCGATTCAATTCCTTTTTGGCGAGAGGGCGAAAAAACTTCCATTTTTAATGATATTGTTGCAGGTCAAGGGTAGGCACAATTGTTTCCAAAACAATGTCTATTCATTTTATTCGCGAGCGAGAAAAATGAATTAGTCTCTTTTAGTAACATTTGGTACATATATTGTGTGTTATTGTTGCCATGGTTGCAGGTCGGGGCCCGTCGGGGCAGGCACAATTGTATTCTAGGCAATACTAATCCTTTTCTTTTTTCAGGGGGACGAGCAAGTGAAAACATTTAATACAAACTAGGCTAGCAAGCAGTTCGCGCCAGCGAAGAGTTTCAAATTTGTTATATCACTTATATTTTCCTATTTTCATTTGTTTTAATTTTTCAGGGCCGTATGCGGAATATTTTTCTGGTGGGGGAGGGGGAAAGATGCGTTAAAAGTTTTCGAAGAAACTCAAAAGCAAAAGGAGTGAAGGGATTTCGAGCGACCGAACTGGTCATGAGGGTACTTTTGCATTTTCAAAAGTAGAAGGATTTGGTATAGGCCTACACTACATTTTCAGGAAAAAAAACTGTACGTTTTCAAAATATCTGGGGTCAACTGCCCCCCCCCCCCTGGTGCGTACGGCCATGGTCTTTTTTTTTTTTTTAATTTCCTCATTTTTATTCCTTTCCTTTTCTTTTCCCTTTTTCTTCCTTTTCTCTTCCTTTTCCTTTTTTCTTTCCTTTTTTTCCTTTTTTCTTTTTCTTTCCTTTTCCTTTCTTTTCTTTTCTTTCCCCTTTTTCTTTTTTCCCCTGGAGCCCGTCAGGGGGGGCACTCTGCCCCCCTGCCCCCCCCCATAGGTACGCCAGTGCACCTCCCTGTTACAAAACTTAACAAAAACTCCCACCATCGCGCACCAGAAAAAACAGAAGAAAACATGAACAAATTCAAACATAGTTTAGAAATTGTAGATTGGTCGAATGTATTACGCCGCCACAATTCTCATGAAGCATTTGAAGTGCTTCTCGAAGTGTTCATGTCATTATACAACAGCGGCATACCTATTCAGCACAGCTCTTGCACTACACAATACAACAAGAGACTATTCTACACATATCAAACAAATGCACGTATTAAACCAAAATAAACATAGATACCAAAGCTACAAAAACAGCGTTACCAGCATTTACGACTTATCAAGATTTCTCCCACTAATTTGAAACACATGATCTTAAATTCCCATGGACAATTATCAACAATGCGCTTAAAAAAACTCACATAAACAAGGCCAAAGTTATACCCGTGTTGAAAAAAACTGATACCTATGATCGATGAAACTATACACCCATACCTCCATACACATCGTTTTCTAAAGTATCAGAAAGAATTGTTAATACACGGACCTTCAAATTAATACACGACCCCAACATATTCAACGGATTAAATTACAGCTTCCAGAAAAAGCACACAACAGCTCATGCTATGCTTATACTTATTAATAAAGTTGTCAAAGCAATTGATAACTCTTCCTAGACTACTCCAAGGCCTGTGACACAATAAATCATGATATTCATTTGTACAAACTTGCTCATTATGGAATTAGAGGAAAGGCCGCAGAGTGGTACTGTAACTATTTTACAAATAGGACACAATATGCTTTTATTAATGGCTGCGAATCTCGTGCGGAAGATATCACATGTGGCGTACCACAAGGATAACACATTGGTCCCTTACTATCCATACTGTATACAACCTATTTCAAAATATCTTCTAACATGTTATCATTCAATCTATTCGTTGATGATTCTAACATGTTTTTCTCCCATCGTGATCCGATAACCCTACTAAACTTATGTTTATTTTGTGCTATATAAATATTGTATTATTATTATTATTTTAAAAACAATTCAATTCAATTCAATTCAATTCAATTCAATTCATTTATTTGGTCAACCTTCAAAATATATGCAATCAAAATAAGAAGACTTAGAAGAACACAATGATAGTTTGGTGACCCCGGAGAAAGCAGGGCTTATTAAAAGATCAATAATACTAATACAAAGGAAATCACCAGCGAACATTAATATAAACGAGGAAAAAAGAAAAGTAACTGGAATTTTTAAAGAAAAGTGAAATATGCCAACAAACAATGCTCAAGAGGATCCCATTCGTCTACTATGCTCGTTAAAGATACATGGTAACTAGTTCTGGGGAGAAAAGGGTAAGCATGAAATACATTACTAAACTGGGCACATATTCATACAAACCTTACTGCATCAAAAATTTATTGGCTTGTGATTGGTTGAGAGCTCGTCACACGACCAGAAATATTTGAACTATTTTTTAGAAAGTACTATAATAGTACTATTTGGGAGTACTATTTGGGAGTTTGAAAAAAAAATGAGATTTTTTTTTTTAATTGATTTTTTCTTTTTTTCAAATCTTAATTTAATGAAAACAAAATATTTCAAATCTTTATAGATAAAAAATGACATTTGTTTTTTTTATAATTTTTTTTTAAATATTTTTTTTTATATAAGATAATTTGTTGATGCAGGATATAAAACAAATATACCATGCCTTCTATTCGAGGTACTGGTTAAAACTATGGGCCTCGGTGACTCGGTGACAAAAGTACCATTTGCTTCGGGGCTGCGCCCCTCAGCAAATAGTACTATTGGAGTCACCTCTTGCGCATAGTTTTAACCAGAACCTCTCAAGACAGTGTATATTTATATACTAAGCCTAGTTGCCAAATAACTTTGTACAATAGCTTTAATATTTTGAGGAGTCAGTGACACAAAGGCGTAACTCCATTTTGGCCATTTTGAGAAAAAGTGGTTTATGTGTCACTGAGGACTTGGGCCTTAAGGAGTACATTCTATGTTTCACTAGCCATTGACTTCAATGGGTGTTGGTTGGAGTTAAGTCTTTGTGTTTCCTGGAAAGCCCACTGTTCTGAACATTATGATATCAAATACTCATTTTGGAAAAATATGGAGTTACGTCTTTATGTCACTGAACCCTCGAATCAATGACAACGGTTTCATGAATATGGGCCTTGGTGTACTACCTTAGGTCGACAGTCATTGCGGTCGTGCTTGAGGCGAACTAAGACAATGATGATAATTCGATTAAATGGAAGTTAAAAATCCCGAGAACAGCATACTTCACTTTTCTTTAAAAATTCCAGCTATTCATTATGATCTGCACGGCCATGGAGACGTTGACAAAGAACCCAACGAAGAATGACAGACCACGACTGGGCTGCGGCAGGGCACCGATGTACGCGATGGTATGGAGAAAGCGGGAGGCGACGAAGATACGGTAATGCCAGACGATGGTGGTGGTTGCAGCTCCAGAGGTGAGAGCGTAGAGGAGGCCGAGCGCAAAGAAAGGTACGATGTTTTCCAGGTCGTTCCGATGGCATCTAATGAAAACAGAAAGTAATTTATTTAAAACGATTTTTATCGAAATGTACATCCCCTGAAAAAAATATCCCCGCAAGTTCCTTAAGGTTGTGATATCTTGTCGCTCAGACAAAATTGCATGAATTTGATACGTTAATGCTGACAGGTACCGTCTCCCACTGTACGCTCTCCTTTTCTCTGTTTTTTGTCTTCTCTATTTTTCCTTGTATTTCTCTCTCTCTTATTCTATCTCTTCGCACCTCTTTTCTCTCTCTCACAAACGCACGCACACATCCTTACCCACACACATATCTCTCTTAATTTCTCTATCTCTCTACCTCTACATCTGTATCGGTCTCTCTCCCTCTCTCCCCTCTTTTTCTCCCTATCTCGTTCCCTCGATCAAATCCTGCTCTTGAACTTTGTGATCTGATAGCCCCTTCTCTGGATGTTTCTAAGTTTATTTACAGACAGATATTGTTATCATTAAATTAGCGTTCTGCAAATATCTGAAAACTTCAGGAGCTATTCAAGTTTAAATCCAATCCCTTGTATTTTCAACCCATACGATGAATGGTAGAAGACGTGTAAGACCATGAAATCCGAAAATGCTTCAAACAGTCATTTCGTAATTTTGTTATAAATTAATCCATGTTAATTCTCGTCTCTCCCTTTCCCTATTCCTTCTTTTCTCTCTTTTTAAAATGTGTCTCTGTTTGTCTCTCTATACCACGTGTACCCAAGGTCAAACACACTGAATTTTTTTAAAATTATTTTCTCCCAAATCAAATACATATGTACAAATCATTCTTAACAAAACTGGATACATTGTACACACGCATGAACAAACACACATAAATTCACACACAAACACACACGCACACACACACACACACACACACATCCGCTCTATCTTTGTCTCTCTTTCTCTCTCTCTCTCTCTTTCCATTCTCCTCGCCTTTCCCTGACTCACTTCAATGAGATCGCGCGCTCTCTCTCTCTCTCTCTCTTCTCTTCTTTTTTTCTCTTCTCCGTTTCTCTCTTACCTTCTGACCCTCTCGACCTCAGGATCGTCGAAAATTGGTTTCTTATCCTTCTCCTTCAGTGATCCCATATCCTCCTGGTTGGAAAATACCTGTACAATATTAATTTAGAGGAACAATAGCATTGCAGCAAGGGAACTCAGTCAGTTTTTTTTATATATATATATATACCAAGATTAGATGTACTCCTAGTAATCATCATTTCAAACATTTGATCTCAGTGAGGTATCGCAGTCTAGTGGTTGCATTCGAGTCGAGAGTATGTATCAGTTTCTATTTCACTTTCAATTTTTTCTTAGAGTGCCAGTTATCAGTCAAGATTGGATATTCCGGGTTATTGATTTCCATACGATACCTATTCCTTCAGAGGAACCATATCAGGCGTTACATCGGTTTTCATATTGTTTCATCTAATCTCTATGTGAAAAGAACCATGGTCCTACTCCGGACGCATGGCAGATCCGATATTTACAGTACTATACCAACAAAAATATGACATGTAGTATTACAAAGATGCAAGATAGCGTACTTATATAAGTTCAATGAGCTGTGGTCATTTAATGAGCTAAGTTACTCGGTTTGATTCTACTGGCATTTAATCTCGACGATGGGCTCAAGCTTTTGTTCAAAATCAGTTTCAAGAAATCTTAGGCCCAGGGACAGGTTTTATATAAATTAGTAGAATACGGAACCATTGCGTCCCATCAACATGATACTTACAATTTTATTTGGGAGCAAAAATATAAAGATCAAAAAGGCTTTCAGCTTACGTTTCTCGTATGACGAAAATATGACGTCAGAGGGGATAGTAGCATCATCTTCAGAATGACGATTGAAACATAAGTCGCAAAATAGGGCAGCTCTTCACTCTCTATCACGGCCATGTTGTTTCCTTTTCCCGGTGTTAACCAGTTTCACCACCAAACATCTGAGTAACAACAGGGTAGGCTTTCAAGCGAATGCAGGCAGATACATAGATTTACGCGCCCTCGCTCAAACGTTAATCAAGTGGACCGTTTGTATGAAGTAAAAATAGCTTATTGTTCGCCTATTATGAAAAATAGATATGCGTGTATGGAATTTGTTTTCAAAGAGGTATTTCAGGCAGTGTGTAATATTTAGAGTTGGCAGCACGCTGATATATCATCTTCGTAATGTAGTCAAGTTTAATACACAAATCTGTGTTATATTGCAATGCCCTCTGTATTTGTGTTGGAGCTGGTTTCTGTGACCACACACGCCCTATATTTATTGAGCTGCAGATCCTGACTGTTAATGGTACTCATTTTCTTCAAACTGCCTTTTTTATGTATCACTTTAATAGCAATTCCTGTCTCCTTTTCTTCTATGTTTCGTCACAATAATGATATTTATACCTATCCTACAGGACAAGCAAGTAATACAAACATATCAAATCCTATAAGGTGTTGGCTCATAAATCTATTAGACATAATGGCTCTGATGTTTGGAATTCTCTACCTACTGACATTCGAAATGTAGTGACTGTGAATTATTCAAATAGCAGTTAAGCACCTGTTATCTCAAATATGTAATTACTGTATAACATTCATTGTTGTATTTTGTTTTTAATCACTATAAGATTATCTTCCTAATTTCTAATAATAGAACCTTACAATACACACCATTACTTATATGCTAGATGATCGACCTTTTCTGATCGATTCCACAACGTTTCTTTCACAATCCAATCGCATGACCATCACCATCACTACGGCCCCAACCCTCACACCACCTCTACCATCATCATCACTACGACTACCAACCCTCACACCACCTCTACCATCATCATCACTACAACCACCAACCCTCACATCACCTCTACCATCATCATCACTACGACCACAAACCCTCACACCACCTCTACCATCACCATCACTACAACCACCAACCCTCACATCACCTCTACCATCATCATCACTACGACCACAAACCCTAACACCACCTCTACCATCTTCATCACTACAACCATTGACCCTCACATCACCTCTACCATCATCATCACTACGACCACAAACCCTAACACCACCTCTACCATCTTCATCACTACAACCATCGACCCTCACATCACCTCTACCATCACCATCACTACAACCACCAACCCTCACATCACCTCTACCACCATCATCACTACGACCACCAACCCTCACACCACCTCTACCATCATCATCACTACGACCACCAACCCTCACACCACCTCCACCATCATCATCATTACGACCACTATACCCCTCACACCACCTCTACCATCATCATCACTACGACCACCAACCCTCACACCACCTCTACCATCATCAACACTATGACTAACAACCCTCACACCACCTCTACCATCATCATCACTACGGCCCCAACCCTCACACCACCTTTACCATCATCATCACTACAACCACCAACCCTCACATTACCTCTACCATCATCATCACTGAGACCACCAACCCTCACACCACCTCTACCATCATCATCACTACGACCACAAACCCTCACACCACCTCTACCATCATCATCACTACGACCACAAACCCTCACACCACCTCTACCATCATCATCACTATGACCACCAACCCTCACACCACCTCTATCATCATCATCACTGAGACCACCAACCCTCACACCACCTTTACCATCATCATCACTACAACCACCAACCCTCACATCACCTCTAACATCATCATCACTGAGACCACCAACCCAAAAACCACCTCTACCATCATCATCACTACGACCACTAACCCTCACATCACCTCTACCATCATCATCACTATGACCACCAACCCTCACACCACCTCTACCATCATCTTTACTACGACCACCAACCCTAACACCACCTCTACCATCACCACCACTATGACCACCAACCCTCACACCACCTCTACCATCATCATCACTACGACCACTAACCCTCACATCACCTCTAACATCATCATCACTACAACCACCAACCCTCACATCACCTCTAACATCATCATCACTGAGACCACCAACCCAAAAACCACCTCTACCATCATCATCACTACGACCACTAACCCTCACATCACCTCTACCATCATCATCACTATGACCACCAACCCTCACACCACCTCTACCATCATCATCACTGAGACCACCAACCCTCACACCACCTCTACCATCATCATCACTATGACCACCAACCCTCACACCACCTCTACCATCATCATCACTATGACCACCAACCCTCACACCACCTCTACCATCATCATCACTATGACCACCAACCCTCACACCACCTCTACCATCATCTTTACTACGACCACCAACCCTAACACCACCTCTACCATCTTCATCACTATGACCACCAACCCTCACACCACCTCTACCATCATCATCACTATGACCACAAACCCTCACACCACCTCTACCATCATCATCACTATGACCACCAACCCTCACACCACCTCTACCATCATCATCACTATGACCACCAACCCTCACACCACCTCTACCATCATCATCACTATGACCACCAACCCTAACACCACCTCTACCATCATCTTTACTACGACCACCAACCCTCACACCACCTCTACCATCATCATCACTACAACCACCAACCCTCACACCACCTCTACCATCATCTTTACTATGACCACCAACCCTCACACCACCTCTACCATCATCATCACTATGACCACCAACCCTCACACCACCTCTACCATCATCATCACTATGACCACCAACCCTCACACCACCTCTACCATCATCTTTACTACGACCACCAACCCTAACACCACCTCTACCATCTTCATCACTATGACCACCAACCCTCACACCACCTCTACCATCATCATCACTATGACCACAAACCCTCACACCACCTCTACCATCATCATCACTATGACCACCAACCCTCACACCACCTCTACCATCATCATCACTACGACCACCAACCCTCACACCACCTCCACCATCATCATCACTATGACCACCAACCCTCACACCACCTCTACCATTATCTTTACTACGACCACCAACCCTAACACCACCTCTACCATCACCACCACTATGACCACCAACCCTCACACCACCTCTACCATCATCATCACTACGACCACTAACCCTCACATCACCTCTAACATCATAATCACTACAACTTCTAATCTTTACACCACCCTTACCATCATCTTTACCACGGCCACGCACACTTACACTACCTCTACAAAGAGCAAACTTTACCGTTTAGAAACAAGGAAACAAAAATTGAATTAGAAATGAATTTAATGACTTGAGGTGACGTATTCACAAAACAAAGGCATAAGCTAGATCATATAGACGAGAAGGCATTGGTATACGCGAGTTTTCATTTACATAAAGTCAGACCTGACTTAATATACATTTATACTTTATAAAAAACGAACATCGAAATATATATTATACATGTTTAATCAGCTTGACTAATAAATGTTAGGGCTCAATCTCTTTGCCAAAAAACCACTCTCTTCACAAGTACCTTTCTTTCCAAAAGTCAAAATACATATATAATTATATCATAATATAAATCAATCAAACAATTATACCTTTTAACCCTTGAACGTGATGGCCGTCGTCATTGTCATTGTCAGGTAGGCACATTCAAACGTAATGGGCAAGTGTAGTAAATTAGACCTGTTACTAATACCACGCATACGTCAAACATAATTCAGCTTACAAGACGCTTGCCAGACATAGCAACGATACATTATCAAGAGGATTCCATTCATCGATTAAGCTGGTGTGCTAAGTAACTAGGGGTTCTCGAAAGAGAAAAAACGAAGCATTAATTACATCAGTAAACAGGGCACAAATTCATATAAACCTCACAAAGCCTAGTTTCCACCTTACTCTGTACTATAGCCTATTCAATCAATTGACAACGAGTTTCGTAAGGTTTCATGAATATGGGCCTTGGTATATTGCCTTAGGTCGACAGTCATTGCGATCGTGATTGAGGCGAACTACGACAATGATGGTAATTCGATTAATGGAAGTGGAAAATCCCGGGAACAGCATATTTCACCTTGCTCTAAAAAGAATTCCAGTTATTCATTATGATCTGCACTGCCATGGAGACGTTGACGATGAGACCAGCGAAGAAAGACAGGGCACGACTCGGCTGCGGCAGGGCACCGATGTACGCGATGGTATGGAGAAAGCGGGAGGCGACGAAGATACGATAATGCCAGACGATGGTGGTCGTCGAAGCTCCAGATGTGAAAGCGTAGAGGAGGCCGAGTCCGAAGAATGGTACGATGTTCTCCAGGTCGTTCAAGTGACATCTACAACAAAAAAGGACAAAGATCAGTTATTTGAAGCCCAGTTTTAGGATCATACATCATTAATATAAGACTGACTAAATTTTTATTTGATTTGTTAAAATATTTAAAATTGATTTGATCTCTATTTAAACACGTTTTTATACCGCATATCATTACAAATTGCAAACATGACAAAAGAATGAGATTGGCTATTGAGGGAAACAAACATAATAACGATTGCTGGGTCATTAATAATTGCAGACCCCCTTAGAAATCAGTATAGCTAATGATGTGGCTACCCTGGTTAAATACGACCAAAATATTTGTGATAACAGTGACATATCCCCCCCCCGTTTTGTTATTTTCCTTACCTTCTTACTCTCTCAACTGTAGGGTTATCAAAGACTGGTTTCTTGTCTTTAAGACCAACCATATCCTCCTGGTTGGCAAACACCTGTTTTTTCAAGAGAAGATTGCGTTAAAGGTGAAAAACAAAATTATGTGTGAGCAGTGCAATTATCTTCATTTCTGTAATACTTATATACTGTTCATGCTTAACGCCTTTGGTTAGATTAATAAAGTGTATGACAATCCCTATATACGCATCTAAAGAGCTTTGGATTATTACCCCAACCTAGCGTATAAGGCGCTGAGGCTTCAAGAGAGTAATTGATAATGGTACCTATCTACTTCACCGGGGTCGAGTGTGGCAAATGTCTTGCTAAATGACGTCAGTGCTGTGGCAGAGATACGAACCCCGTACCTTGTGTTCCGCAGTCTGGCGACTTGTCCACTAGACCACAACAACTCTACACTGATTGCTCGATATGAAGCTCTCCCATGCTTCAATATTACTAGAAGCAGTTTAAAACTCGGGACTAATTGCTGATGATAGATATGTTGGTGTAGTCCCGTGTACATCCATAGGACTATATTCATGTGTCCCGTGCTTTGTTAATTCTGACAAACATAATTATGTTAAGTCGTTTACCAAGTAAACGCACTAACATTTATGGATGCTTCCTTCCGAGGTCAGTGTGGTGATGAAGCATCCTATTAATCTGCTGTTATACTATGTACTAAATTTGCCAGAACGCAAATTGCTAATAAGTTGGTGCTCTTCTTGAGTGAAGGTTTCGCATAAATAAAACAGATTCGTCAATTGCTATATTTAGTATTTTTAAACGAGTGATTATTTTTCACCAAATATGATTTTCATCTTCTAAGCTATGATTTTCGCGCATTGAAAATAATGCTTTAGCTATTGAATTAAAAAGTCTTTCCTACTAAAGGTTTGGTGCATGATACATGTACACGTTTGCCTCGTACGGCAAATTACCAAGAAAAGGGCTGCGCTCATGTCACGCTAAAAGGCATTATACACATCACACACAAAATATTTTCATTTATATATCTCTTGTACACTTTCGTAAGGAATATTGTTCATCAACGGGAAGGAATACTTTTTGTTAATATGATCTAAATGTCCTTGTAGTTAGCATCTATAGTAGTATGTTCATAAATAAACTTTGAATTTTACAAGATTTGTGTTGAAATTGACCCATTAATAACATTTCTATGTGCAGATAAAATAATGAGAACAAATAACATGCATCCTTCCTTCTCAAGACTCCTCATTATCAAAATATCCGAACAAAAAATGGAAATCAATTTCGCTTGGCCTTACCTTTCGTGTTAAACGCGTGTATGCTGTTAGCGGGGACATTAACACCATTTTTACCATGACGGCTGAAGCATAAATTGCAAAAGAGGATAATTCCTCACTCATTGTAGCGGCCATTTTGAATCCCCTTTTTAGTCGAAACAGGTCTAATCTCCTTCGCAGCAAGGGTTGGAATGACTAAGGTGTTCTGTACTACGTGAGTGTAGACAGGTAGGATCACTCTGCGTGCGGTGTACGTGGATTCTAACAAGCAAACTATGTGGACTTTGTGCAGAAGAAGGCGTACCCGGGACCGCTGTGCAATGTATATTAGCTCTAATGAGGAGTAAAACTTTGAAGGGTGTCCCTCGATTGTCAGAGAGCAAATAAAGAAATAGATGCGATAGAGATAAACACATTTATTCTCGAACCGTCTCAGTAGACCATTTTCGTAATGCAATCAAATCTAATGCACACATCTTTGTTAAGTGCGAAGAGTACTGCATTCATTCATAACAAGATAAACCCTGGATGGCGCCCAGGCAATCAAGTCTTCGATCAATGATAGGCAGGCAGCATATGGAACAGAATTAGACTCAAAGACTTCCGGGAGACGCTTCAGCAATAAAGTACATGCAGAGAAATATTGTAACTGCCAAACATGACCACTATGTATGAACCGAGTTCAGCGATTTCAACAATCTAAACCCGCCATCTGGCACCGTCATATCACGTCCATGTCTAGGAACAAAAAGTTTTCACCAACCATGTTGTCTCACAGTCTGACTTCGTCACAACTGCTGGTAGAAGAATCAACGACTCATGTATAGCAGTCACTTCAAATATACTGAACAACGCACTAGGAAGCTCGATCCTGCTTATCTACCAGCCAGAAGAATATGTCCCGTTGTTCAGCCGTGGGAAGTTTGGCGAGATCTTAGAGCCACCAAGCAGAAGAAAGCACCTGGACCGGACGGTTTACCAGCTAAACTTATAGTAGGAGACCAGCCTGTAGGTCTCGTGACCAATCTCTGGGAACAAAGGTTTGAAAGTGTTTTTGTGTTCCCTGATGAATACCGAACAATTTTGACTTGGGCTGCCCCCTTGAAAATCCCGGGCATTTTCGTGAGGGGTCAACAAAGGTCACACAGAGATAAAAATTCAAATAGTTCCAATCGTGTCAATATGCATATCAAATTACTCGTCTGGTCATGAGGATTCCAAAAATGTATAGTTTGCTATACCTCCGACCTTAAATGAGGGCGCTATAGTAAAAAACGTTGAAAGGTCAACACACTTTTGACTGGTGGTCAAATTCACCAACACAGTGAACCTTATCAAATTGCGTATCCCATTACTCGTCTGGTCATAATGATTCCAAAAATGTATAGGTTGTTATACCTCCGACCTTAAATGAGGGCGCTATGGTCAAAAAGGTCAATGCACTTTAGAAATTCACCAACACAGCTAACATTGTCCGATTTTAATGATTTTAGGGTCTAATAATATGTTTTCTGACATGGCAAATTCAACTATACAACTTTCAAAAGTAAAAGTGCTTACCTTGACCATGTACATTCAAAATGGCTGCCGTTTCGGTGACAAACATCTAACAACTTCTTATCCATGGGTTTGGGGGAAATTTCAAGGTTATGGCAACCACTTTTGATTTTAAAAGTTGCTTAGTTGAATTTGTTATGTCAGAAAACATATTATTAGAAAATAAGAACATGCTGGATCCAACACTATAAATGTTGAATATGTGTATTTACTTTACTCGAGAAGGCTCAGCTGAATAAGCTTTTTCATCAGGGTGTTTTTAGTCAGCCGTTGTATTCCTTCTGAAAAAAAAAATTGAGCAATTATCTTTAACTTATACTCAAGAAAGTCATACATTAACAACAACAAAGACGATCAAACCAATCAGAAATATACGTGGATAAAGTTATTAAAGTTTGTATGTAGATGCCATGTAGCTTTTCATTTTACTTACCTTCGTTTTATTTTATTTCTTTTAATTCGCAGGCGATAATGAAACCCCCTCGTCTGAAAACAGAAAGTTTTGTGCTTGAAGAAATAAATATGTATTATATTTTCACAGTAACCCTCTAAGAATGAAATAAAAACTAGTCATGGGTAGATTTTTAAACAGATAAGAGGAGAACCAACAATTATACCGAACTGAAGAAAAAAAAAAGAGTAAAATAAAGATTATTTTCAAAAGTATTTTTCTTTTAAAGCAATAAATATTGTGAAATTCTGCTTCAAAAAAACATTGTTCAAACTCATACAATGCACTACCCCCTTCCTCCCCCACAGGTATGTACAATAACAACGAACCCAAGAAAAAGGTTATTTAATACAAAGATTATTTTAAAAAGGAATATTTTTCAAAGCAACAAAAAATGGTGAATTTCTGCTTCAAAAATACATTCAATCATAAACCATGTACCATTCCCCCCTCCCCAATATTTCAGGTGGGGGGGGGGGGGGGGTGGCCTGTACAATCATCCCCCCCCCCAATAATTCACCATAAAAAAAAAATTAAGAGAAAAATTTATGATGAGAGCCCGATGAGAGTAGTTAATGGTTATTACTCACAAGATGACCATCAATATACACATTTTGTTATGACTTTTGTTATGGGATAGTTCACTAGTTGTTATGTTGCTTCTGTTCACCCTTTTTTAAAATTCACGTCATTGTATCTTTATTTTTTTGTTTTTTCACTCATTTTATTTCCTGATATTTCCTAAAACATTTTTCAAAACGCGCTAAAAGTTACAGTCGTGTATTTGTTTAACTCTTTTAATTTGGGCATTATTGACTTTGGGCCAGTTCAATCTGAAGAGATCTTTAAGGCTATGTGGGGTTGATGATGATGCCCCTTTAAAATCATTTTCTTTCAACTAGTGAACATTTTCCTTTCTTATAAGTGCCCCTTTTTTATTCACACTAGTGCCCCTTATCATATTTGGTCATTTGCCCCTTTTCACGTGCGATAAGTGCCTCTTTTAACCTCTGATAATTTTACTTTTAACAATGATACATGCCCCTTTTCGTTTCTAATAAATGCCCCTATCAATATCCTTTCTTATAAGTGCCCCTTTTTTATTCACACTAGTGCCCCTTTTCATATTTGGTCATTTGCCCCTTTTCAGGTGCGATAAGTGCCTCTTTTAACCTCTGATAATTTTACTTTTAACAATGATACATGCCCCTTTTCGTTTTTAATAAATGCCCCTATCAAAATCTGATGGGAGCCCATTTTCCGTCGACAAATGCCCATTCCCTATTCTCATGACTGACTTTTTTCCCCTGGTGAGTGCCCCTTTTTGAAGGTGTAAGTAGTGCCCTATTTTCACCTCTGACAATTACTCTTTGTATTTCTCGCACTGCGACCTCACAAATCTTATAATTCTCCTCGCTCGCTCGCAAATAAATTTTCAGACCATCACACCCAACTGCAAAGCATGATGCTTAAGCAATATCTTGTATGGTGTAAAAAGTGAAGCAAATATTGTAATCACAATGTAAGGGTATATTTTCGCTTTGAGATTTCCCTTTGTAGGTGCCCTTTTTTCTTGGTGCTCCCCTACCCCCCCCCCCCCCCCCCCCCCCCACTTTGGAAATCGCTCGTCCGCCCCTGAAACAGACAGTTTGTATGAAATCAGGAGTGGAAATTTTCTGTCATTTTGAGAACCAAATTTTGCATCATTGATATTCTGTTTCATTGAATTGAGTTTCCCGCAGAGAGGATTCAGTTGGTTTAATTAAAGAAGGAAGAGAGTCAAGGAAGAACCAATAGCAATATGTGTTTCATTTACTAGTTAGAACTATTTCTCTCAAAGCAGTCATTAATACTATACTATGTTTTTTAGAGATCTCCTTACACAGAATATTGGAATGGGTTTTTCACGATGAATGTTGTTTGGAGACATCAATATTCATAAAATGTATGTTTCTATCACCAGGAAATTTTCTGTCTACATGAACCTTTCCTGGTTGCTAATTAATGCATTTGCCCACTGGTAACATAATACTTTCACAAGTTGATATCCCTCACCATTGGATATGTTTTTGGTAATGTCTAAATTTCGTTTAAAAATAGATGATATCAGTCGATCTGGTAGTCCTACACTGCAGGCAAGAGTCCGGACTAACATTTAGCATGTTATTAATTTGATTACCACTCTTATATTCTCTGAAATTTCATCTTTATTGAGGGTGACTTGAAAAAGTTAATAACTTGGAAGGGAGGGGGTGCAACCTGCCATACGCATCTACCTCTTGGTTGCTTTGATCTATTGCCGAAAATATTTTGGCACCTATCATCCCCCCAACCACGGATAAAATCGACACTCTTGCCTTCATTATTATCATTGACGTGGTGGTACATTTCTAAACGTGATGGGCAAGTCTAGTAATTTAGACCTGTTACTAATCCATCCATACTTCATACTGAATTCAGCTTAAAAGACGCTTGCCAGACGTAGCAACAATAAATTATCAAGAGGAGTCCATTCATCGATAAATCTGGTGTGCTTAGTAATTAGGGGTTCTTGAGAGAAAAAACGAAGCATTAAATACATTAGTAAACAGGGGACATATTCATATAAACCTTACTAAGCCTAGTAAGAACAACTCCAAGATAGCATTTGCAATTGTGAAAGAAATCACAAAGAAAAGAATCCCAAAACTGGATGTAATTAATGATGACAATGGCAAAACACTGACGGAGAATGAAGACATCAAGGAAAGATGGGTGCAGTATAGTACCAAGCTGTTTGCTACACAGGAACAAGTTGACACTCAGTGGGAGGAAAGTGATGAAATGGAGCCCCTCCATTAAGATCAGAAGTGGAGCTTGCAATCAAACAACTGAAGGATGGCAAGTCCCCTGGCTTTGACAACTTGACTTCCGAGATGTGGAAGGCTACAGGTGAAGAAGGTACTGACCCGATGTTGCGTCTCTGATTTAATATCTGGAATAGTAGGGAGTGGCCTAAGGACTGGTGTAGAGCTGTTTTTATACCATTGCCAAAGAAGGGAGATCTGAAAGAATATGCAAATCACCGAAAGATCAGCTTGATTTGTCATGCAAGCAAAATACTTCTGAAGGTGATTAGCAGAAGAATGAAAATCAAACTGCAAGCCGAGATCTCAGATGAGCAAGCAGGGTTCCGTGAAGGTAGAGGGATAAGAGAACAGATCGTCAACATTCGAAACATAATGGAGAAATGCCGAGAACACAGACATCCCCTCTATTTGTGCTTTATAGATTATAGCAAAGCATTTGACTGTGTGAGCCACTCTCAATTGTGGAATACAATGGCAAAGATGGGGTTCCCAAGTCACATCATCGAACTGATCAAAACCTCTATCATGACCAAGAAGCAACAGTGAGAACCAGTAACGGCAATACTGAGTGGTTTGGAATTGGTAGGGGAGTACGTCAAGGCTACATACTGTCTCCTAACCTTTTTAATATTCATTCTGAGGACATTATGAGAAATGCTCTGGAAAGATTCAATGGGGGAGTTAAGTTTGGAGGTAAAAAGATCACGAACCTAAGGTTTGCTGACGACACTACTCTCGTTTGCAGCAGCAGAGAAGAACTGATTGATTTGTTGAATCGCATCAAACAGGCAATTGAAGAGAAAGTACAGCGGATAAGCTCCCATATAATGAAAATTGTGCACTTTTTGAGAAAAGCATGAAACTTCTAGCATGGTTAGTTTAGACCATAAGATTTATTTTCAGATGTGGAGGGAAGTCATATTTGACCTCTGATGACCCTGAGAGGTCAAATCCAAAATGGCCGCCAATCCACATGGTCTAATGTACATATACGCTTAACTTTTGAACCAAATAGTCCAGGAAAACGTTTAAGGTGTCATTTCCAACTAAAGTGGGGGTGGCAAAACATTTGATATAACTTTTGAGATCGCCAGAACTCAGGGTTTTGCATAGAGGTCAGGTCAAAATTGACTAAATAAGAGCAAGTTTTGAATGGTTACAAAAAGTTTTCCCATTTATTTGTCATTTGGTCTCCCCTATGTTCTCAAATTTCTTTAGGAATGGTTCCCCAGCATAGTCCCCCACCTTAATCCCTTTCAGTTAGGTTATTTCACAGTTTGATTTGACCTCTGATGACCCTGAGAGGCCAAATCCCAAATGACCGCCAGTCGGCATGGTTTAATATGTACAAGCACGCTTAACTTTTGAACCAAATAGTCCAGAAAAAACGTTTAAGGTGTCATTTCCAACTAAATTGGGGTGCCAATTCATTTGGTAATACTTTTGAGATCGCCAGAACTCAGGGTTTTGCATTGAGGTCGAGGTCAAAATGGATAAAAAATAGTTAGCTTTGAATATTTACAAAAAGTTTTCCCATTTATTTATCATTTGTGCTCCCCTATGTTCTCAAATTTCTTTAGGAGTGGTTCCCCTGCATAGTCCCCCAACTAATCCATTTCAGTTTATAGTTTATTTCACTAATTTTAGCAACAAACCATTATTTGTCTTGTAACTGGCCATATGCATAGCATGGTCAGTGGGCAGCTAGGCAGTATACGGCAAACACCTCAATTCAAGTCAGGAAAACTGCTCCTCTCCATTATTGCTCAATAATACTGGTAAGTTGTTCTTTAAGTTACTTTGTGTTTTATTTGGTTCTAAGTAATTTAAAGGATCACTACAGAGTTTGAGAAACAGGCCATACATAAAGCAAATTAACGGTTCTGCTAACACTAGACAACATCACCATGACCAGCAACCTGGAGTGCAGGCAGCATTCATGAGGGATGTTAAGGTACTTGTGACAGTACTGAAAGAGATGGGGAATCCATTTCTAGAACATAGTCAAGACCTACTAGTCATTGGCACAAGCGACATTATCATAGACACCCAAGTGGCTGAAACGGGGAGAAGGATTGAGACCCTAGGTGAGGAGCAGTACATAAAGTTTGTGACAGAAAGGCTAGAGCAGTGTACGACACCTGTCACACAAATACTTCATACGAACAAGTTGCCACTTTTCAGTCGGCAGCAGGCCAAGGTAATGTCAAAACAGAAGGCACAGCTCGCAGCACTCGAGTAACTGTGGTCTCCTTTCGAGGATGTACATCTAGTGTCAGACACGGGATGGAGATAATGGACAATTTCTTCTCCCATGAAAACCAGGCAGCCCCGCCAGCTTTGGAGGAAAATGCGGTTTGGAGTTAAAGCAGATCTACTTCGCTGCCTGGAATCAAATCTGCTCAAAAACAATAGTGCACCTGTGGTCCAAGCAATAATTTTTGATGGTGCAGCTGTGGTTCAAATGCTCAATCCTGGAACATCAAGAACATTTTATGTATGGAGAATCTATGCTCAACTAGAGAAAAGCACCCGCGTCGACCTTTGCTAGGGTTTATATTTACCTGCTAGCCTGACAGCTTAAACAAGACAGGAAAGGGGAAAGGGCACCGGGAAAAGGGTGACTTCTTCTACTGTGCTGCCCCCAAAACTGGAAGGACTTCCTTCCAGTCAATGAACACAAAACCGAACCGAACTAGACCGAACCAGTGAGAGCGTATAGTGCATGATGCCAGGAAAGCTCTTCGCACATATCGAAGTCTAGAAACATGGAGAACATTCCTCCAACCCAGGCGGCACTCAAGCAGCACATCAAGCTCACTTAATTGCTACCAGGCCAACTGTTGGAACCAGATATTGGCCAAGAATTCAGGGATGCCAGAGCCATCTGACTTGTTCTTTAAGTTACTTTGTGTTTTATTTGGTTCTAAGTAATTTAAAGGATCACTACAGAGTTTGAGAAACAGGCCATACATAAAGCAAATTAACGGTTCTGCTAACACTAGACAACATCACCATGGCCAACTGTTGGAACCAGATATTGGCCAAGAATCTAGGGATGCCAGAGCCATCTGACTTGGGCTGGTCAAACGAAACAACTGGGTGGCAGCCTCTTTGGACCACTCTCCCGGAGTCATCAAAATTGTGCCATGAATCCACTGTCGCTGCAAGAAAGGGTGCACTGGACGTTTCAAATGTGTCAAGGCTGTACTCAAGTGCACTGTACTGTGCTCTTGTTCTGGAGACTGTTAGATTTTGATCGTTACCATTAGGATATTCATAAGTTGTGGACAGTGCTAAATCCATGTGGATATCTATAGCTGTGGTAATGAACGCTTTTTAGGTCGTATGTATTTGGAATAGCTTTTTTTATGTCTTCTGGGCCCAATTTCATAAAGCTGCTTACTGGTAAGTAAATCTTCGTGATAATTGTAGCAGAAAAATATGCTTAAGCAGGTTAGCAAGGTCTCACAGGTTAGCAAGAAAACAAGGCGTCCACCTTGCGCGTTCACAATGGATTTGCATTGTTACAACATTCATTTTCGTGCAGTAAGCGGCGTAAGGTTAATGCATTTTCGTGTGCTTACGGTTAGCAGTGCTATGAGGTAGAAACTCATACATATACGTAAGCACAGAACCAGCCGATAAGCAGCTCTAATAAATTTGGCCCCGGATAGTCAAAGTGGTGGTACACGGATCTTTTTTTTCTTTTTTCCCTTCCACAGGGTTCTTTATTTTTAAAACAAATTCCATCATATACAGTATATCCATATATCATATACAAATAATTAAAGAAATAATTTCCGTACACAATGGCTTAACACAGATACAAATCATCACGGCCGAAAACTTTGTGGCAGATAAAAACAAACATTTATGACAAAATTAGCACTTTAAATATATATTAAAAAAATATCAAACATAAAATACTTGATCAAGTTTGTGTAAGCACATTTCCAACACTCTCAAAATATTTTCTAAAGTGAAACCATTTCTTTTTCAATTTATTCTCTCTGAGATTTGTTTGGTATATATATTTTCCATTTCATAATAACGTTTTTTTATTATGTTTTAAAATAATGACTCCTTAACTGTCAAAATAAAAGCAAAGTTATAAATAATTTTTTTTTTTTTTTTTTAAATCCAAAAAAAAGTCACTTTTTTTGTCTAATCTGACCTTGACTTTGACCTTATTGCAAATCCCTGAGTTCTGGCGATCTCAAAAGTATTACCAAATGAATTGGCACCCCCAATTTAGTTGGAAGTGACACCTTAAACGTTTTTCTGGACTTTTTGGTTCAAAAGTTAAGCGTGTTTGTACATATTAGACCATGCGGACTGGCGGCCATTTTTATTTGACCTCTCAGGGTCATCAGAGGTCAAATCTGACTTCCCTCCACATCTGAAAATAAATCTTATGGTGAAAGCTAACTATGCTACAAGTTTCATGCTTTTCTCCAAAAGTGCATAATTTTCTTGCTAAGACGCTACACTGCTTCTTTTAAACACCCAAAAGACAAAAATAATGGTTGTCGATAGAGATGATAATAACACTGACTTCACCGTAGCTGAAAATAAGATTGAAGTAGTAAATCGGTTTGAGTACTTGGGTTAAATCATCACTAACAAAGGAGAGAACACCACATAGATAAGGAGAAGGATGGCAAGGGCGAGATCAACAGTACAGAATATGTCTCACATCTGGAAGAGCCGAGGCCTATCTCTTAGTTTGAAGGTTCGTCTTCTTTAAGCAACTTCTTTCTCTATTGCGACTTACGGAAGTGAGTCCTGGGCCATGACAAAGAATGACAGAAAGAGAGTTGAAGCCTTTGAAATGTGGTGCTACAGGAGGCTGTTGCAGGTGTCATGGAAAGATAAAAAGACAAATGTGTGGGTCCTGGAAAAGATTGGAACAGACTTGACCATCAGGAGGGGAATCATGGAAAGAAAACTAAACTATTTTGGGTACATTGTTAGGAGATCTGAAGGTGTTGAGAAGCAAATACTGCAAGGAGCAGTCGAAGGAAAACGAGGTAGAGGTCGTCCAATATCTTGGACTGATGATATCAAGAAAGTGTCTGGACAAGGAATGAAAAGGTGCAACACGAATGGCAGGTGAAAGAGTTGCATGGCGTGCTCTCGTGAAGACCACAGCAGCGCTTTACAGCGCCAACCTGAAGTTGATGATGAAGCCTAGTTCCCAACTAGCTTTTTACTACAGTCTATTAAATCAATTGCCAACGAGCTTAGTAATCTTTCATGAATATGGGCCTTGGTGTACTACCTTAGGTCGACAGTCATTGCGATCGTGATTGAGGCGAACTACGACAATGATGGTATTTCGATTAATGGAAGTTAAAAATTCCAGTTATTCATTATGATCTGCACGGCCATGGAGACGTTGACGACGAGACCAGCGAAGAAAGACAGGGCACGACTCGGCTGCGGCAGGGCACCGATGTACGCGATGGTATGGAGAAAGCGGGAGGCGACAAAGATACGATAATGCCAGACGATGGTGGTCGTTGTAGCTCCAGAGGTGACAGCGTAGAGGAGGCCGAGCCCGAAGAACGGTACGATGTTCTCCAGGTCGTTCAAGTGACATCTACAAAAAAAAGAAAAAGAAGATCAGTTATTTGCAGCCCAGTTTTAGGAACCTAAATCATGTTTTTGCCGCATTCAGGACTGACTTAATTTTGATTTTGATTTGTTTAAATATTTATGATTGATTTAATCTTTATTTTGATTCGTTAAACATGTGTTTTTTTATATATTTTTTTTACCGCAAACCATTACAAAATTGCAAACATGACAAAAGAATGAGATTGGCTATTGAGGGAAATATACATAATAACGATTGCTGAGTCATTGATAATTGCAGGAAATCAGTATAGCTAATGATGTTGCTGCCCTGGGTAAATTAGACCAAAATAGTTTTGATTACAGTTACATACCCCCCTCCCCCCCCAACCCACATTTTGTTATTTTCCTTACCTTCTTACTCTCTCAACAATAGGGTTATCAAAGACTGGTTTCTGGTCTTTGAGACCAAAAATCAGTCTTTGATAACCAACCATATCCTCCCGGTTGGCGAACACCTGTTTTTGCAAGAGAAAATTGCGTTAAAGTGGAAAAACAAAAATGTATTAAGCTAGTTAATTAAGCTAACAAGGCTAATTATTTTCATTCAACATGATTTACCTCTGAGATATATTGGCTGTCATAAAAAAGATACACATTAAAATTTTCATTCCAGATTTTTCTGGATAAAACTAGTATTATCAATAAATACAAATACGCAATTTACTAATTATGTCAATTAGGCTAATTGTACTACATCTAAATGGAATATCTTCTCATGAATTAATGTGTTGTCTTTAAAAAGTGATTTACAATGTTGCATTGTACCATTTTCAGGCTTTCTCGATAAGCAATGAGAAAGAAGTCTATCTATTATACATATGAATCAGCTCATTATGCTAATTATGCTATTTAAGACAATTGCATTACTTAAAAATAAGAACCAGTGTCATAAATGAATTCCTCGTCATAGAAAACCCTGGAAAAGGAGTATTATCCATGTTTTTAGACTTCCAGGATTAAGATAAGCAACATATTACATATAGCACATGTTAATTTGATGATTATGCTAATTAGGCTATTAAAAAAAATGCCCAAAGTTGCCAAGATGGCAACCAAGCTGAATTTACCTGTTTACCAATCTGGAACACGAATCAACAAAAACGACCTTTTACTTATTAACTTTTCCGCGTCTGAAAAACTTCTACCGGACTATTATCAAAATATCCGGACGAAAAACTGGAAATCAACTTGGCTTGGCCTTACCTTTCGTGTTGCACGCATGTATCCTGTTAGCAGGGACATTAACACCATTTTTACCATGACGGCTGAAGCATAAGTTGCGAAACAGGATAATTCTTCACTCATTGTAGCGGCCATTTTGAATCCCCTTTTTGGTCGAAACAGTTCTATTCTCCTTCGCAGCAAGGGTTGGAATGACGAAGGTGTTCTGTGCTACGTGAGTGCAGACAGGTAAGATCACTCTGCGGTGTGGATTCTAACCAGCAAACTGTATGGACTTTGTGCCGATCGTGCCCGGGACCAATGTATATTAGCTCTCATGAGGAGTAAAAATTTGAAGAGTGTCCCTCGATCGTCAGAGAGCAAATAAAGAAATAGATGCGATAGAGATAAACACATTTATTCTCGAACCGTCTCAGTAGTCCATTTTCGTTATGCGATCAAAGCTCCCACTTAGCCGAGTTGGAACCTCGAGTTGTGGCAAGCTGGCGCGATATCGTGATATCAAGAATTTAATTCTTGATATCAAAAATTATTTTTTTTATTGATAAAACTGCTTGCCATAAGATCGCGCCAGCTCGCCACAACTCGAGGCTCCAACTCGGCTAAGTGAGAGCCCTGCTTAATGGTCACATCTTTGTTAAGTGCGAAGAGTACTGCACTCAACAAAGATAAACCCTAGATGGCGCCGAGGTAATCAGGTCTTTGATCAACGATAGGCAGGCAGCCTATGGAGCAGAAGACGCAAAGACTTCCGGGAGACGCTTCAGCAATAAAGTACATGCAGAGAAATATTGTAACTGCCAAACATGACCACTATGTACAAGGGTGTCGATTTGTATCCGTGGTTGGGGGATGATAAGTGCCAAAATATTTTCGGCAATGGATCAAAGCAATCAAGAGGTAGAAGCGTGTGGCAAGTTGCACCCCTCCCAAGCGCGTAGCCAGGATTTCATTTTAGGGGGCGGTAGTGAGCACGCGAAGCGCGGTCCCTAGGGGGTTGCGTGCAGGGAGGGGGAGTTCCCCCCCCCCGCGAAGCGCGGAAGCTTTGACGTTTCACTAAATTATTAGAGAAAGAAGACGATTCGTTGGACCGTTCTCGACTCTTAATCCTTGTTTGAATCAAGTTTTCCTTCCTCCGCGCGTAGCGCGGAAGCTCTGACGTTTTATTAGATTATTAAAGACAGAATACGATTCGATGTACCATTCTCAACTCTTAATCCTTGCTTGAATCAAGTTCCCCTTCCTCCGCGCATAGCGCGGAAGCTCTGACGTTACATCAGATTATTAAAGAAAGAAGACGATTCGATGTACCATTCTCGACTCTTAATCCTTCATGTTTGAATCAAGTTCCCCTCCCCCTTCTGACGTTTCATTAGATTATTAAAGAAAGAAGACGATCCTATGTACCATTCTCGTCTCTTAATCCTTGTCTGAATTCATTTTCGCCCATTCCTGCGCGAAGCAAGGAAGCTTTCACATTAGAGAAAGAAGACGATTTCTTGTATCGTGTCCTTCATGAATTCAGTTTCTCCCCTACCGCGGAAGCATTGACGTTTCACTAAATTATAAGAGAAAGAAGACGATTCGTTGGACCGTTTTCGACTCTTAATCCCTGTTTGAGTCAAGTTCCCCTTCCTCCGCGCGTAGCGCGGAAGCTCTGATGTTTCATTAGATGATTAACGAGAGAAGACGATTCTATGTACCATTCTCGACTCTTAATCCTTGTCTGAATTCATTTTCGCCCATTCCTGCGCGAAGCGCGGAAGCTTTCACATTAGTGAAAGAAGACGATTTGTTGTATCGTGTCCTTCATGAACTCAGTTTTCAACGGTTCAATAAATTATTACTCTTAATCCTTGTCTGTATTCATTTTCGCCCATTCCGCGCTTAGCGCGGAAGCTTTCACGTTTCATTAAATTATTCGTAAAAGAAGACGCTTCGTTGTATCGTGCACTTGGACGTTTCATTCGATTTTTACGCCTAATCCACGTCTGAATTCAGCTGCCCCCCTAACAGCTTTGCCCTTTTCACTGAATTATTAGAGAAAGAAGACGATTCGTTGTACTGTTCTCTATATTAATCCTTGTCTGAATTCAGTTTCGCCACTGAAAATAATTTGTGTTACAAATAAGTTGTGACATAATAATCTTTCTCCAAAAATGAAAAATCTTTTAGGAAATATCAGGAAATAAAATGAGTGAAAAAACAAAAATAAAGATACAATGACGTGAATTTTAAAAAGGGTGAACGGAAACAACATAACAACTAGAGAACTATTTTATAAGTCATACTAATGTCCGAAAATCTTTCTCCTTGTCTCCGATCTCATCACGAAATCGTCACAGAGTTCATTTATGTTTACACTGTCCAGGATTGTCTGATGTGCATTGCAGATTGCTATTTTTGCGCTTCGCGCTTAACATTTAGCTCGTTGCTTTTTGACGCTGCGTCTTTGCATTTGGCGCACTGCATTTCTATGATGCTGTTGATTGAACAAATTGAATAAATTCATTAATTCCTGATGAAGCCGTATGAGCGAGAATTTAATTTATTCTTGTCTCATATAAGGTTGTCTTATTTACTTCGTATATATGTATGTATTATGAAAATGAGATAGCAAAATGTGTATATTGATGGTCATCTTGCGAGTAATAACCATTAACTACTCTCATCGGGCTCTCATCCTTAATTTTTCTCTTCATTTTTAATTTTTTTTTAATGGTGAATTATTGGGGGGGGGGGGATGATTGTACAGGCCATCCCCCCACCTGAAATATTGGAGGGGGGGTATATCCCCCCATCCCCCCGGGATCGACACCCATGACTATGTATAAACCGAGTTCAGCGATTTCAACACTCGAGGGGGCTCACCTTCCAGGGGCAGTAACGTAATGAGCAAGAACGTTTGGAAGGGGGCAGAATAAATATCTGCATCACCACCACTCTTACACGTTACATGCAGGCCCCGCGGAACGTTTTTCAAAGTGGAGTAATAACGATCAGGTTAAGCGTAAATTGGCGTGGGGTCCAGGTCCTGGGCCTCGGCAGGGGGTCAAGAGGTTGAGCCCCCGGAAGCTCAGGGTTTTTAAGTATTTAATTACGGTCAGATGAGCATCCAGGGGCCGCCTAAGGGCCCTTGGTGGGGTTCAGGGGTCAGAGCCCCCGGAAGCTCAGGGGTTTTAGGTATTTTATTACGGTCAGATGAACATCCAGGGGCCCGACTTAGGGCCCTTGGTGGGGTCTAGGGGGCAGAGCCCCCGGAAGCTCGGGGGTTTTAGGTATTTAATTACGGTCAGATGAGCATCCAGGGGACCATGTTATAGGGCCCTTGGTGGGGTCCGGGAGCAGAGCCCCCTTAAGCTCTGGGGTTTTAGGCATTTAATTACGATCAGATGAGCATATTTTGATACCTCATTTGTGACATTGGCAGGTCACTTACTTTTTCTCTTTATCTTTCTTTCCTTTTTCTCTGTAACATACTTTTTCAAAAAGTGAGGGGGCTCGAGCCCCTGAGCCCAGCCGTTTTGCAGACCATGACATAAAGGCTTCTAAATAAGCATTTTTGTCGCCCGACTGTAAATTTGGGAATAACTAATTTTCCAACAAACGCATAAAAAGGTATGAATTACAACAACAAAAAATTGAGAAAAATACCGAAAAATCATGCTATTTCAGCAACATTTGTAAATCACGGTATCGAATAAAAAATACCCCTCCCCCCCCCCCCCATCAGTACACTAACGTTCAGGGGCTCATGTCTTCTGACCCCTAAAACAAAAAACAGACACGCTTTTCCATTCGCTCACAATATGTCCACGATATGCGCGTATCGCTATTATAAAAACCTCCATTTTGTTTGAATGGAATTTTATATGTGATTTAATTCAGGTTTTTATTAGTGTCATGTTCTTTTGGGTTAAAAATACCAACCATCTTTACTCCTTTACTGCTTTTTTTTTCTTTGGTGGGGGGGGGGGCAGAAATGCGTTTTGCCCCCCCCCTTCCCCTCCCCCCCTTCCCCTCCCCCTCCCCCCTTCCCCCCTCCCCCCCCCCCACTTCGCAAACAATGCCTCCTGTTCATCCAAGCGTGAACACATACCACATAAAAATGGCACCAAATGATTTGGGATAAAACACTCTTCCATAAGATGTATAATAATTTACTGTTCAGTGATGATTTTAAAAATAATTAGCAATTTTCTAGGTGTAAACTTTTTTTTGACTCACACTGTATACAGCGATTTAAAACATCATTGTCAAACGTAAATTAAAGATGTTTGAGTAACTTCCAACTACAATCAACACACTCGAAAATGGAAATACAAGCAATACTTGATTTTCCAATAACAAGCAATATTTGTTATTAGAAGTTACTACTGCATAACACTGTGGGATTATTCAATAACTTTACTCTATTATTTGTGGTTGGGCTTTTTATGTTGTATAATCAAGACTATTCTGTAGTAAGGAAAACAAGCATCGTTTCTTTTTCGTATTCATCATTTGTACATGAACGGAATCTCAATGATATAGCATATCCTGTTTATAAGATTTGACAGATTCAAAGACCTAATTTAAGTGCCCCTACACTCTAAAAACTAAAATGTTAAATCACCATTTGATAGGGTGGAGGAGTGACCATTGTATCAAATTGTTCGATTAAGACCTTGTCCTGCTGGATCCAACATTATAAATGTTGAATATGTGTATTTACTTAACTCGAGAAAACTCAGCTGAATACTCTCTTTAAAAAAAGAGTGAATTTTCACTCTATTTTCACTTTCTTGGGAGTGACGTCCGTGATCACTTGTTTAGGAGTGAAAATCGATTGATTTTAAAGTGCTCTCTAAGAAGAAAAGAGTGAATGTTCACTCTATTTTCACTACATTTTCACTCTCCAGAGGAGTGACGTCCGTGATCACTCGATTTTTTTTTAGAGAGTAAGCTTTTTGGTTAGGGTGTTTTTTTATTAAAAGTTGTATTCCTTCTAAAAATATATATATATTTGGGCAATTATCTTCAGCTTAAATTCAAGAAATTCATAAATTAACAAGAACAAAAACTATATATACCAACCAGAAATGTACCTGAATAAAGTTATTAAAGTTTGTATGTAGATGCCATGTAGCTTTTCATTTTTCTTACCTTAGTTTTATTTTATGTTTTTTAAATCGTAGGCAATAATGAAACCCCCTACTCTAAAAAAACAGAAAGTTTTGTGCTTGAAGAAATAATTATGAATGATATTTTTACAATAACCCTCTAAGAATGAAATAAAAAAACAGTCATGGGTAGATTCAGATAAGAGGAGAACCAACAATTATACCGAACCGAAGAAAAAAGTTATTTAAAATAAAGATTATTTTCAAAAGTGTTTTTCTTTTAAAGCAACAAATATTGTGAAATCCTGCTTCACAAATACATTGAGCAAACTTATACAATGTACTATCCCTCCCTCCCCCACTGGTATGTACAATAATAGCGAACCGAATAAAAAATGTTATTTAATACAAAGATTATTTACTTATGTACTTTTCAAAGCAATAAAAATGGTGAATTGCTGCTTCAAAAATACATTCAATCATAAACCATGTACCATTTCCCCAAAATACATGTGACATCATATATGTAGTTAATGTGATTTCGGTTATCAAGATTGTTATCAACAACTTTGAATTCTCACCAGTTATAACATGCTATTTTTGATATTGTAAAATGAATGCGCATATTTTGTCTTCGTGAGACTGTTAAATCTTTCATCAATTAACAAAAATTCACTATAATCTTTCGTCAATATTTATTGGAACCACCCTGTTTTTGTTGCAAGACATAATCGAACGAAATTCTTTTAATCTCCACCAATACATCACAGAATTTGTAATCAAATTCAGGACACTACACACAAAAACTATAAAGTATAGACAATCTCCGAAAGAGATGACATGTATGTAATATGAACTGTCTTGTTTCAATCTGATCGATAAAGCTAAGGACAATGTAGCAGAAATCAAAGTTGTTCCATACACTAAAGCGAATGTCCGAAGAAGTTGTTTGTTTTCTTTTTTTCTCTCCATCATCAGGATGTTGTCATTTAATGGAGCCTTAGCAACAGCGTGATAGATCAGGCACAGACTTGCACCCGTGAAACAGCAAAGTACCATTTGGGAAATGGTGGCGCCAAGTTCTGCATCACTATTGTAAAAGCTATTGTCGAAAAATTCCACTGCAGAGAATGCAGTTAACCAAGATGCGATACAGGCGACAAAGCATCTTGGAGTGGTGATGATGTTGCGAACACCGAATGGGTCGATTCGAATGGTGATGAGCTGATAGAGAGCAACGAAGAAGATGTTGATCAGGGACACATTGGTTCCGATTATCATCATGACTCGTACCCGAACTAATCCACGCTGTTGATAAATTGGTGAGGATAACAATAATTAATGCTTGTTAACCCTGTAGGAAAGCCTCAGTAGGATAAGTGCTTTGAGAGGGCTTTGTAATTACTATTACCCTATTGGCAGGTACCAGGGGCGGCGATCCCAGGACGGGGGGGGGGGATGCACAACCCCCCTCAATTTTTTTTAGGGGAGATCTTTGTCTCAGATTCTGAAACAAAATTCTGGATTTAGCTCATGCTGCAATGATAATTATAAACCTTTGGGTCAGTCAGGAAACCCATGACATTTACAAGCCGATCGCCTGTATGACACTACAGTCTATTGGGGAAACGAGTATCTTGATCCTTTTGAAGCGCAATTTTGTTAGGGCTTCAATATTACACCGTATCACAGAGTCACAGACACTGATAACATGTAGGGCCGTGTATCTCATATTTAACATTGTTAAACGATCCCTAATTAGCACTGCACTTCCTGAGGAAGCACGCTATAGTCAGTACCCCAGCATTACCAGGTTCCAATGGTATACACCTGGGTCGAGACGGGATAAATGTGTAAAAATACCCAAGGAATCACCAAGCGATGAATTAACCTAAACCCCTTGTATAAGCCTCAGGAGCTTTCTCCAATATAACATGAAATTGAAAAAAAGAAAAACAGAAACAAATCCTTACTATTAAAAGAAGATAACATTCGAAAATGGCTACAATTATACCTTATGGTTGCCTTCAGAAGATACGATGTTTACAAAGGTGACTGCAATGGTGGTAATGAAATCTGCTAAGACAATATTGAACTGAAATATGAATCGACGTTGTCGAAGTTGGCGATGACATAGAATGAGTAGTAGAGTACTGAATGACAACAGACCAGCGATCCCCAGAGTCATAATGTAAACCATATGTATTCTTGGCACAGACGGATCGCACATGGAGTTAGAGGACGAAACAGATGTATAGTTAGAAGTTTGCTCTGACGACAACTCTTCCATTTCAATTTTTGTTAAAGTAATTTTTATTTTATTTGATCCCTAGTCGCCCCTATCTCGAAGACTGTTCCAGCGTCTGTGATCCCTACAATATTTCGGATATCCAGGATTTTAGAAAGGTCCAGTCGTCTCTAGACAGGAGACAGAGAACCAGCAGGGTGGCTGGCATGATCCTCGGCATGTTATATCTCCAAGGCTAGTAGACTGGTGCAAACGATAACAACGGTCTCTCTGCCTTTCCTCTGAGAGCTTTATTTTTCTATGTCCAATCGCAAACATGGAAGAATCATAACACGACCCCCTGCGTGTACCAAGCCGGGAGCGACATAGACAAGTTTTCATTTGCCCTACCCTCTATAACCGTATTCAACAGCCTTCCAGCAAATACAGTGCAATCTTACTGTCCAGAGAACTTCAAAGAACTACTCCTGAGGAATCTAATGGCTTTATCCACTCTCTCACAAATAATGTCACCTTCCTCTCCCCTCCCCATTTCTCTCCCTCTCTCTCTCTCTCTCTCTTTCTCTCTCTCTCTTCCTCTCTCTCCCCTACAAATTCGAAATTCCACTTCTACCTATGTCTCGATATAACTGGACAAAGGAAACTTGTCTGAGTGACATCTCGGCTATCAGTGTACGTGCTTATCACGTACTAGGTGAATCCAAAATGCTTGAAGGAGTTTGTGAAATTAAATGTTAACATTAAATATTCATTGAAGTTGAAAGGCTCTCAGCAAGTATATTTTTTCCCGTGTGCAGGGAAAAACTAGAGCAAACGCACCTTAAGAGTAGCGAATAAAAAATAGATGACTATTAATTAAATTGATGGACTTTTTTACAAGATAGTTTGAAGTGTTTGGCAGACTTTCTGAATATTTGATTTGAACATACGTGTCAGACGCTATATTGCATCAATTTCTCTCTCGTGATCGTAGGTCTCATACAACAAAATCAATTCTGTAATGGAGGGCACAGTATTTGTTCACTATGCGTTTCGCTAATTCAATAGATATGGTTTCCATTGATTAATTGCCATTCAGTTTTTTCATTCAATATATCAGAGTCATTAGGCTGACATTTAAAAATTTATTGCACTCGTTTGATGCACTTTTTCCCAATACAATCTCCATATAAAGTATTTAATTTACACTGAAATAATGCCGGTAATTTAACAAATGTGAAACTGGTGCCTGGCCTCCGAAATTCACCGTAGTGGATGAGCGGCTCGGAGCATGGAACTTGAAAGCCAAGTGGAATGTTACGCATCCCATTATTACGCTTTAGAACTCACGCATGCGTTTGAATACATTACATTAGTTTCCACTCCTTCTCTATCACCTCCCTGGTTTGAATTACTGGTGTGTCTATCAACTTTCATCTTCACTCTGTTTCTTTCATTTCCCTTTCCCTGTACATGAGTGTCTTTACTCTTCCTTTAATTGCCAGTCTCCACTTACTGTAACTCTCCATCTGTAATTCCTGTCTTGTCTGACATTGTGTATTTCTCTGATAGCAAAATTGCATCTTAATATCTCTTGCTCTCAACTTCTGATCTGTTAATACATGTATTTGTCTTCATTACACCCTCTCTCTCTCTCTCTCTCTCTCTCCCTCCCCCTCTCTTTCTTCCCCCATTTCTATATCTCATTCCGGGAAATTATAAATGTACCCTGAAAAGAAAGAGCACATCAAATTTCAGGTTGGCTGTTTCTTTATTAAAAGCATGATAATACAGCATGTCTGTGAACAAGTAAAATGTTCTTCACATAAAAGACATTAATTGGAATTCTATGATCATTCCTAAGTGCTATATAATTTGTTGTAGTTTCCTTAAGTTTTCAGCTTGAACCGCATAACAATTTATTTTAAAATACACCTGTCAAGAACATACAAATACATGTACAATGTATTTCGATTTCTTTTGAATGACGTCAGACTTTGGAAGTACAAATTATCTCTTCAGTTAGAGGAAAGCATGTACATGACTCTACATGAATATGTATTTTCTCGACAAAATATTTCTGAACTAGCATCATCCCCCTCCCTCCAATTCAAGATGCTCTAGCAACACAATTATACAATAATAATATTAGATATTTATATAGCGCTCAACTATTTCCCCTGTCTCTGCTAGGCACACGATTTCGACGCTCACAGCATTCAAGGAATTCCTTCTTTCCGGTACTCCATTTAACACCTGGTGGAGAGTGGCAAAGGTAGATTAAAATCTTGCCACAGGACATTAGTGTCGTGGCGAGACTCGAACCGCGGACCCTGTAATTCTAAGTCCAAAGACTTATCCACTAGACAACAACACCTCTACAATGAATTATTGTATACCTCTAGCCATTATACCATTTCTCAAACCTATTTATGATTCATGAACGAATATTTATACAGGATGAACCTGTAGGCCAAATCTATATATCACATTTGTCCTGTTTATACATGGTAACATACAAAATAACAATGAAATAAGGCAAAACATTTAAAAATATATATTATAGGGATATTAAATAGTATTGTATATAATAACCAGCGACTAGCGACATGGTTGTCCATTTCTAGATTTACACAGAATCACAAAGTGATGTTATCCAACGATTTGAAAAACAGTAAAAAGAAATTTAAATTCACTGGAAATTTATTAGAATAAGAATCTCGCCCAGCACACTCGTAGGAAACAAGGCACAACCCACTCATAAATCACCAACACACCTAAACTACCAGTCAAAGAAGCAATACATGTATAAAAACTCACAAATAACTCCCACAACAATATAAGATTAATTAACAACACTCATATTTACATGGCATTCTTATACACACGTTGAGATATTATGGTATAAGAGGTACTGCCTTAGATTGGTTTAAGAGCTATCTTCACAATCGCAAACAGTATGTACATATTAATGGGTATTCATCCCCGATACAAAATATTAATAATTGTGTTCCTCAGGGATCTCTTTTAGGCCCCTTGCTTTTTATTATGTATATAAATGACTTACAGTTTATCTTAGATTCAGTTTTTTATGCTGATGATAGTAATTCTTTTATAACTGGAAATAATATACAGGATATGTGTGCAATATTAAATAAGGAATTATGCAATATAAACCAGTGGTTTTTAGCTAACAAATTGAAACTAAATACTGTTAAAACATCGTGCATGGTATTCCACACCAAAAACAAATGTATTGATATAAATCGCATGAATGTAAAAATTGCTGGTTTTGATATTCCTGTTGTAAATACAACTAAATTCTTAGGAGTAATATTAGATAATCATTTGACATGGAAATATTAAGTCGATGACATATGTTGTAAAATGCCAAGAGCAATTGGTGAAATCAGTAGAATAAGTGCAATTATACCAACACGTGTCCTTTTAAATTTATATTTTACTTTGATCTTGCCTCACCTTATGTATTGCAACACTGGATGGGGAAATTGTGCACAATATCTTTTAAATCGTATTCATATTCTACAAAAACGTGCAATCAGAATAATTACGAAGTCTAAGCCTTACTCTCATTCAGATCCTTTATTTTAAAAAAAATTAAATTATCAACTATTTATGATATTCACAAATTTATAACCTGCACGTTTTTGTATCAATATATCAATAATACCTTGCCAAAATTCCTAGAAAATGGTTTCATAAAGAAAAAATATATGTACAATATAAGACAGAACAATAAGTTGTATGTTCCTAATTATGAATATAATGTCTCTAGATGTACTATTAAATATTCAAGGCCGATCATGTGGAATAATCTTTCGAATACCTTAAAATGTACCAAAAGTCTTCCAGTTTTTAAACGAACACATAAAAATCATCTTTTAAATGTATATTAATTTGCCTTCTCCCTTCCTCTCCCATTCCTTTTACCCATCCGTTTTGTTTTGTTATTGTAGTTGCTGTTGTTGTATTGTTAGTTACTTAGTTAATGTTTTTGTTAGATTTGATTTGCATGTATATACTTAAGGAATTGACCATAGACAGGCCTGTAGACCTATTGTTGATCCCACCATTATCTGTTATGTTACATTCATGGTGTTTTCTTGTTTGTCTTTTGATTGTTTTGTATCAGATTGTGGAAATAAACTAAACTTGAAACTAAACATACATTTCCGGTGACGTATAGTCTTAGGACATACAAAAGTAAATTGTTATTCAAATGGGTAAAACATATATACAACACATGTATATATATATATAAATCCATGGCGTCACTGGTCATTAAAATGAAAACATGAAATTTATGAAAATGCAATTTTTTAATATAGAGGTGTTTAAATAAAGAAATAGACGTTGAATTCTGCAAAGTACTAGGTAATGAATTCCATATAACACCTCCTTCAATAGAAATGGGCCATGTTTCATCAAACTTGATATCAATAACAACTGCTCAATATCTATGACAAATCTGCCCACAGCCAATCAAATGCAAGGATTTCAGTAGCTCATAACATTGATCATTAAATGTTTTAAAAGTTTTATATGAAACAGGGCCCTGATTTTCAAATTTCTAGGTGAACAAACTACAATGAGAATTTTTTTCCCGAATTGATTTTATGCCGGCTTTTCAAACTTATGTCTCTCTTGTTGTTTCCTTTCGATCTCACTCGCTGTTGCTCTGTCCTTATGTCTTTAGTATTTCCAGTAACACGAACATCTCTTGCACTTCTAACATCAGTGCATGCTTTGGGCCATGCGTTACCTCCAAAACATTCTTTGCCTGAAAGACAAAAGAAATAATTAAAAAATAAACAAATAAGTAGCAGAGACATCTTCAGCACCAAATTAACCTCTTCCTAAATCAAAACTGAGTAGAAGAGGTCAGGAAAAGTTGAAAAGAGATATCGATAGAGAACATTAACAAGTTGAACAAAAATATAAGAGACAAACAATTCTTAATACAAATGGATGACATAAAGGGATACGTTTATTGGTTCGATGTGATGAAAAGAAAATATTGATCTACATCATCATACATGCTCCTAGCATGCTAGCAAGGTTACTTCCACTGTCTTTTTAAGAGCACGGATGAAAGTAGAACAAATTCTTTTCTTATTGATTGAGAACTTGTTCAACTATTGTTCTAGCTAATTTATATCAAGGCTACTGACGCACTTGTTCAGTAAGCAATAAATTTGCTTATGATGTATTGGGGGCTTATGAGCCCTTTTCAGCCCAAACAACTACATGAATAGGTATAAAGCTTGTTCACTAACAAGGTGGTCAATAAGATGGGGTGGGGTACCTCAGATGATTCTGGATTTCACTGTGTATCGTATAGAACATTTGATTATCTGATAAACGTTAATGAATGCACAATTTTACTCTTCTAATCAGTTGCAAAGTCAAATGTTGTCAAAAGAGTTGAATGAAAAATAAATAAATAAAAAAAAAGTTCAGTACAAAAATGAAAACAACCGCTGTTGTAGTCTTCATTAAAAGACAGTCCCACCAATTTATGGGAAGAATAGTTATTTACCTCTGTGAGATATTTTTCGGCCTCCTGAAGTCTCCTCAGTTCAAGCAGTGCATTACCAATGCCCATGAGGTAAGTCCCAAGAATGGGACTGAATGGTCCATAGTGATATCTAAATCAAATGACATACACAGTCAGTCAAAAAACTATGGTTTTGCTAAATGTACAGTGAGTTCTAGGACAGTTAGCACCTGGACAACTACCCCTCAAGGACAATAATCCACCCGGAAAATTACCCCCTTGCACAATTACAGATGTATTGCATCCACTAGCAGGCGTGGATCCACAATGGGGTCCCAACGGGGACGCCCCCCCCCCCCCCACCCTAGCAACAACAAAAAAAACAGATACAAAATTACAATGGAATAAGTAAAGTTTACCTTAAAACAAAAAAAAAAAGCGCCCCCCCCCCCTGGCAAAAATAAATAAAAAATATTCACTTACCTCCTCCCTCTCCCCTCCCCCTCCCCCCGCTTATTCGCCGGTAAATATATATTGGGAAAAAAATTGCTCTACCCCCCCCCCTCTTATTTGCTTGCTGGCCGAGACGCCGCTAAATTTTTCTCATGAATTGGGCACAAAAAAGTGCTCCCCCCCCCCCCTCTTGTCAGCGGCTGGATCCACCCACCCGTATTTTATTCCTTAGCATTCTTTACCTGAAAGACAAAATAATTAATTAAAAAATAAACAAATGAGTAACATAGACACCTTCAGCACCAAATTAATCTCTTCCTAAATCAGAAGCAGAATAGGTCAGAAAAAGTCGAAGAGAGATAGCGAGAGAGATCATGAACAAGTTGAACAAAAATATAAGAGAGAAACAGTTCTTAATACAAATGGATTACAAAAAGGGTTACGTGTATTGGTCCCCCCCCCCCGAATTGCCCCCACCCCTCTTGTCGGCGGCTGGATCCGCCCACCCGTATGTTATACCTTAGCATTCTTTACCCCCAAAACAACAAGCCACATGTGTATCAAGCCATGTAAGGGGGAAGATCTGCTAAAAAAAATATTACACTTCCTCGGTCTGATCAGTATTTATAAAAGCTTAATTAATGTACCATTTATGGTCTGATCATTATTTTAAAGAAGGAAAAAAGATCATGTATCTGAATAGTACTAATAATTCTTTGTAATGTGTATAATGAACCTATTCTTACCTTAAAGACTCATTGAGCAGTCGTCCCATCTCAATAGCTTTGTCCCATGCGTGTGTGTTTACGTATGCTTTAATTGCCCCTCGCCTGAGCTTTATCAGGAGGCGATGATTGGTTGGAACGCTGTTGGATGAGTCCATCGGCTTCAGGTAGGGTTCACACATCTGTAACACTTTGGTCCAATGTAAATATCACCATTAAGAAGAATAAACCCATGCAATGAAAACTAATTGAGATAGCGACAAAAAGATGGGAAGAATGTATACAGAGAAAATGAGAGTACTAACATGGGGCCAGTGAGTTGGGAGTATAGAGGAAGGAGTAAAGGAGAGAGAGGGAGAGAGAGACATGAAGAAAAAAGGGAAACGGAGAGCAAGAGATAATTTGAACTGTACAAACAAAAATACGACCTAATAACTTTATGGTAACGACAAAGTAATGAAACAAACACAAAGGAGAAAACAGTCATTGACTTCTTTCCTGGTGTTTCAACTTGAGATACACTTTTAATGGCGACAAAGGATATTGTGTGACTCCACTTCAACCTCTATTTGCTCCCAGGTTTTCTTCAGACGGCTTCGGAGCTCTTTATCTAAATCATCATCTGGCCCCAATGACTGAAATATACAGAAAACATTTAATTAGAATGTAAAAAAGATTAGCTTGAAAATAAGAACATATTTATTAAGTCCTGAAATGCATTTTTTGCAAGTTATGTAAAACAATTTCTATATGGACTTCGGAAATCACTTATTATCTAGTGCAATACTGAGAAGAGATCCATGCAGATATCAACTGCCTTGGCTAATGTATGCATGAGCACAGAGTGCCTGAGAGTGATATCATAATTTAAAATTGGAGTAATAATAGAAAGTAAAGCAGTGCATGGATCTTATTATTGCTCAACATATTGTTTCACTACATTGAATAATTATAGTTATAATGCTGCACACTCATTTATGAAACCGCAGTCCTATAATATCCCGAGACCATCAATACAATTCAAGTTCAAAGATTTCTAGTAGTTTAGAAGAAAACTATCTATAACGGTATATATACAGCTGGTATTTTAATTTTTAGGATCTTTTGCAGCATATGAAAAGAGTTAAACAAAGAATGAAACTATAAAGTAAAGACTCACATTGATTTCTTCGATGCATTTCACACACTTGCAGGTGAAGTGGTATCTTTCTTTCAGCTCAGCCTGTCTCTCTTTAGCTGGTTCACTGACATCTACATAGCTGATAGTACACTAAAACCAAACGAAAACCGATTGTAAGCATCTTGAATTATAAGCACATGCTATTTTTATAATATATGTAAAAACCATCATGTTTGTAAAGGTCATAGATTTGCTTGATTCTTTTTCTTATGACTAAACTTACCAGCAAATTTATGGACGTTGACCATTGTGATATCTTCCAAGATTGTGACAAATATCTAAAGAAGAACTCTCACATAATTATAACCTGAACCATTTGGGTGTGCTGATTCAAATCTTATAAACACTGGTAGACTAATCCTGAAAATCTTATGGTGAAATGAGTTGGTAATAATCCTGAAGAATCCATATAAAGCAACAGTCAATTACATTTCTTTAACAAAAAAATTAGGGTACTTTCTCTCACGTGCATATCCAGAACATAAGGGGGAAAATGTGGTATTTGAGAATAAAAATATGTGATCTTACCTCTTCTCCTTCTCTGACATCTTTAATGGCCCTGAGTTGAAGTTTTCTCCCATCAAACACCACTACACAGTTAGGATCACATGAATGGTTCAACATAGATGCTCTTAAAAACAGGAACAGTTTAGATAGAGATATAATTATAATGATACATTTATTTACACACACAAAAGAAAATAAATATATGGGATAGGGAAGAGAAAATGTACTAGTATATTATCCTAATGGAATCATGATTAACATACAAGTACAACATACAATCAGTAAGTCAAACAAACTTTGTATTCCTACAGTTCTAAATTTTTATGAAAGAGCTTGCTGAAAATTGGAACTTTATTCACATTTTTTCTCCAGATAATTCTTTCAGCACTTTATCATGTACATGTAAACCGGTCCTTTCAGGAAGTGCTCCTGATTACTTGTCATCATGATACACTAATTAAGAAATCAAAAGAGGCGAAACGGCTTAGTGGTAGAGCAGTTTGACTCGTAACCGGGAGGTCCCAGGTTCAAAACAAAGTCAATGTGCGTGTGCCCAGAAATAACTTGCTTTAAATAGATGCAGAGTAACAGAAGAAATAAAGCAAAAAAGAGGAAAATTGGATCACAAATAAGAAAGTTATGATTTTTTTTTTTTAAGTATGAAAAAGTATGGAACAATGTAAATCACCACATAAATTGACAAATTGGTTATCAATGTGTGATGTATCAAATGTGTCGTTGCCTCACTATTTATCAATTACTGTATACATTTTTATCCCAGGAATTTTCCTATTTATCCCCAAGAACTGATTTCCCCATGCCTTTGCCCAGGTTATATGATTTGTATCATATTGCACGCATGACATTTCACAATCTTTTACGAATTTTGTAAAATTGATACCATTTTCGGGATACTGAATATTTATAATTATTAATTTTCAGCTAAATAATTTATCAAAATTCACATTTTTCACGATTTGATAGAATTAAAATAAAAAATAATATTAGTGCATCCACACAAAAACACATTAGGCCCACTATCAATGTAACTTGGATGCCGGTGTGAAGAAATAAGATTTTAGGGGAAAGATTGGAAATTTATATTGTCAATATAAAGATAACAATTAATGTATAGTGAGGCAATGCTGTCACAGACTCGTGAGTGAGTTGCCAATTTGTCTTGAGATTTCCAAACATTTTCATGACATTAAAAATTCATAACTTTTTAGTTTCTTATTAGTTATCCGATTTTGTTTTTCAAAATTTGATTGGTTTATCTGATTTGTCTGCTTCTATTGAAAGTAAGTTATTATTGGAGTGGACTTGCCCTTTAATTTGGCAAGTCTCTTGGAAAGGACTTAAAGCTCTCGGTCCCTTGGTTCTTTGCTTACAAGCATAACACATTCTTTCTTAGAGTCGGGTAAAACAATTATCAATAATAGTCACAGAAATCACCTCAAGTATATCCCATCTGCAATGCCAATCAGATCATCATCCATTATTGAGAAGCCATTGCAGAGAGTCGCCCCAAATATCTTCAACAAGCTGCTTGGCTCAGGTAAGACATCCCCTGCCCAATTATATATATGCTTCAACACAATCAACAATGTCTCAAATTCATCCCTTCTCGTATCGCTCAGCTTGTCATGATGGGATTCCAAGTGGTCTATGATGGTTGGAAAGCAATCCTCATCATCCTGAGTGCACGGAGGGGATCGTCTTTGCTTCTGGAAGATATGATAATGAAGCTGAACCAAGTATGGATAGGGCATGGGGTGTAATCTCTTCAGTGTTTTGCAGTCTTGCTTGTGACATCTTGCCCAGTCTTCTTGCTGCATGGGTACAAACATCAAAATAAGAATGTAAGCAATACCAAACGATAATCTAAGTGAGTCTACCAACAGCCATTAAAGGGACTTGGTAACATTGTTCATATGAGAGAAAATGGTGCCAAGGTAGTGACTTCAATGCTAGATGTACAATTAAAGATAATCTGAAAGTTTGAGAAACAAACCATTATTAATGATACAAATTGGGGAAAAGGGATCTTTATCATTATGATTTAATTGAATATTAGGGGAATGTAAATTGTCACAATAAATTGGCTTTATACACCATTCCAAAAATTTAAGTGTTGAAAGACTTTTAAAAGCCTGTTTTATGTCTCATTGTCATTGAAAAATGGTTGGGAAAATTCAAAAATGGTTTGGAGATAATAGGGTGTTGCACAGTGACGCCTTCAAACAAAACCATAACTATCTTTGTGGTTCGAGAATTGTTTGCATGTTAGAGGATCTGTACAGTAGAAAGAATATATAGTAACATTTAATACAAAAAATTACGCAGTTTTTACAATGTTACCGGTTAATTTTAAAGATACTCGACATCTTTAAAACCTTTAAAATCATAACTATGTGACAAATCAATTTATTTAACTGTTCATAGAAGTCTAGGCACGTCAGGATTGGTCGATTATTTATGTTGGTTATTTCTGCATAGTTCCTGCAATGACCACTAATTTCAAACAACCATTCTGTTTCTAATGGCCTACTATACTAAATATAACATAGCCCTAAACTCCATAAAATTTATCATAATTGATGCTTAGCAACTTAACAACAATTTTCTAATATTTGCCCCGAGATGGAAATATTTTACTACAATATCTTCATCTCAGGGAAAATATTAAGAATTTTTGAATTTTTAGAGTTATTTGAACTCACTGGGATACTGACTGCTTGACTGTTCTTATTTCCAAAGACATAATTCAGGAATCTTTCATTTCCGATATAGGTAATTATGAGTTCATGCGTTGGCGGGAACCAAAACGAAAGCTTTGTTTTCACTTTACCTGACATGATTTATTGCAGTAGCTTACATAATTGCATCTGGTACACTTCTTAAGAGTCGAACTGAAAGTAAGAAGAAAATGAGGGTTGACAGGATTCTAGCGCATAAAACTTCGGTGGTAAGCGCTTCATAAGCACCGTTTTTATTATTATTGTTACGGCCCTCCATCTTAGAACGGGTCCTGGATGCTGGAGGGCTGGCCTGTCCCTTGCCTCTGTCACCGTCATCCGACGAAGAGTTTGCCATCCTGACTAATGCGAGCGGTTTCTATTTGGCTTGTAGTTTAGAGGCCCGGACGTGGCTCCGTTTTCCCAAAGTATATGGGTGTGGAGATGAGAGGTGTTTTGGATAGGTGGATGTGTATTCTCTATGAGAGGCAGGGGCGTCGCTAGACCTTTTTTCAGGGGGGGGGGGGTGTAGAGGCCAACGATTACCGACAAAATTAGCCACAAATTACCGACAAAATTAAATTTCCAATATCTACAAAGTCAACCCTTTAAACCTGGGGCCGAAGGCTAAATTGTTTTTCCTATGGACTATCTATAGTACTCGCATATGCGCAAAATGGTCATTTTCCTCGACGACATTAATATACGAATTATTTCTTAAATTTAGTCAGCATCATAGCTATATATTTTAATGCAGGCGCGGAGCTAGGATCTTATTTTAGGGAGGGGCGGTAGTGAGCAAGAGAATCACTTAAAAGCGCGCTCATAAGGGGGTGTGGGTGATGAGCCTCCCGCGCGAAGCGCGCAAGCTTAGACGTTTCTTTAAATTATTAGGAAAAGAAGACGATTAATTGTACCGTTGAAATTTTGCTCAGAATGAGTATTTTGGTAGAAAAGAGCTAGGGGTGGAGTGCCAACTGCTGCATGCCAAAAATCGACTTGAGCCAAAGTGAAGCCAACACAATGTATTATGTTGGGATTAGCGGAGTGAGAGAATTAATTGAATATATCAAATGAAATGCATTGCATATGTTTTTTTGCAAAGGGCAAAGTCACACACACGCGCACAAATGTTCGTTGATATTTGATATTCAATATTTGATATGTGTGGCATGATTAATTTTGTTAGGGATGTTATTCTGTAAAGACCGAATTAATACCCAAATCCCAATTGTTTTATTCAAACATCACATAGGCAACTTTGACGCAAGTCAATTTATGCACTCTCACAAACAATGTCTCCTGTTCATCCAAGCGTGAACACATACCACACAAAAATGGTACCAAATGATTTGGGATAAGACACTCTTTCATATGACATATAACAATTTAATGTTCATTGATGATTTTTTTTTAAATAATTATCAATTTTCTAGGTTTAAACTTTTTTTTGACTCACACTGTAGTGCCATATAAAGTAATTATTCAGTGGTAATAGATTATGCAGTTAAGTGAGCATAGATCATAGAAATAATTTGCAGACTTAACTTATTCTTACCTATAGGTATAAATGAAAACACAAGCACTGAAATTTAAGTGCAATACACAAGAATTCATTTCCCAATTAAAGTATGCATACCCAAATGTAGTTACCTTACCAATCTTGTGATTTATAATAAAGTGCAAAATTGCTTTCATTTAATCCTAGAAAGATCATTTCAATAGCATTGATTTTAGTGCTATGGTTTTGAATTGGATTGTTTCATATTTTTGACAGCCATGATCTATTTTGATTGACAAGAATGTTATGATTCATAATGAGTTGAAATAGAAACGGGATAAAGTGAATGTTTTTGTTATGAAAGTGAAAGATTACTATCGTATGTTATTAAGTAAAAAGTCAAAAGAACCAAATATCATTTACTTTTGGAATTTCTTTTTAGATTTGGATAATGACTTAATTGTTTGGAAGGATGTATTTTTATTTAAATTAAAGCAAATTCGTAATAATAAAGTTAAACAATTTAATTTCAAGATGATTCACAGGTTTATTGCCTCAAAAGAAAACTTATATAAATGGCAAATTGTTAATAATAAGGTATGCAACTCTTGTGGACAAGTTGACTCAACTTTTCATTTTATGTTATATTGCAAGGATGTGAATTTGTTTTGGAAAATAATATGTATTTTGATATTTAATCTATTCCAAATAGAAATACAAATACACCAGAAAATAATAGTTGTAGGTAAGGATATTGGGAACAAGACATATTCACTTCTGAATATTATTTTAAATTATGCGCAATATGCAATTTATAAATGTTACGTTAAGAAGATTGTTAATGGTTCTGTTTACTACCCACATACTTTGTTGTTTTAATTCAAGTCGTTGCTAAGACTATTTTTTATGCCTCCGTTACGAAGTAGCCGGAGGCATTATGTTTTCGGGTTGTCCGTCCGTCCGTCCGTACGTCCTGTTCTCGTGATCGCGTTATCTGAAGAACCGGTTGATGGATTCCTGCCAAACTTTGGTCATGTATGTATTTTGCAGAGCCGATGAACTCATTAGATTTGGGGGTCATGAGGTCAAAGTTCAAAGGTCACAGGGCTCATTATGTATGCAAAAACAGCTCGTGATCGCGTTATCTGAAGAATCGATTGATGGATTCCTGCCAAACTTTGGACATGTATGTTACTTGCAGAGCCAATAAACTGATTAAAATTGGGGGTCATAAGGTCAAGGTCAAAGGTCATGCGGCTCATGTATGCAAAAATAGCTTGTGATCGCATTATCATTAGAACAGATTGATGGATTCCTGCCAAACTTAGATCATGTATGTATCTTGCAGAGCCAATGAACTGAGTAGATTCTTGGGTCATGAGGTCAAAGGTCATGGGCTCATTATGTATGCAAAAATAGCTTGTGTACACATTCTCATTAGAACTGACAGATGGATTACTATTTAACTCAGGACATCTTGCAGAGCCAATGAACTGAGTAGATTTTAGGGTCATGAGGTCGAAGATCAAAGGGTCATATATGAGAAATTGCTTGTAATCACGATATTCTGAGAACCTGTTAATGGATTACAATTGAACTTGAATTTGAAAAATTTCTTGTGTTTTGGTTTGTAAAATTGCTCTTTGACGGAGGCATCATTTTCGACTGCGCGCAGTCGAAGTTCCATCTAGTTAAGATATGAATGTGTTAGCAAATAAAAGAATACTGAGCTGGAAGAATTGTTGAATGTACTTTAATCTTTAGCCTATATGTTACGTTTCACTCAATCATTGAGTTATTATATATGTACAAATGTATTACTATTATGGAAATAAAAACCTCGCTTGAGGATAAGAGAAAAAAAAATAATGGTTGCAATAAAAATTCAAATATATATCATCCGTGTCTTCAAATTAATGTTTTTGTGTCTCATGTATAGTGATCAATTATTTAAAGGTAGCTCTGCTATTATTTTTACTACTGTGTAATATTCGAGACTCATACAACAAAAATAAATAAATAAATAAATAAATGGTGATATAGGTGGAAACCAGGATCCAGACGTTTTGGTGAATTGTCTGGAATACTATTACTAGTGCTGCGACTACGTACTATGGGAATATAGCTGTAAGGCAATTAATCAAAGTAGTATACTACAACTGCTGAGTACTATTGGTGATGATGATGATGGCGTGATGATGATGATGATGATGATGGTAATAGAAATAATGATAATAATATAATAAAACTAATAACAACAATAATAATGATACTGCTGCAACCAGGGATATGTGAGTTTAAATACTACCAAGAAGTTACCAGCTTGAATAGGGGCCTACAATATAGGCCCTGATGATGAAAATAAATCTAATGCAATTTGCTTAAAGCCTGTGCACTAGCTAGTGTGGCCATGAGGGTTTAGACGTACTGATATGCTGGTTATCTCATCAACTCGACTGTCAATTAACATAAGAAAAAGAGGATCATGCGGGACCAATATGGTCACCGATTAGGCATTGTTTTCTACTACAAGTAGTGCATGCATGGCAGTGGGGCTTTATTCGACATTGCACTTTTAGATTAAATGATATGGAAAATTTTGTAATATGACTGAGACCTTTTGGTGATTAGGTTACCAAATGGCAAATGGGCGAATCAAATAGACCAATGGACTTGCATTTCCATAATTTTATTAAACGAATTCGTTTTCACCGGCTGCCTGCCGTATCAATAAACGAAATTAACAAAAGACTGTCTTAACTCCGTTTCGTTGACAATCAGCCGTAGACGAGAGTCTTCATGCATGGCTGATTGTCAACGAAACGGAGTTAAGTCTTTTGTCAAATCTGCTTTTTGGTACGGCAGGCACCCAGTGAAAACGAATTCGTTTGTTAAAATTATGAAAATGTAATGGCTACTTTAAGCAAACAGAACTTTGTTATTCCTCGCTCATTTTTCCTGATTGAGGTGTCATATGAAAGAGCAGAAACTCAACTTTTTAGAAATGTGAATTTTTCTTCGAAATTCAGATACCGCCCGCCAAATGTCTTTTTTGGTTTCCTTCCTTCAAATTGCTTTTAATCACTCATGCGTGAAATATGCATCATCCGAGTAGCATCAACTGAAAGAAGAGACTCTAAGCTTTCCAAATATGTATCATTCATTAATTATGGTTGTGATTAAGTTATGATAAAACATCGATACTTCTCGGTTTCGTTTTTTCTGGGACGCACTGTATGAAGAAAAAGCACACCGATTTCAATATGTAGGATCTAGGACCCCTAAATTAAGCCATGTAGGCCCTATCACTTTTTACTATCACATTTCAACAAAATTTAAGAATCAATACCATTGTTTGAGGCAAAAATCACAGAAGAGTCCTTTTTTGTTGTCGTGCAGTGTATATGCATATGGCAAATCTTCAAGGATACAATGTCCCCTCGCAAATTCTGAAGTGAAGACCAAACTTCGCCCACAAGTAGCTGATTTGACAACACGCACACATTGCATAGGCATACTAGCAGACACCGCCATTATCAAAAGTTTAAACTTATTAAATTGCTCCTCTCAGCTCAAACGGGCACGGGGCTACAGTCGCTTTCAATAAGAGGCGAATGAAAATGTGTCATTCAGCTATGCAGTTGTAGGATTTTTATATATTTTTTTTTGATCGAGTGGGAATTCCCACTGACATTCATAACAGGAAGTATTATGTTTAACCTCTGCACTTGTTATCCTTTTGCTGAATTCCAGACAACTCGCCAAAAAGACAACCCGCCCCAAGACAACCCGCCACAATACCCTGGACATCTTGCCACAATACCCTGGACAACTCGCCACAGGTGAGTTGTCCAAGGTGGGGTGCCTTTTCGGACAACTCGCCACACTTTTTTCCCCTCATGATTTCTAGATCTAAAATCCCTCATCTTAGATGAAATTGTCATTTTTCATGATTTTCGTGCTTTTATAAACACAGTTATTACAAAGAATAAAAAATAAAGCTGATTTCCCTTGCAACAATAATATATTTTTGACAAACCGAAGGCGTACGATCGCCAGATCATTGGGATAACTTGGTATTTAGATCTAGAGGTCTATAGCAGCTGCATTTTTCTGTCTCAGAAATTGTTGAATGGTAGGATACTGGAAGCACTGGTGTACTGATGGGGGGGGGGGGAGAGGTTATTTGACCCGCGAAATAAAATTGAAATGTGATTTATTTCTAGATTTTCAGGGTTAGTTACGTCAGAGGCGGCATTCTTCATTGGGGGGGGGGGACACTGTGCCCCCACTTTTTCAGGTTCCCCTAAAGTGCCCCCTTTATCCTTTGTACATGTCCTTTTTCCCTTCTGATAATTTTTAATGGTAGGAATTCATGAAAGGGTACTGGAAGCACTGGCCTCCTGATGGGGGAGGGGGCAGTTGACCCGCGAAATAAAATTGAAATATGGTTTATTTCTAGATTTTCTAGGTTAGTTTCGCACAGTCCAAAATAGATTCTTGTTGCGGGTCTTGTTACAAGCGCAAGGTAAATCATCTTTATTCTTTAGAACAGCTCTCAAAATACTCACAATTTCCATGTTTTCTGTCATGACTGTGTTTATAAAAGAATAATGAATACATAAAATGACAATTTCATCTAAGATCATGAAGATGAGGGATTTTAGATCTAGAAATCATGAGGGGAAAAAAGTGTGGCGAGTTGTCCGAAAAGGCACCCCACCCTGGACAACTCGCCTGTGGCGAGTTGTCCAGGGTATTGTGGCGAGATGTCTAGGGCATTGTGGCGGGTTGTCTTTGTGGCGAGTTGTCTGGACCCCTCTTTCGCTTAACCGAACCGTTCACCCACGCACATAACATCTCAGCAATCCCTCTCATTATAATAAGTTAAATGATTATGATTTTTGTTGGCATGGGCGCATGGCTGATTGTCAACGAAACGGAGTTAAGTCTTTTGTAAATTCTACTTGTTGCTACGGCAGGCAGCCAGTGAAAACGAATTCGTTTGATAAAATTATGAGAATGCAAGCACTAGTTTAAACAAACAGAACTTTGTCATTCTTTGATCCTTTTTCCTGATTGAGGTGTCATATGAAAGTGCAGAAACTCAACCTTCTAGAAATGTGATTTTCTCTTTGAAATTCAGAGACCGTCCGCCAAATGACTTTTTGGTTTCCTCTCTTCAAATTCATTTTAATGACTCATGCGTGAAATCGTCCTTGTTTTCACGAAGTGACGGTAGTGAGAAAAATCGTAACGCAAAGTGAATGCAATTTTTTTTTCACTACCGTCACTTCGTGAAAACAGCGACGAAATATGCATCATATGAGTTGTAGCAAATGAAAGAGGAGGATCCAAGCTTTCCAAGTATGTGTCATTTATTAATTACAAATGTGACTAAGTTATGATAAAACATCGATAATTCCCGGTTTCGTTTTTTTCTGGGACGCACTGTATAACGTTGACCTGCCCACAATTTTGTTCAAACATTCTAGCATCTATTCCACAAGCGCATTAAAAATAGGGGAATCACTGGCGTACCTATGGGGGGGCAGGGGGGGCAGAGTGCCCCCCCCCTGACGGGCTCCACGGGAAAAAAAGAAAAAGGGGAAAGAAAAGAAAAGAAAAGAAAAGAAAGGAAAGAAAAAGAAAAAAGGAAAAGGGAAGAAAAAAAGGAAAGAAAGAGAAAAAAGGAAAAAAAGGAAAAGGAAAGAAAAAAGGAAGAAGAAGAGAAAAGGAAGAAAAAGGGAAAAGAAAAGGAAAGGAAAAAAAAAGGGGAAATCAAAAAAAAAAGACCATGGCCGTACGCACGGGGGGGGGGGGGCAGTTGACCCCAGATATTTTGAAAACGTACAGTTTTTTTCCTGAAAATGTAGTGTAGGCCTATACCAAATCCTTCAATTCTACTTTTGAAAATGCAAAAGTACCCTCATGACTAGTTCGGTCGCTCGAACTCCCTTCACTCCTTTTGCTTTTGAGATTCTTCGAAAACTTTTAACGCATCTTTCCCCTAGCTCCCCCACCAGAAAAATATTCCGCATACGGCCCTGAAAAATTAAGACAAATGAAAATAGGAAAATAGAAGTGATATAACAAATTCGAAACTCTTCGCTGGTGCGAACTGCTTGCTAGCCTATTTTGTATTAAATGTTTTCACTTGCTCGTCCCCCTGAAAAAAGAAAAGGATTAGCATTGCCTAGAATACAATTGTGCCTGCCCCGACCTGCAACCATGGCAACAATAACACACAATGTATGTACCAAATGTTACTAAAAGAGACTAATTCATTTTTATCGCTCGCTACACTCGCTCGCGAATAAAATGAATAGACATTGCTTTGGAAACAATTGTGCCAACCCTTGACCTGCAACAATATAATAAAAAATGGGAGAGTTTTTCGCCCTCTCACCAAAAAGGAATTGAATCGCGTTGAACGCGATTGCGTCCATCCTGACCTGCACCAATAAAAACAAGTTTATTTGTTAATTTCTATTAAAAGAGAATTTTTTTTTTGCTTGCTCGCTATGCTCGCTCGCCAAAATGGAATTGACACCGCTAACGTGCCCGCCCCAACCTGCAACAACCAGTTAATAATTATGTACCAAACGTTATTCAAAGAAGTTTTGGTGTGCTCGTGCTCGCCAAAACGGAATTAACATAACCTTAGACATGATTGTGTAAGCCCTGCCCTGCAACAAAAAAACCTGAAATTTATGAACCAACTATCATTACAAAAATTTTGCTCGCTCGCTACGCTCGCTCGCCAAAATAGATATAACACCGCTTTTAATAATCACGTCCCTTACATGGAACAATGAACCCAAGTTTATGTACCATATTTTCCCTATAAAAGAGAAGTGATTTTTTTTTTCGCTCGCTCGCTACGCTCGCTCGCCAAAATAGAAATAACACCGCTTTTAATAATCACGTCCCTGACATGGAACAATGAACCCAAGTTTTATGTACCATATTTTCCCTATAAAAGAGAAGTGATATTTTTCGCTCGCTCGCTACGCTCGCTAGCTCGTGGAATTATGTGCCCACCACTAACCTGCTACAATATCATTAAAAAGAGAAATGTAGGGGGTTGCCTGCCCGCCAAAATGGGATTGACATTGCCTTAAACACGATTGTGCCCGCCCCCGACCTGCAACAATGAAACAAATTTTATATAACAATTCATTGAGAGAAAGATGTATATTCGCTCGCTATATAGCTAAAATGGGTATAAAATTAGCCTAAACACAATATTGTTCCCGCGCCCTGCATGGGACAATTGAACCAAGTTTACTCTCTTAGGCCTAATTTCTAGGACTTATTTTTAATCCAAGGAGACTTGGGACAGTGACAATTGTCACTGTCCCAAGTCCCCCTTGGATTTAGAATAAATTCTTTGGACTTTAAAATAAGTCCTAGAAATTAAGAGAGTTAAGTGGCAATTATTAAAAAAGAAGTGATTTTTTTCTTGCTCGCTACGCTCGTTTGCAAAAAAATTAAATTAACGTCGCTAACAAGTGAATGTTCCCACCCCCAACTTGCAACAATACCAGTTTATATACCAAACGTTACTTAAAGATTTTTTTTTGCTCGCTCGCTCGCCAGAAGTGAAAATTAGGATCGACTTTTTTTGTTTGTTTCGGTCGCTTGCCCCCCCGACGGAGTACCCCAGGTACGCCACTGAGGGGAATGATGCAATATATCAGGGGCGTAGACAACGGGGGGATGAGGGGGATGCATCCCCCCCACCTCACAAGGTGGGGGGGATGGCATGTACAATCATCCCCCTCCCCCAGGTTTTGGGAATGATATTTGCTTACTTAATAAGTCATAATGATGATAATAATAGTAATAATAATAATGATAACAATTATAATATTAATAATAATAATAATTATGATGATGATAATAATAATAATCCTCATCATTATTGTAATTGTGTTTATTGTTAGCCGCATTCACACGGTGAAAGCCAATTCTAAAACAGAATAGAAAATGAATGTGATACAACAGTATACATAATAATTCGTGACAGAGAGTACCATACTACTATCTTTATAACAAGTATTATTCAAACAAACATATATATTTATGTATAATCATGAATTGTTCAACTTCATGCTCCCACTATATGACTATTGTTACACTAATACTGATATCAGGACTGACTGGTATACATTAGTTTGTTGTTAAGCTTGCAGCAGCTACATCTTTTCTGTATTGTTAACTATTTATTTATTTATTTTTTATTTAAGATGCACTTTGTTTTATATTCATTTAAAGTATGTTGATTGATGCATGAAGACATAAGTTTGAAATGTTTAAAGAAGTTTGTTTCATGTAAAGCGCAGTGTAAATTTACCCTGTCTTGAAAAACGAGATAAAAAGAACCTATTAGTATTAGCATTATTATTTGTATTAGTATTATTTTTTATTTGTATTATTATTATTAGTAGTAGTAGTAGTAGTAGTAGTAGTAGAAGTAGTATTATTATTATTATTATTATTATTATTATTATTATTATTACTATTACTATTATAAGACTGAGATCAAATAGAAGTAAATAATGCCCTAATTTGAAACGATGCAATGCCGTTATGGTTCCGATTTCTTCACAAACTTAATTACAAAGCAGTATTGTTACTCCATGGATCAT